TTTGTTGTCAGTCTGATCTTTAACAAGGTGAGTCATCTATCTTCACGTTATGTTGAAGTGCGACATTCTGACCGCCTATAGATCATCAAAGGTCGCAGGCCTCACTGGTGGGCCAAGTACAATTATGTGCTGTCTGCAGCATTAGATTCAGGAGTTGCCGTTGGAGCCATTGTGATCTTCTTCGCGTTGACGTTCCCGGGAATTACCTTCAACTGGTGGGGTAACACGGTCAATAGTGGGACGGTGGATAGCAAGGGCACGCCGTGGCTGGAGTTGAAGGGGAATGAGACTTTTGGGCCGGCGACATGGTCGTAGGACTCGGAGGAAATCATGAAGAATACAGGGGCTATCGGGTGTATGGGAACTGGGTAACGTTGCCTTACTGGTTTCTGTGAGGTGTTATATGGTACTTATGAAGCTATGCATGGTTTTTTTCCCAAAACGTTGGGTTGATCGATTGATTCTGTTAAACTTTGGTCGAGCCTCAGAAATGCTGCTGGAGGCGATACCCTCTACGCAGATTGCTATAGAAAGCCATGATTCAGCGTGCGTATAAACAATGAATATAGTCTGCAGAATATGTCTGTCCCATAACTTCATGATGAATTGCGATCACAAAAGAACTTTCCATGTCCTATGCAGACCCTTCCTAGTATGCTCCTAACTGGTACTACTGGATATATATATTCAGTCCTCTCAGTCCTTCTTTGATATGGTTTATGGTAGCCGTTGGACTCCCACCTAGTATCCTGTATTATAGATTTAAATGTGTCTTTACGCCGTCATGAGATGTCTCTGCAATGTCAGTCAGAGTGGTCAATACCACTAACTCATTCATTCCTACACCACTCCTTCCCTCTTCTAAGAAAAGAGCAAACAAAAGAAATAAAGGAAAAAAATGAAGGTTATCTTTTTCAAGGCCCGAGCCGCGGATCGAACGCGGGACCTCTCGCAGATATGCTTGGGTTTGTATCCCTAAGCGAGAATCATACCACTAGACCACCCGGGCTTGATGGAAAGAATAACCAATGACCTACGCAGGACTCGAACCTGCAATCTCTTGATCCGTAGTCAAGCGCCTTACCATTGGGCCAGCAGGCCATTTGATGGGAAATGGCCGCACTTTACGGCTCTAAGAGCTGAAGATCTGCTGGTCTGCCCTATAAATACATTCTCTATCGGAGCGGAATAATTCATAATTCCTGTTATCGAAAATACCCCAAGTGTAGTCAGGCATTAGTCATTATTAACTATCAGCGCCATGATCCCCTCGGGGGTGGTGATAACCAACTATCTAAGTCACTAGTCATAGTCTCGATAAGCCTTGCAGCCTCTTCAGATTAAGCCACGGCAGCTCTTATCCGGTCAGCTCGCCAGGCCAATCCGAGTGCTCACTACAGGGATCTTCTCAAGCCCACCGTTGCCCCTCTTGGATTCACCGTTCGGGGCTGTCTGCTGTGATCTCGCCACGGCTGGTGGTGGCCTCGACGCCGAGAGTGCACCTCTCCCTCCGAGCGAGGAGTTTCATTGCTCTTTCGCTCCTGCAACCCGGAGCCAGAAGGTTTCCTCCCCCTTCTATTACTCTGGACCTTTGCTCGGCCATGTAAAGACCCCCCTCCCCTTAGTCGGATGCCGCGCAAGAAGGCTGCAGACCGCGTGGGTCCGGTCAAGACCCGAAGCCGCAGTGGCTGTAAAGAATGCCGCGCCAGTCGAGTCCGCTGCGATCTGAAGAAGCCGATCTGCACCAGATGTCTTGAGAAGGGCTTAGTATGCTCGACCCAACTCGTTCTCAAGTGGGAGTCCGAGTTCGTTAGCCGCGGCTTGGCTTTTGGTAGAGCCGGCGTTTGGAGTAAGGCTCGGGCTGCCGGCGGACTTCCTCCTCCTCCTGGAAAGTCTTCGGCTGCGTTCCTCCTTCGCGATCAGGAATGGTGTCCTATTCCGCTTATCGAGTCGTGGGGATTTGTCAATAGTGGGGTGTCGACTTTTGAACAGCCTTATGAGGTTAATGTTGCTTGTGATGAGCTGAATGCCCTTGTTGTCCGGGACAAGGGGAAGAGCCCGGCGCTGGATGACCTGTTGGATGAGAATGCAGACTGGTCTTTATCACCATCGTCGTTGTCGTCTCCATCCTCGATACGTGAGCTCTCCGACTACTGCTCGCCTGTCCCACTTGTCTCCCCGCACCTGGCCCCGCCTTTGTCGATGTTCCCCAGTCTATCGGACTCCAATCAGGGTCGCCTCTTTGATTACTATCTCCAACAAGTGTGTCCCCGGACCACCGCTAGCTCGAAGCTATCTTCCCCTTTCGCCTCCATCATCCTCCCCTTTTGCATGTCCGCATCTCCAATTCTTTTCAAAGCCATCCAAGCTCTCGGGGCATGTCACTGGTCCCGCTTCGACTCAACCTACAGCGTGATTGGGCTCCGTCTCAAGTCCGAAGCCCTACGGGGCCTCCGCTACCGCCTCTCAACGGAAGGCTCACTCCTCTGCTCCGCAGACCCTGAGGTCCTGGCAATCATGATGATGCTATGTCTCTACGAGATCGTCGACAACTGCGACCAGCGCTGGACGATTCACCTAAAAGGCGCCAAAGAATTGATCCGCATCCGCCGACAAAAACAACAACTCACTCCTTCTCGACCTCGCCAATCCCTCGACCCCGTCTCCGCCTTCGCGGAACTCTTCTTTGCCTTCCAAGACGTCATGGGCCGCACCGCCTGCGGTGAAGAAGTCCTCTTCGGAACAGACTACTGGCAAGAAAACAACCGCCACATTGACCTCTGGATGGGTTGCAGCCCGGAGCTAGTCTCCATCCTCTCCTCCATCACAGAATTGAGCCGAACAAGACGCCAACTGGCATCTGAAGCTGCTCGCAAAGCATTCTCGCAACGCGCCGCCTCCCTAGGCCGCAGACTCGAGAACCTTGTCCAGGAAACAACCGAAGATGACGACAATAACGACGACGGAAGCCTCCGCTCCGCCGCTGAACTGAAACGCCTAGCAGCTGTGCTATACCTTCACTGTGCACTATACGGCGCATCACCATCCACACCACTGGTAATCAGCTACGTCCGACGCATCCTGCGCCTCGTATCTCACCTGCTTGACTCTGGCTCCCTCGTCAGCATGACCTGGCCTGTCTTCGTAGCGGCCGTTGAGCTGGACCCACTTCACGACGAAGTCTGGCGTGATGATATCGGTAAGAGCGTGGTATATGGCCGGCCGTTGGTGTTGCGTGCGTTGGCAGCCATGGCTGAGTCGAGTGTTTCGAACGTGGCAAGGACGAGAGCTGTCATCGTGAAGATATGGCAGGCCAGGGATAGTGATATGCTGAAGGGCTCGCCGGTGGATGCGGCGGATGATAGTGTTGCGGGGTGTAATGATTGGGAGTGGTATGTTGCACCGATTAGTACGGCGATGAGTTTGGCTTGAGACGCCTTGCTGGAAAATTGAGGTAATGTCGAATGTACGGGACATCCCTGACATATGCTATGCATCTGCGGTGGATAGAAAAAAGAGGACATAGCGCTTTGTTTTGATCACTTGAATGACTATATGAATTGGAAGGTTTTTGTAGAATTAGGGATACTGGTTTTGGGATTGTGTTTGGTTTCAATGTATAGTGACTTGACTCAGATTGATATATTCGTTTTTTTTCCCCCTCCTGTCTCCTTCTCCGTAACGGCATAAAGATGCCCAATTGACTTTTGATATTGGAAAAAGAGCGGCCCCCATAAAATAACATTCCCGAATCTCGCGTAGATCGTATCCTTACAGTAGATATAGCGTTCATCAAGACGTACAAACATAAGCACATAGGTATATACGAAGCGCAAGCAGCATCAGATTATGCGCATACTTCCTCCAAGCCCCCAAACTAAGCATCACAAAACACCATTGACTGTGTCCTCGTGACGCGCATCGAAATTACTACCGCTTGCAGGAAGGGTAATAAGAGTGTTCTACATCAACCGGTGTCAGCAGATATACATCGAACCATGACCAGATGCCCTGACTTCTATCGCTGCACCATCCTTGGTCGTGGCTCGTGATGTTGAACTGGACTGCAGTGACTCCGCGCGGAAGGGGAGGCGAGATGAGGTACATTGCTGTCCATGGGTGAGAAGTCATGAATTCACTGCGTGGTGATAGGAGCAGAATCTCCGATCGGCTGCCGTGTGGAATGAAATTTAACGATTCACGGGAGATGTCATGGTTGATGGAAGCCTGGGTCCTTGATTGATCGTATAATCCACTGGACAAAGGTTTTGGTGGGTGGAAGCTGAGTAGTGCGTTGGTGAGCTTTTGAGAGAGGAGGTGAAGTGAAGAGCCCTGGGGGGTGGGTTTACCTTACTCATAAGCGTTCCTTTCAGCCTTGTCTTGCAGCAGGAACCAACCTGGTACTGACAGGAATCCTCAAATAGCGGCGAATTTATTGGACGCCCCACGTACTGTACTGAGACACCACCTATCATTGTGTGGATGGAGGATAAATCCCGCATTTTGTACGCATAGCCTTGAGTTATGGAAGTCTAACGGGTACTAATCGGCGCTTCATTGGTTGCGTTTTGACTTGATATGGAGCAGAGCTATGAGATAAATACACGATTCCCAAGCTTGATTAAATTCCATCCAATTTAGGAATATATGCAGACGATAGAATTATTGACCTCTTTGTAGAGGGAAATGAGGTAACTGTAATATACTTCAATATATATGATTCGCCAGGTCGGATATCACCGAGGGTTCAGTCCTCAACAAGAAGATATTAATAGTCACCAAACGCACCTGAGCAAAGTTTCTGATATTGATCACTAATTGACATTTATTTTGTCTCGCACGCCATCTACTTCATTCGACCCTCATTGGTATTGATATTACAACCAAGCTTATTTGCCAGCCAAAGAAGGATTGTCGTCCGACCTGAGTCTGCCTCTCATAGGAATTACACGGTAGCTATCAAGTAAATTATTTAGTCAATCCGTCAGTCCGTCAGTCCGTCAATCCATAAGATAGTCATCACAACGACATGCATCTAAAGCATAAGCATACTGCCGAAGAAAATCAAATAGTTGCGTGCGACGCCGAAATACGTAACGATATCCATCCTCGTGTTGTGCATCTTTAAAGTAGAACACATCGCTGATAGGCTGCTTGAAGACGAAGGCGCAATGCCCCACCACTTGAAGTTCAGGGGGGCCTTCGGGTCCAAATGCCCATGCCAGGAACTGACGAAACGATGGCAGCTTATTATTGATGATATCATCCGAACAGTCGGATTTTTTCAAGTATGACTGATCGTAACATTCTTTGCACCGTCTCAGATGGAGAACGCGAATATTTGCTTTGATACCTGGCGAGGTCAGAATAGACTTCTAAAGATATGGTCTATGTATTAGTGATTGCAATAGCATTTGAGGATTTAAATGATAGGTGAAGCGTACCAGGGTGTTAAAATCATTGCTGGATGTGCCCAAAAACACAAGATTGGGACTAACGGATGGGTTTTGGTCAGCACCCGCCAATTGCTCAAGAAAACCGGTTGCACCCGAGTAAAGACCATCTTCCTCGGACTGGTATGCATCAATATTTATCTGCTGGAATACGAGCTTTCTCAATGTTTTCTTGTGAGTAAACACAGAAGGCCATACAGGGACTGGGCTTATAGAACCAGTGACAAAGATGTACAACTCTTCTAGCCCCTCGAATGATTTAAGGAAAGCTGGTATTGCAAGAATACTATCTTCTTCAGTTCGTTCCGTATACGTCTCCAGTGTCAAAGACTTCAAGGCGATCCTGGATCCAGAATTGGTTAAATTGAGTAAGGCATACTCCCAGGATGTGCATGAACGCAGACTCAAGGATTGAAGTGAGGAGATGTTGAAGATAGATGAAAGCACGTGGGATATCGGTGTCAGATCCAAGTAAGACAATGAAAGATATCGAATAACGGGAAATCGAAAGGCTGTTCTCCAATCATGCATGTCCAAGATCTCTTTGGCAAGCATTGATTGTATGGATTGCGTTACTTCATCACTAGATATACTTGTGACTCCCAAGTTCATTCGGGTAAGGTGGAACGCATTCGACTTCAGTGCTAGACACAGTTCACGAACATGACGTTCATAAGATAGGTCAGGCCATGAGATGGTTCTTAAACACGCAAACTTTGATAGCAAGATATCACTGCCGCCAGCGGCACAACAGCTACCTGTTCTTAGATGAATAGCTACAAGCTTGCGCTGATTTAGTATAAGATATCCAGAGTCACCGAGAAATTTGCTAGGTAAGCATGTGCCAATGTTCCAGCTGTGGTATAATGTTTTTATGTTAGCCGGTCTTACTTTGCAGATAACCTGTGCTATAAGCTTACCTAAATCTTTGTAGCCTATCCGCCGGACATCTTGAAAACACATGCAATAACTTGGAAGACAGATAGCGTATTTCATCCCTTCTTAATCTAGCTTCTTTGTAATCGTCCGGATCGTCTTGCTCCAATATCCTATAGCTGTGGTGACACCCCCACCAAGGCCAGAAGCGGTTTTCCTGAATCTCGATATCTCTCATGTGCACTAGCGAGTCAACTGGGAAAGCAGGTGCTCGGAGTAGGGAGTCAACATGGTGCCATGTCTCGCTGATTCCAGGTCTATCGGATATTAAAGTTACAGACTTGTACAGAAGTGGAACTGCAATAGCGTAGAGGTGCTTGGAAACACGGCATATGTTGTTGAGATCATGGCGGGTTATGTACTGTGATAAGTCAGCCGGCTTCGGAAAAGGCCAATTCAGGCCGTTAGGCGCAGATTTCACTTACTTCTAGTGTTATGAGAAGAACCTCAGGGGGTAGTCTGTCAAGCATATTGACATTGATGATAACTAGCGCTATTCTTAGAGTAAAGTTGTCCTTGTCAGATTGGGTGAAGTCAGGACAAGAGGGGTTAGTAACTAACAGTCGAGGTGCAGTATTTGAATCTAAGGCTGCGCAGGTTTCAAAACACAAGGTGAGAACGCGTAGCCAAAATATTCTGAGGTTTCATGAGACGTATAAGACTGATCAAGCTCGGGGAAGATTCCACCACAGTAGATTATGAGTAGTGAATCAACACTCGATATTCACTCCAGTCTGAAGAATTTCCGAATCACCTGATGCAGTGTTCGCCTTGATCCGAGGCGTCGGATGCGCAGTTCAGTCTAATAGAAAGATATGAAAGACGTGCAGAAGTGTGTTTATTTTTATGTTTCTGATAATGTTGATGATCTAAATACATGCAGTAAAACGGGTGAAGGAGATGTTGTGTTCGACCTCCCTCCCAAAGGGGAAGATGCCCGTGGCAGCTGACCCCATGCTATATCTTGTGGCCTCTTTATAGCTCACGATCAGAACCTATAAAGCACACTCATTTAGCGGATGAATGCGAATAATTGACTTCTTCGATGGTTATGTGATCTGAACAGTGTAGAAAACTACGTTGTATAACATACTATTTTGGTAGAACTGCAACAAGAGGCTTCTAATATGGGATTATATAACCATAGATGGAACAAACTACTGTAATAGATATTTAGTACTAAAGTGCAGTTGATCATGGCTCATGACTTTGGACTGTTTCTCTTTTTCTGGCCTTTCCTCTCGTCACGGGGAACACGATGAGGATGGAAAGGGTTAGTACTATGAAGAGAATAGAGTCTTCGCTTACCATTACATTCGCGTTTGTGATGGCAAAGAACTGTACACGACTGGCCATTGCAACACCAGTAGTCAAAGAAGCCCCAAGAACTAAAACACACTTGTTCCGCCGGTCTGGATACCGGCTCTTTACCCAATTACCGAAGACCTACGCAGCATGGAGGATTGCCAGAACATGGAAAGGTTGGTAGAGGCCCAGAGAATACCACCAGGCACTGTCAGACTTTGTTAACCAGATATTGTTGGACATCTTTCCCCAAGGAACCATGGCAATGGCCAGAGGGCACCAGCATGTCAACGGAGGTTTATCTTCTCGCTAGGGGTTAATTAGTCTTACTAGCCTAGAGGTTGGCTGCTGAGCCGACAGTTTATCCCATATCGACCGAGACAGATGCGTTGGACATCATTGCTACTATGACTTTGCAGTATCCAGGATTTTGATAATTTACTTCAAGTCCATTTTGCTAGAGTATGCTTCCACATTTCTTTGCTTATAACTAAGCTAACCCCAAGTCCGCCAAAACCCGGTGCCCTTATCTCCATATCTAATCTTTATCTCTGAATGGACATCGAACCTATTTATTGCTTGTCACTAAAGCTCCTGACCGGTTTGCGGCCGTCTGGCACCTTCCTGGTAATCCAACCTGTGGCAAGACAATCAATAGATAATTCTTATCATGGCGGAAGGAAGTTACTATACATCGCCTCATAAATAGTGCCACTCTCAAACAAAGCCCGAAAAAAAAGAGGCCTGCAGAAACCAATAATAGAACACTAGAGGCTCCATCAAGGCTAGCATAGAGGTTCTTGACCTGGACCAAGATATGTACCAACTTCTCGTGCCTAAAACACATGAGACCTGTCACAAAATGAGTCGCTAAGTCAGACACGGAGAGAACATTTTGAATCACTATACCTCGCCATAGAAGTGCCAACACAAGAAGACTGGCACCACAGAGATAGAGGATAAGAGAAAGGTGAAAAGCAATCTTCTGTCCTCTACTGAAACCAGCGGACCTTTGCTTCGCAAAGGCTGCTGGGCCCCCTAACGTAAGGGCGAAGATTGCGAATGCGGTGATCAGATCAAACATATCAGGCAAGACAGTGTGAATAATGGTGACACCGATTTTTGATAGTAGTAACTGTATGTAATGTATGCGTGATGGACATCAACGTGAACACGATATAGGGTTCTGAATATTTCGTACTGGGTTGTACCCAAGGTTGCACGTGCAAATTTAATCCAAAATTTGCTCCTGATATCCCATATTAATTTTTCGCGCTGACTGGAAGTGCGTAAAATGGCAACCTAGCGGTTTCCACCCCACCAGTCCTTATCTACAGAGTTAGTGGGTCTTAGACACGTAAGCTGACTAGACGGCGAGGAGTTTAGATGTTCAAACTTCTGGTTCCTTGCGCTACGTCTTGTATGTAGACTTGACTATATGCTTCCTCGAATATTGATTAGCAATCTGAAGACGTGCTCCTCATTAATAAATACGTAAGGCCCTCAAATTAGACACTGGGCGTAGCCCCAACAATCCTCGTGTAATTTCTGGGAGACAACTTGATGATATAGTACACCATCCTACCAATATCCCAACGGTTTACTGTTGTATCAGACATACCGTTCCTCACGAGAAATTGAAAGACTTCGGTTAATGGAAGTATGTTGATTTGTAGGATAACATTCACAGCACCGACTGTGCGTCGATCCTCTTACTCTACTGAAATTCTAAAACCATGGGGAAGAGTGTCTGAGAAACAATACACCAGACCTCTTGATGGTATGGAGGCTGTAATGAGACAAATATCTATCAGCCACCCGCCTGGTCGCCGAACATACGACGTTGCTGCCGCTGTCAAAGCCCAGACGCGCCTCACTGCAGATGAGCTGATCAAGAAGGGGCGACTAGCCTGGCAGAATCTACGATACAAGCATCCGTTAATGGCAAGCTCTACTGTCGACAGAAACAGGATATACAATGTGCCATACGGCAAGGAATTGGAGGCCTGGACCCAGAAAACATTTAAGTTCATGCCGTGAATGCACAGAAGGTGTACTCAACAGCTTAGGTACAGTGGAAATTCCCATGCTGCTCCATCTCAAGGACCGCAACGAATTTATGTTGAAACTCGCCCACTGTCATTCAGATGCCCAAGGGATAACTCTGTGGTTTCACGACTTTTTGAATGAGCTATCGTGTCCTAATACTGACACTGTCCGATGGAAACCAGGAGAAGAGGTTAAGAACCTCCCTCTTGGGACGTGTGATGCGGTTGATATCCCACGGCTCCCACAATCATGGGTTGAGGATCATCGAGGTTTCTTTCCTAAGAAGCAGCTCAAAGCACCGAGGACCTTAGGCTTAGTGACTGAGCCTGAAGCTTCGCAGCGGCAGTCGGCTTATGAATTCGAAAGACACAGATTCTCGGCCAGAGAGACAAAAACTATCATTGCCGGAGCGAGAAAACTAGGCCTCACGCTTACACCCTTTTCCCACACTGCTATTACATTAGCTGCCAAGAAGAAAGAGAACCTGCCTGATGGCGTCCAGCATAACACATTTTTGGTTTCAAGCCTTCGAGGACAGTGTAAGGGGCCGCCTGAATTGGGTAGTCATGCGGTTGGATTGCGCTTTGGATTATGGCCGATTCAAGTCGGGATTCATGAGTTCTCAAGAACGTCCAAGGCGTTGATGAAGTGCTATTCCTCGTTTAAAAACAATATGACATCGTATGTACCGATCATGACTAACGTCTTGGCTGATAAAACCCTAATGTGGTGAACGATGTCATGTCCACATTCATCATCAGCAATATGGGGGACTGTTCGCCCTACATTCAGGCTTCATATGGCGAGATTGAGCTAGACGATTACTGGGCAATCAACCTTCCGGCCAACTCGTCGGTCTTCTTCATTATTGAGACCCGACTGGGTCAATTGGAGATGAGAGCTTGTTATAACAGCGCTTTCTATGATCCTCCACGAATTAGGTCTTTGATCGACTCAGCATGCAAGATTTTTTTGGATGCCTCTACGTGAGCTTGGCATTTCGAAATTGGCTCCTCACTTTAGTCTCACCGTGTTTCATTTTCCTCTCGTACATAACGAAAGTATAGATTGGACTATGTGAAAAGTGATAACAGGAATGAATTGATATTCAGGGGGAATTCTCATGTCTGACTACTTATGTCACTGTATAATAAGTAGTTGTCTACGAAACCACGCTATGGATGGTGGCATGAAAGCAATACATTTTCTTTCCAAGAGTCATGACACATGTATCGGAAGTCAGAAGACACCGAGCCAGAACAATGACCAGAATCTACATGAAGTTCAGACAACCCCCGACACAAGATCCTCTGGCAGCGCGGCAGCAGCATAACTCTCACTAACCATCGCAGAGACGATACCACAAAATAACCCGCACCCATCCTCTGCAACAGAGACAGGTGTGTCCAACAGCCGTAAGTCTCCAATCCCTCTGGGGTATCATTATACAGCCTCCAGAGTTGGAACAATCAACTTAGCCTCGCCGTCCACACCCGAACCTGGGGACTAATTAGCCAGACGTCATGACCAACCGCAGCTCCGGTCCATACACATTGTCCAATCTGGCTGTCACAGACGTATCGCCTTTGTGACGATCATTTATGGCAATCTTGAAGTCAGACTTGGGCTTCATCATGGCTTTGGTTGCCGGGAAGGTCTACTGGAAGCCAAGACTAGGGGCAGAGAATATCAACTTCGTAGCCGCTAATAGCTAGAGACTTCTATCAGATAGTTTCATGTAGTACAAATAACAAAGTGTTTTCGAGCACCAAAAAACCGAAATAATCATCGTCTAACAGGATGAAACTCTGGTCTCCGTTCGAGTAGATTGATCAAGGGTATGAACAGCGTGTGGTTCGAGTTCGGATCGCTATGATAGGAGGAAACTTCTTCCCAGGTCACCCATTTCCACTGCTCACATTTGTGGGGTTCCAGTAGCTAGAAGAAATGATTAGCTGAGGGTGTATCAACGTAGCGTCGTTCTGGAGAATAAGGCCTTATGTGAGTTATGTTGCAATAACACTAACCTCCGGCTGCGCATCATCCCCCACAACCGTACAGCCCACAAAAACAGTAACATAGTGCTTCCCCTCTTCTTTCATAATATCGTTGGTTGCCGTAAGAAACTGTATGTCGCGGACTTCGAGACCCGTCTCTTCTAAAACTTCACGGGCCGCGCAGTCTTCGAACGACTCGTTGAATTCGAGATGGCCGCCGGGTAGCGCCCAGGTACCTGTGTGGAGGCGTCAGGAATAGAATTGAGCTTACTAGTGCCGTTATGACCAAAACGGATCAATCGACTCTAGTTGGAGTACTACTTACCAGCACCGTGGCTGCTTTTGCGCTGTCCAAGAACTATTTGTCCCTTGGGGTTGGTGACGAAAACACCTACGCCTACTCTGGGATTCATGATGGGAATGATTTGAACGAGCGAATTGATTGAGAAAGGCGTTATAAGTATTATGTCAGTCGCAACCAATTATGCGAATAGGAGAGAGCAGCAATGGCGCTATTCATCCAAAGAGGGATTGTTCATAAGACATTCAGCGTCGGACAAGGTGGGGGTGAGAACTAGAAACCCCAATTGAAAATACCAGGATTGTACTAAATCGCGGGGTTGGGATGTAACCAAACTTGGCTTATCAGAGCCGAGGTTAGCTATTGCAGGTAGTTGAAGATAGTAATCATCCATGCTGTTCGGGTGTCAGATGAGGATGCAATTTACAGGTCCAGAACGGAAGTATTGTACTTTTCATCATGGATGGAAATTGCGCTCACAGAGAGATCTGTTGACGCTAGCCTACATTGGTTGATGCCTGCATGAAGTGGCTTGCAAATACCAAGACTCGTAGTATAAGATCAGAGTTACCACCAAATAATTCGAAGCTTGCGCTAATGTGATTACACAATGAGATCTTCTTATGAGACTCCTCCAGTCAGACAAGAGGTCTAAAATGTATCACATATTAAAGCCCTGGATTCCAGACTCCTCGTTGACCGCAAGGACAGAGTGCTAGGAACTAGCATGTAAGGTCGCTGGTAGACGATAATGCCAGTTACGACCGTTTCTCTGACCGCCAAAAGCGGCAGAACCTAGTCGACCTCGCAGAAAAATGTACGGATATGAGCGGATATGAGCGGATATATTTTTGAACAGTTCCGGAAAAGGCGAGTTGCATTCTGTATAATTTGTGACCGCCCTGTTTGACCGCTCCAGGCCGCGGCAGAATATAATGGTATGTGCATGTGAGCCATTGCGGCCATACGATCTTCACTATGGGGAAGATACCCCGGAATTCAATCATAATTCTTAGAGCGGGTGCGATGCTAGCTCTACACTAAGATACTTAGGCCGTAGAAAGACATTTGGAGTATAACTACTCCGTACTAGTACGAAAATGAGGCCTGAGGCATTAAGACGATCAGGGTCCGCGCGCCAATCATAGGGCGAGTCTAGAGGCGGGGCAGGTGACGTCTGATTGGCCGGAAATGGCGGGCAGGACGTCAAGGGCGTCACCGGACTGGCGGAGGATTGGCCAACCTGAGGCAGGCATGGGCGTGCGGATGGCCTCAACCGCGTCTGGCGCTTTGCTTGACCTTTCCATCATGTGCTGATGTTTATCTTTTGTCTCTCATCCATCCGGACCATAACAATAACTGCCATCCCACGTTCTATCCACGCCACACTGTCTCGACATTCGATCCCTCTCCTTATCGTGAAGTCTACCACCTGAACTAACCGCTCCGGGAGAAATTCGTGAGAACCTCACCATGTCCCATGCGGTCTGATACGCACAACTGCCACCGTGACACGTGTAAAAAGTGGTCTCAGTTGCAAACATGACGTCGTCTAACACCCCTTCAACTCTATCCCATAGCCGGGCTATCCCATTCGCGAGTCGGCTCAGCGAACAACTGTCGCAGCGGACCGGGCAAACCAGTTCAGGCACCGATCCCGACCATGCCGGCGACAGAAACACACCTACACTTGGGCCTCCATTGCGTCCTTCACCGAATACTCGCTCGCTGAGCGATGCGGGAAAACCAGTTTCCGCCATGCCGATCAATCACGATGATTCCCGCCCGCCCAGCAAAGATGACTCCTCCCTCTCCTCCACCCCCGAAACACCCCAGCGGCCGTCCATGCAGAGTCTCTCGTTGAACCTCTCTGCCAGATCCTCCGGACCTTTATCCTTAGCCAATCGTGCCCCGCTTTCCCCGAAGCTCGACTCCTCGGCCATCTACGGCTCGCCGGGCTCCGTGCTGCCCCGTCGTTCCCGAGGCCTGGACTTTTCGCGAGCTTGCACCAATCTCCATCACTCGACCCTTGCAGAAGCTTCCCCGGACTCCTCCCCGACTGTTGGCGGGCGCGGTGTAAATATCCCGCAGCGGCGCGGCTCGCCAGCTTCAGTCTCTGGCCTTCAGTTCTCCACCTCGAACCCCGCCGACAAGGCCACAATTTCGAGCTCGGTATCCAGCGTCAACATGATGGAATCCGATACAAGCAGTAGTGAGGAGGATGACGAACCCATGATTGGCGACCGCGACGACATGATGATCACCAATACACCCCAGGCGAAGCGGTTGGGAGGTGGAATGAGTCCGTTTGCTGTAGGGAACGTGTCCAGCCCGGGAAATGAGTGGATGGGCGGCTATTCGCAAGCAGCCGCGAGTCTCATGAGCTTCCAGCGGGCCCGTTTCCGTAAGGGACGAAGCAGGCACAGCTCTAGCAGTGCGAGTGGCAGTTCCAAGCAGAGTCCGGGTCCTCTCTCACCACCCGTGATGAAGAGTATCGAAGGTCAGAATGGGGGTTACTTTGGCGCAGGTGCCCGACGAGCTAGTCTCAGCATGGGTACGCGGGATTTGCGCCTTTCAGATGTCAGCGACGAGGGTGAGAACCGCGGTGCGCGTGGGCAGAGCCCAAGCACGTCGAACTCCGAGGGCGGGCCTTTGGGGGTAATTCGACGGGCCGTTACCCGTCGTGGGAGCTTACTCGTAAGTACTTTATTCCGATCACATAGGATGCATCTGACTCTGTTAGCCAAAAACGAAAACCTTTGCGCGTATTCGGGCGGCATTGATGGAGGAGTCTGCTCCAATTGATAGCGAGGCCAAGCGAGAAGCGGAAGTTATTCGACAAGTCAAAGAGAACGAACCTGACGTTGAAGCGAAATCGCCGCTGGGTGATTTGTCTGCTCTTGACACATCCACTCCTGTTGCTCACGGGCAAACCCCAGAGGAAATCCCTCCAAAAGCCGGATTGACGACACCGGACGAACCAAAATTCATCGATCAGGCCAACCGAAATTCGGGAGGAGTCGAGTTCTGGAATTCGTTCGACGAGCGCTACCGCACGCCGCCCCCACCCCAACGCCGACATGGAGCTTCATCGGTCTCTGAAGATGACCTTGCTATGGACATCACACCATCTACCACTGTAGGATCAACTACAGAATTTGCTAAACCGAGCGAACGACCCGGCTCGCGCAGTGAAGCATCTCAAGGCGCCCCGGCTGGGTTTGTTGGCGAGTTCAGGAGGAAACGTCGTCGGGATGATGATTTCGATCCGAACCTCTTCAAGCGGCGAGCGGTATCGCCAAGCATGAGCGCACAGAGTAGCCCGGTCATGCCTAATTCACCGGTGGTCAAAGACACGAGTCCCAGCATCTGGGGGCCACCAAGATCGAACCTTGGCTCGCTGTTCCCCGACCGGCCTGTCACCGAAAATGGACCTCGCAATGGTAACAACCATACCGGAACCCTGAAACGAGTAGGACTACATGGGATGAATGAAACCAGCGATGGCTTCATGAACATGAGCATTGAGTAGGTTGGCTGAGCCTGTCTACATCATTATAACTATTACAACATTCTTCGGTATTGACTAAGGATTCAATGCTGTTAGCGGGATCGGTTGAGTTTGGCGTTATCTTTGCATTTATTGGTGCTATACTTGGGACATAGCTTAACTGCATTATAACTAATATTAATAAACATTATACGGCATACTGAAGTGAATGCATCAGAGTTGCTAGTCAGACCTTAGTGATATAGTAAGTAGTGTTGTAGAAATGATATACGGATAGCGGCAGGTCAGGGGCCACGTGCGGGCTCGGCGGGACTCGCGCTAACTCCGTGTTGACATCGGAGCTCCATCTGCTCACCCAGCATCCACTGCCCCTCTATCCTTCGTGCTTAATCCCTTACTAGCTTACCTTTACCCTTTAACATACTCAACTCTGGCAGCTGAGTACGTTCCATAATCAACCATGGCATCCACAACCGAACTCGCATCCTCCTTCATCGAGGGTGCCCCGCCCGGCGAGGTAGGCAGCTACCCCCTCATGCTCCTATACCTGCATGCCCCCGATCATAGCTAACAGCATCTATTAGCTCGCGGACGTTGTCGCAGGTATGCAATGCAATCCAGACCCTTCATTTCAATCGTTGCCACCCTCATTGTACCCTGCACCGAGACCATACTAAGCAGGTCTACAGACGTCAAGGCTCTCACCTCCGACGGTCCCGACATCATCCCCTCCCTCGCACCGGCCTTCGAGCGCTACAATGAGACACAGTTGGCGACCTTGAAGCTTCCAGGCGCGAGCCAGGAGGTAGGCAGCTAGCTTCCTTATGGTGGAGTCGATCGACTGCTCTGACAACCTCTAGGTCCTGATCAGCGAATACAACAAGCTCGAGGGAAACCGTTACTTCGATGTGGAAAGTCAGACGTCGTTTGAGGTGGACCATGTCACGCAGGTGGGTGGACACAAGCCATTGGGAAGATAAGGAATTGACAGGGAATAGGAAGCATCGGCAGCACAGTCATACGTTCTGGAGTCGCAGAATGCGGATTTGATGTACGCTCTTATCCCTTGTAACTGAGTCAATCGCGGGGTGTGATGCTAACAGGATTGCAGCAAATCCCTCCTCAAGTCCCTCTCCGCACACGCCACCGAACACTACCGCACCTGCAGCTACGGCGTCTACCCGATCGAGGACGACACCGCCGTGGCCATTGTCCTCGTTGCGAACCGCTACTCGCCCAATAACTTCTGGTACATTCTCATATTCGGTTCTGGATGATAAATTACTAATCGGTGACAGGAACGGTCGCTTCCGCGCCATTTACACCCTCCCCGTGAACTCTTCTTCGACCACCATCTCCGGCCAAATCAAGGTCGATGTGCACTACTATGAAGACGGCAACGTGGCCCTGAACACCAACAAGCCGGTGAACCTGTCGGTGCAATCCGTGGATGCCAGTTCCATCATCTCGCGCATCGCGGCTGCGGAGCGGGATTACCAGGAGGAGTTGAACCGGGCGTTTGTTAGCACGGCCGAGGGAGTATTCAAGGGGCTGCGGAGACAGTTGCCGATCACACGGCAGAAGGTTGAGTGGGAGAAGGTCGGAGGATACCGGCTGGGACAGGATATTGCGGGAGGACGGTGATTATTGTAGATGTGTAGATTAGCGTTGAACAATTGTGTGAATTTGAAAGTGACATGTCACGTACATCATCCTCGTTGTGATCCTGATGGGGTGAATATGATCGATAAGCGGATACCGAGCCGATATCGCGTACCCGCCATACCAGCAGCCCCTTGGCAAATAGCCTAATTAATTCCTAGTACTTAAGCGCGTCGTTACCCACCGCCGCCAAATAACACATCTACAATAGACTGCATACCCCCGCATATATACCCTCAGAGCAATAGAAAGAAACCAGAATGTTAGACCATTTATACCGCTTTACACGCACCACTCCAGGTCTCGAAAAGACCCTTCGTCTGGTCCAATCCCTCTGCGTGCTCGCCCTGCAAATACCCACTCTGGAAAATGTGTCCATTTCACGATTCAACACCGCCAAGACACAGTTTGCTTTGAGTTAGTTTTCCTTCAATAGTCCTACTAAATACCCACATCCATCATTGGGATCAACGAGTATTGAACATTAAACAGCAAGACGCTTTCTCCGCTTCTTCAACTTCATCGACTGCTTCAACAAGGCATTTGCCTTGCTAGGCAGCCCTTCTTCCGCTCATGGTAATGTCATCAAGACAGTCATTGAGATAAGCAAGTGGTCCTGCTTTGGATGTTACTTCCTCTTAGAAGATTTAACCCTGGTATGTGTCCCATCCCTCATCCAGACCGCAGTCTTATACTAAAGTGTGTGCAAAGTTACACGCAACATCCATCTACCCAAACCCCTACAACAAAGCCATATTAACAGAAGCAAATAAATTCTGGTTCTATGCGCTGGGGTTCTCGATTTTGGAAGCTGCTTATGATGTTACCTTTTCTTCGGCGTCATCTGCGTCTAAGACGAAGAATGAGAAGGAGAAGAAGAAGCAATCTCCTTCCATCAACCGCTTCTCGCTACTGAAAAAGATGCTTTGTGTTGATGCATGTGATCTGCTCATTCCTGGTACCTTTTTGGGGTGGATTGAGATGGGACAGTTGGGGGTCGGGGTTGGGATGGTGGTTAGTACCCTTGTTTCGGGGTGGGATATGTGGAATGCTGTTTGATCTACCGGAGGGGTTAGTGAGGGTATATAGATCTTCAAATCATGGTAGATATAGAGTGGAGGGAACAGGCGATATTCGCAGAGATTCAGATAATTCTGTGTCGACTTATCTCTTCATCTCTATACACCAACCCATTCTTCCCACCTCTCGCCCCCAATATCGGGAACCCCCATATCCCCAAATAAACTATTGAACAAAGCCACATCCACCGCATGTAAATCCCATTCTTCACTACCACCACGACCATCACCACCGCCACTCCCTATGTCATCATTATCACTCCTCTCAAATCCTATCGTCCCATAATATGGAATATAAACATGCAAACTCCTTCCTCCATCTCCTACCCTCCCATCATACTCCTTTCCTCCCTTCCCATCCTCACCCATATTCTCCCTAGCCACATATCCAACGCCCCCAGCAGCACTCTCCTCCACCCCCAACAAATGCCTCATTATACCTGCCAATTTCCCCGCAATCTCATCCGTCCCTGACCCTGACTCCACCATATCCTCAATAATAGAGAGTGTCCGCTCCATCATCCCGCGATCACTAGGTCGACTATGCGCGAGGAAACTGACTACTGTTCCTATTCCTCCCTTCTTCTCGCGTTGAAGATGGCTTGAAGAGTCGATATGCGCAATACACAACACTGTCATCGCCACAAAAGCAATGAAATCCACCCCACGGCAATAATAGTGCGCTGGACTCGAGGCTCGGAAAGCGATATATCGGGCCAGTATCTCGCGACTCACGGTTATGAGGGTCAGTTTTCTTTGGTCGTACGCAGTAGTATCGTGTGATGAGCGGAGCATGTAGGGGAGGTGCAGGCGGAGGAGAAGTTGGTAGTGCGTGAAATGGGCGTTTAGGCGGAGGGTGTTGTTGATTATAAGTGTCTGGCCTTGGTTGGGTGATAGCTCTGGAATGAGCCACCACTGGGGAGGCATCTGGGCGCTGCGTTCTGGAGCATTTGGTCGATGTCGCTCGTAAGGGAGATATTGTTGATATCTGCTTCAGTACGGTGGAGGATACGGCCTGCTATAATGCAGTGCATGCGGTGCATGCGGTCTTGGGGTATGCATGTTTCTAGGGCTTGAGGACAGAGGCACCGTACTTCGAGATTGGTAGGTGGCAAGCCTAGCATCAGGGAGAGGTAGAGGTCCATCTCGACGAGGCGAAAACACAGGTAATCTGGGTTTAGGGTGTCGCGCGTAGCTGGATCGAGAGTCTTCAGGGATGATGGGGGAAGCCCTCGGTGGAGAGATAGCATCTGTGCGATGGCTGTGGCTCGGCGGGTGGCTAGCCAGGCTTGATGGAGGTTTCCGGCGTAGTTTTGGTACTGAGCTTCGAGCATGATGCATTGCAGGCCTTCGATGGAGGGAGTGAGCTCGTCGTTTGTGGTTACTAGTCTGGTGGCACGGGTAACGGCGCGGGTCATGATGTCGTGGTGGGAGATGGATAGGTTAGATAGGGTTTGGATGGAGGATAGAGGGATGCCTTGGAGGAAGATGGCGAGGGTGAGGAGTTTGCGTGCGATTAGGACGGGGTGGGAGTTTGATGCTGGTAATTGGAGCATTTCTTGTAAAGTTGGTAGGCTGCCGTCTGTGGAGGGGGAATTAGGAACCCAAATTTCATAATTCATATATACTGATATGCCAACAGGGAAATTGTAGATATGGTTGAGCTCCCTCTGGCTCGGCCAGGCCGCGAAAAGGTCGCGGGTTATGCTCTCATACGGGTTTGTGGGAATGTTGTTTGCTGAAGACGGCTCCTGAAAGTATCAACTCTGGGCATTTGGAAAGAGGATATGAGAACTTAACCCACTTGTTCTTCTCGACTAGAGTCCATATAACTGTCCAATATCCCCAAACTGGGAGGGGTTTCGGTATGATTTTCAAGAGATAGCGATTGGCTGCCCGAGTCAACCAGCTGTTCGAGTATCCTCTCTACTCGATCGAGCCTAGCATCAACCAAGTCTTTGCTTGTAGATATAGGGCTGTCTGCGAGCTCCTGACTGATACATGTAGATCCCCGTCGCCTGCAGTTATCGCAGATGGTATTGGGGGAGGAGCTGAAGATACAGCGAACCTTGCGCCGCTTGCATTCCCAGCAGCTCCTTGTACCCTTGCGGACCTTTCTCCGGTTTGCTTGGGAGCGCTCCTCGATATTTGCCTTCATCACTATCAGGCAGGCTTCCGTGTCTCTCGGTCGAGGGGTGAGGGAAAGGAATGACGAGATGCTCCGCGGAAGGATCTCGGACTAAGGTGTTGGATTTGCCCGAACTCGGCGGAATAACGCCATGCTCACATCAGCCCTAGTACAATACGCTATGGCAGGGATGACGTCTCGAAAGACGCGTTATATTTACTAAGCTCCATGAACTTTCTACCTGCCTATCCGTCCCACCCTTCTCAACCGCATACTCAAGCCTTTCCTTTCCACGCCTCGGTCAAGAACTTCTCGATGGGGGTAAACTTGAAGTCAGGCAGCAGAGTATTCCATTCATCCGAAACAGTATAGGATCCAGCATTGACCGCCAAAAGAATCCGAGTGGTCATATATTTCGAGGCCACTGCCGCCTGCTCGGGCGGAATGGAAGGATGATCCACTGTTGGTGTCCACGACGTCTCCCACGTCCCAGCTTCCAAATCTTCTGCCTTCACTCGCTCAATGGTAAATGGGAGCCCACCTGGAGATAATGAATCAGGATAAGATTGTATCTATGTGATGTTGTAGAGAACAAACTTACCGCGAGCTCTCTCCCCTAGAGCAATAAATTCACCGATGGAGATGTTTAAACCCTGGATACCCCCAACCACTGGCCACTCGCCTTCATAGTCAACGGCCCTCGCCACGACTTTAGCAATATCCTGAACAGCTGTCAAGGTGATACGAGTTCCATCGTCCCCGTCTACCAAGATCATTCGGCGGTGAGCAAGGTCGAAGGGGGTCGCGATTGAGGGCAGGTGGCGGGCCGATTGATGTGGATGAGTCAGATAGTTAACGAACACGCCGGGTTGGAAGAGGGTATATTCGAGGACCTAACCGACTTGTATTAGATGTTCCGCCTGGTGGAATGTTGTACGATCATACCTTCTTATCCTTGTTCAGCTCTTGGAGATACCAGCGCGTTTCGCCTTTGTAGGCATACCAGTCCAGGTAGTCCAAGCGGGAGCTTTACTAGGTTAGTGTTGGGATGATAGTAGAAGTGTGATAATATTCTCACGAAGCCCATTCACTCGGCGCAAAGCGCTTCACTCCGGCCTGAACAGCCGCATCGATGAGGTTCTTCTGAGCGGTGCTTCCGGGATCATCCTGCGTAGTGATGAAGGAGAGAACGGTGTGCACTTCTTGAAGAGCCTTGGTTAGTTGAGTGGTGTCGGTGTAGTCGACTTTGATCCAAGTGATGCCTTCGGTAGGTTCTTGGGCTAGGGTATTCTGTATAGACTGGTTAATGCAACAGTACTTCCATTGACTACGGTGCTCGGACACGACGAACCTTTCTAGTCAAAACAATGATTTTATGCTTCTTCGCAGCAATAAGGGCGTCGATAACCTCTCGGCCAACACCTGTTCGAGTGTCAGTGATATAACTGGAAAGACCAGGAACGATTGAAAAGTTCACCGCCGGAGCCTCCAGCAATTGCAACCTTGACCATTTTCAAAGTGGGAATGAGAAAAACCGTTGAAGTATAGAAGTCAATTACTCTTATGGTTTGTGCGAACTGGAATTGTATTTGTTGGGCTCAACGGTGCCGGAGACAGCTGGTCTATATACTGGCTTGGACCGAAAGTTCGGCCGAAGTTATGGCACCATCAAAGATCGAATCTTGAATTAATCTGATCCTTTGTATGACAAATTTACTTGCTTTGATGATTTAAGACAGCTTCTACAAGGAAGGTTCGGTCGAATATCGGAGAAAACATCACTACATACTAGCAGTCTTTTGCTCAAAGGTCAACACTACTGGACATCCGACGTTGATTGGCGTATCGTAGACATCAATTTTCTCAGCAATTCAAGCTAAATCACAATCGAAGATACCCTGTGCACTGCAGCAAGTTCAGTAGCTCGGGCATCAACTAGAGATCAGCATTGTCTCTAACGTCAATGCAGAACAGCTCCGTCTCAGCATAGATGGTCTCAGGGTCTCCACAGGCACTAGCCCAAAGGCGATAGTTGCAACTAGGAGAAAGTATCAGCACGGATGTCTATTGTTTATCATATCAGGCATAGCATACTTGAGAGGGACATCCATCGGTCCAGGTGGAGGGATGGTAACCTCATCTCGGCCCATGACCGCGTATCGCAGGACTAGCTCGGTCACTGGAGGATAGTCAACGCGATTGGTAAGGTAGATGCAAAAGGTCTTGTTCTCCTCTCCACTGCTTCAGTCAGCAATTGTAGAAAAATAGCTCTGAGGGCAAAAGCTCACGAGACATGGGACCATTTGACCGTCAAGGGCTCCTTGAGGTCCCAAGTAGTCTGGGCTGGTTCACCGCCACCTGGCTTTTCCCAAAGCATGTTGAAAGATTGGTATTGATAAAATTAAGTTTTTGAAAGATAGAACACGTCGAGTTTGACCACAGATCAGAACGATGGCACGATATTGAGAGCAGAAAAATGAGCGAAAGGGTCTGCCCTATTATGTACCCGCGGGTGTGCACAATGCCTTCGACAGAGGCAGGGATCCAGAAGTGCTGTGACCGAATATGACGGCGATATATGACTACAATTGCAGTCAGTATAGTTATTCAACTGTTGGTCTGTAAAACCGTGAAGTAAATCATGATGCAGATGTCCATCAGAGGCTGCCTAGGCGAGCGGGGATGTGCAACAAGGTGTAGATGCTGCCTGAGAGATGCAAATACGAGCATTTCACAGCATCCTATGGTTGCAGCTTGCGTTACAGAGGCCCAAGAATTGCCCATGGCGCTCTCCTTCCAGTACATGAATAGATGAGATGTCGAACCAGGACGTACGTTTTATGGGAGGGCGTCTGCAAGATGCATATTAGGTCCTTCCAGTAGCTCATCGCCGCTTACACAATTGGCTGGAGGATAAATCTTTCGGCTATCTAAGCTTCAGATATAAAACCTTTTGCTTCCCAGAGCCCCAGAGCTTGTTCCAGCAAGGATCTAGAAGCTTACTATGTATCTGATTACCCCACTGTGTAACAATGGATGCAAAGGGTCCCTTGTCAATCTGATGAGCTCTCCTCCAGTTTTGGAATGTGTGAACGCAACCCATGAACACATTCTGTGTCACAGTACATCGGCGAATAATCTTCACATTTCTCAGTATGCCCGAGCCTCCCACACTCGCCACTATAGAATTATAGTACGTAAAGATCTGAGTCCTCGCGGCTCATAGTTCGAGGAATCCGGTTAAATTGCAGCCGGTCGCTACCAAACCTTCGAGAACTCCCACCAGAGACAGAACCCCAGACATGTCAACAGCTCCGACAGTCTGGGAGTGAGAAAATTCATTGGAGGCGGGATACCTCGAGGCTAAACAAGGGCTTTGATTCACTTCGCGACATCTTCCATACCATACGCTTTTCTACACGTTAAGAAATTCCTGTTCTAGGTCTTCCACCATCTCTCATGTTTTTTCTTCTACCATATTCCTATAAAGCCTTCAAAGTCAATCTATGGCCCGTCTTTGAATTGCTAACATGCCGAAGACTTCAAGTTACTTTCTGAACACCATAGCAATTAACACCATGCTAGATTTGAAGTCGTCGTTGATGAGAACCAGTGTGGCCTTCCCATGCGGTTAAAAGCTCTCAGTTGCCTTTCCTACCTAGCATCTTCTAGCAAGTATATGGCCGATTCCACCTGCTTTCATATCTACTAACAGTCACCGAGAGAGCTGGTAGAAAATGCGGTCTTCTGAATTGCTACTGTCACTGAAAAGATGCCAGAAGCCTTTCGCAACATCAGCACAGAGATGAAAAATAAATTCTGGTCCCGATGAAATATGCTAATGTCAACAACCGATAACATGAGAATGCCTGTGCCGTTCCCCGCCTGACAGAACTTTTCCATGGGATTTGGCTTGCACGTGGTTAGTAAATAGCAGATATTACCTCCACATATCCTGTCAGGGCAGGACATGCATCCGTGGCCAGTGGGATAGTGGCAAATGACCCCCGGAGAGGAATCCGCAGTGGATCTCCATGATCGGCTCACACCCCGCATTCGCCTTGGAAACGTTCTTCCCTCTATGCTTTTTGTCATCTCGGATACTTCTCCTTTATTGCATCATCTGGCCCCATCTTGATGGTCCATATTTCTCGCACCGTTCCAGAACTACTCGGTATTGATTGCTCGGAAAAGTTGTTTTGTAGCTCAAGTATGCAATCGTGCAAACCCTACTCGGAAAATGATTTGAAGTCACTCGAGTTGTGACCATAGTCCTAAAAGTTGAAAACAGCAATATGACATCTTATCACACTCTGATAACCCCTTGGGCTAATATAAATAACATTTAATCTCTATATACTACGGCGCTCGATGAGTGAGTGCACTGTCACCGGTGATGTTGGCGCGGAGACAGTGCTCGGATAAATATCCGATCAGCGCTAGCATTTCCGAGCCCTCCATCACAGCATCACACATCGTCTTCATTGAACAATAGAGTATCTGGGACTAATTTAAATACTGATTTCTCTTCAATAATTGAGCAAAGTTACTTAAGACTGAATCTGTTTACAATATATCTTGTCTATGTAACAACAACCCCCCAAAACTCAAGATGCTCTCTACAATCGCACCACAACCACCCACACTACAGGAGCCTCTGTCTAAAGGCGATGTCACTTTGCCTTTGGAATCCCAGGAGCCTTCGACAATTGATGAGCTTGTTCGCCAACGTGCATCACTTGGAGCCGCACAGCCCATCATCTCCTACCCGAGCACCGGCATCGAATATGTGGACTATCCACTGCAGCAACTCGATGTTTTCGCATTCCGCGTCTCCAAGGTGCTATCAGATCGCATTCCGCCTCGGAAGTCGTCAGCTGAGATTCCCAAAGTCATCGCTCTACTGGGACCATCTGACCTTAACTACCTGGTGATGCTGCTTTCCCTGGCTAAGCTGAGTCACAGTGGACTGCTTTTATCAACCAGGATATCCGTGGATGCTTACGTCTCGCTACTGGAGAAGACCGGGTCGAGACATATCTTCATTCACAGCTCTTTCCGAGATACCGCTGAGGATATCAAGAAGCGGGTACCTGAGCTTGTCATTGATGAGATTCCGACTGAGGAAAACTATCACTATCCCATTACGGAGGATGTCGACACGAACCTGGTCCCGCACCTTGACCCGAAGATTGAGTCGAAGCATATCGCATGGATAATTCATTCGAGTGGCTCGACTGGACTTCCGAAGCCTATTTTCCATACCCAATCTGCTGCACTGAAGAATTACTCAGGACATATGAACATGTCGGGGTTCGTTACTTTGCCGCTGTACCACAACCATGGAATCAGCTGTCTCTTCCGGACAATTCACGCTAAGAAACAGCTGCATCTCTATAATGCCAATCTTCCATTGACCAGGCAGTACCTGATGGAGATTATGGCCTCGAACGCTTTCGAGATCTTCTATGGTGTGCCGTATGCACTGAAGCTGTTGGCTGAGACACAGGAGGGAATATCCGCTTTGGCTAAGCTTAAGGCCGTCATGTTCGGAGGGTCAGCATGCCCAGACTCTCTAGGAAACTTGCTAGTCGAGAATGGTGTTCATCTCATCAGTCACTACGGATCGTGAGTGCTTCTCAACCGCATTGGAATATTTTACTAACACACATGCAGAACTGAGACCGGTCAGCTCATGATGTCCACCAGGCCTCGCGAAGACAAGGGATGGGACTGGCTCCGCCCCTCTGACTATGTCAAGAAATTCTTGAGATTTGAAGAGCGCTTTCCGGGAGTATTCGAGCTAGTGTGTCTAGATGGCTGGCCCTCTAAGGTCATGACCAACCGACCTGATGGCTCGTACGCCACCAAGGACCTGTTTATCAAGCATCCCACCATGGAGGCATACAAGTACTATGCTCGTCTGGACGATACAATCATCCTATATAATGGAGAAAAGGTCAACCCACTTGACCTGGAAGGACGAGTCCGGCAGCGCAGCACTGTTGCCGAAGCCATTGCGTTCGGAGCAGGCAAAGCTCAGATCGGACTGGCTGTCGTTCGTGCACCTGGCACCGAGTCACTCTCCGATGAGGAGGTCATTGACAGCATTTGGCCGGCTGTTGAGAAGGCTCATGAAGCGCTACCTGCGTTTGGACAACTTTCGAAGAATATGGTCCGAGTGTTGCCTGCAGACACTCCCTACCCTCGGACTGACAAGGGCACCATCATCCGTCAAGCCTTCTACAAGAACTTCCAACCTCTGATTGAAGAAATTTATGCCGCTATGGATGCCATGACTGGCACGCTAGTTCTGTCTGAGCCTGAACTGAGGGACTTCCTTAAGAAGCAAATTCTGCAAATCCTGCCCCTCAAGGACACCAGCCTGTTGACAGATGACGCCGACTTCTTCTCACTGGGCATGGACTCCCTACAAGCCAGCCAACTACGCACTGTGCTCGTCCAGAAATTGGACACCAAGGGTCAACAACTTGGGCTCAACATTGCCTTCGAGCAGCCCACTATTGCCGTGCTCGCCCGTTTTCTGGCCGCTGTACAGTCTGGAGAAGCCCTTCCAGATTCTGAGCCGATCCCTGAACAGATGCGTGCACTCATCTCACAATTTAGCCACTTTGAACCACATGTTCCACGTCCTAATGGCCTTCCCGGTCGTTACGTCGTAAGCCACCTTTACCATCTCAACAAGTACACCTTCCTAACAATCACAGGTCCTCACCGGCGCCACCGGCTCCCTCGGCAGCAACGTTGCACATCAACTCGCGCAGAACCCCTCCGTGAACAAAGTTTACTGCCTCATCCGCGCCTCCTCTCCCATTGAAGCCTACAAGCGCCTCCACGACGCTCTTCACGCACGCCACCTCTACAACCCCCTCTCATCTTCCTCCAAAGCCAAACTCATCGCTCTCCCCGCCCTAGCCCTATCCCACCCAACCCTTTCCCTGCCCGAAGAAACCTACAACACCCTCCTCGCCGAAACCACCGATATCATACACTGCGCCTGGCCCGTCAACTTCAACCTTCAACTCGGCAGTTTAGCACATGACACTCTCCCCACCTTACACAACCTCCTCACTCTAGCCCTAAAAGCCCAGCGCCCCGAACCTGCCACCTTCAACTTCTGCTCCTCCGTCAGCAGCGTTGTCAACAGCACCGTCTCCCCTATCCCAGAATCCCTCCCCGACTCCCTCACCGCCGCGCAGTCCATGGGCTATGCGCAGTCCAAGCTCATCGCAGAACACATCTGCGCCAACGCCACGCCCTACCTGGATGCCCGTGTCCTCCGTATCGGACAAATCATCGGCGACACCAAGCACGGGGTATGGAATGCCACGGAGGCGATTCCGCTGATGCTTAGGGCTGCGGTTACGGTAGGGGCGTTGCCGAGATTGGATGAGAGGATGCGGTGGGTGCCGGTTGATGTTGTTGCTGGGGCAGTGATGGATATTACGCTTCACCAGGGGGAAAGAGAAGGGAGGAAAAAGGGGGTGGATGATGTGGAGGTATATAATATTCTGAACCCGTACAGTTTCCATTGGACACAGGATCTACTTCCTGCTCTGAGGGCTGCCGGGTTGAAGTTTGAGGATGTGGAGTTTGGGGAGTGGATTCAGCGGGTGAGGAATGTGGCGGATCCGGAGAGGAATCCGCCGGTTAAGTTGGTCGGCTTCTGGGAGGGGAAGTATGGGAGTAAGAAGCCGTTTAGGGGGTTGGAATTTGTGACGGACAAGGCGAGGGAGAGGGCCGAAGGGTTGAGAGGGTTGAGTGTGGATGGGTTGGAGGGGGGTTGGTGGGCAGGATGGTGGAGTGGTTTAGGGAGATTGCGTGGGTTTGAAGTAGTATATATGGTATCAGTTAGTGGTTAGATGTGTTACTCAATTGGATTTGCTGTGATAGTATGTTTTGAGATGATTATCTTATGGATATATGACTCGAGTGCGAGATAGGTGCAATATTTAACTATTTACTAGTAGGATTGGACATAGGTTGAATTCCATTTGCACAGTCTCTTCGGCTTACAACAGTTTTATGATTCTACTGCTAGAGTTCCTCAATACTGCTTTGAATTGACGAGGCCCATGAATTTATTTAGAAGAAAGCCATCACTGTACTTAGTACTAGAACCTATGATGCTATAGTACGGGCTGGTGCTGGCGCAGATATATATAGACCACAACGGATCATAGTACCAGTAAGTATATTATAGATAAGTAGTAGTGGTCTATGAGCTCAAGAACCTGATTACTACTTATACATCGAATAGAGCACATACCCACAAGATACAGAATTGACAGACACTTGCTATCGCATTTAGAGGAGAGATGAAGAGCTGTGTTTACATATATAGTATTTGTGTGCATGGGAGAGGAACAGGAAAATGAGTGGTAAATCACTATAACCGCGGCACTGAGCGGTCACCAGTGGCAATATCTGATGACTGGGAGTACTACTCCGTAAAAGACTCAGAAAGGCTGTGACATGTAAGTGGGTCAGCAGCATGCATGAACCAATGGGGTCTGGCACACGTTCTTGTGGTGATAGATCGATTATCTGAAGTGACTGGAATGTTCTTATCCCAAAACAGGAAACAAGCTCATCATGTGATGCCTGGAAAGCGGTGAGCTGCTTTCACGTGATGTGGCAGGATCCACAGCGGTGAGCCGCGGCAGATCCGCCTTTTTGCTGTCGGTGATTGGCTGCGGGAAAAAGTCAGTAGCAGAAAAAAAAATAAGAGCAGCGGGAAACGGTTGCCATCGAAGCGGCGGGAGGTCTGCCAGCATCAAAACTTTTCCCTTCTTCCTCTTCTTCCTCTCCCCTTCACTTGCTTTTCCTCGTTCTTACCACGCTTTTCCGGTAGACGATCTTTCTTTCTTTCCCTTGCATCATTTCTTGACCATCCATTCTTTGGTCTGATTCTTCGTCTTCTTTTTTCTTTACTATTATTATCTTGTTCGCATCTGTATAATCTCTTGTCAAGATGTCCGGTGTTACGCCCGTTGCTGTCTACGCCCTGCGCGTCCCCGCCAATGGTGCTCTGATCCCCGCCGTTCCGGAGTTCTCTGCCATGGTCAGTAGCTGAATTTGCAGCCATTGAACCCATTGTATTCCTGTATCTAACCGTTTGCGACAGTTCCGTGTCAGCATGGCTGCCATTGACCCCGATGAGGCTCCCGAGTACGAGGACGGTTTCGACTCCAACAAGCGCCCCCGTGCTACCCTGAAGCTTGTGCGCGCTCCCCCTGGTCTCGACCTCGAAGGCGAGGACGATGACGACGAGGACTGGGAGGACGACGAGGATGAGGATTCCGAGGACGACGAGGAGGTCAACGGTGGTCCCAGCGACAAGGAGAAGGCCCGCAAGCTCAAGCTGGCTGCCGCTCGCAAGGAGCTCGAGGATGCCATGGATGAGGATGATGACGAGGAGGACGACGAGGAGGGCGAGTTCGACCTCAAGGCCGCCATCTCCAAGCTGATCAAGGGCAAGGCCCCCGCCAACGATGACGAGGAGTCTGATGCCGAGTCCGATGAGGGTCTTGAGCTTGACGAGACTGTCATCTGTACCCTGGACCCCGAGAAGGTATGCGAACTTCAGAATCTCCTTATGCGAGTATGCGCGCTAACCCGCCATGTAGAACTGCCAGCAGCCTCTCGACATCGTTGTCAACGAGGAGGAGCCCGTCTTCTTCAAGGTTACCGGTACCCACACCATCTACCTGACCGGTAACTATGTCATGCCCACCGACGACCACCACCATGACCATGATGACGAGGAGTCCGATGAGGAGGACTACGACCTTTCTCCCGATGAGGATGAGCTCGACATGGAGGACCTGATCGGCGAGGATGACGAGAGCGATGACCTCGACGACCTGGAGGACCCTCGTATCACCGAGGTCGACAGCGAGGAGGAGGAAGCCCCCAAGCTCGTTGAGTCCAAGGAGACCAAGGGTAAGGGCAAGCGCGCTGCTGAGCCCGAGGAGGCCAAGCCCGAGCCCGCCCTCAGCAAGAAGCAGCAGAAGAAGCTGAAGAAGAACAACGGCGAGGCTGCCCCTGTTGAGGAGAAGAAGGAAGCCAAGGAGGGCAAGGAGGCCAAGAAGGTCCAGTTCGCTAAGAACCTTGAGCAGGGCCCGACTGGCTCCACCCAGCAGAAGCCTGCTGAGAAGTCCACCGGCACCCTGGGTGTCAAGGAGGTCAAGGGCGTCAAGATCGACGACAAGAAGCTGGGTCAGGGTGTCGCCGCCAAGGCTGGTAACACCGTTGCCATGCGCTACATTGGCAAGCTCGAGGACGGCAAGGTCTTCGATGGTAAGTCACGAGTCCTATAATAAGAGCAGAAGGTTCTGGTGCTAACTCTCTGTGTAGCTAACAAGAAGGGCAAGCCTTTCACCTTCAAGCTCGGCAAGGGCGAGGTCATCAAGGGTTGGGACATCGGTGTCGCCGGCATGGCTGTCGGTGGTGAGCGCCGCATCAGCATCCCCCCTCACCTCGCCTACGGCAAGCGTGCTCTCCCCGGCATCCCCGCCAACTCCAAGCTGATCTTCGACGTCAAGCTTCTCGAGATCAAATAGATCTGAGTCCCCCTACTAACATCTAGCTGTCTGTGTCTGTTACTCCATTTGGGTTTGCTTCACCGGTGTTTGGGGGTTCGTTCAATCTGACATCAGTCCTGTGATATCCGACTTGTTTTTCTCTTGCACAGCCTTCCGATGCATATTGGCAGGGATGAGGATATTGCAAGCCATCCAACTATCTTTGTCTAATAAAAAGTGTTTGGTTTGATTCATTTGGGTGCCGTCCTTGCTCTTGTAGTGTCTAAGTAGATGATGTTCAAGTAGAGCTTTGCTCTGTTCCTGCCTTAAATGTGCAGTCTTCGTCCCGTCGTGCCTGCCGTGGATGAAGCCCTCTGCAGAATACTCTGCCTTGTAGAATTTCTCACCATCATTCTCATATGTCTGTAAAGATGGTATGCCGACACATGCAGCATCTGAGTCCAACGTTGCTCTCTGGGGATTACCAATACCGCACATATCCCCAATTTCTCATTCATACCACTCTCTTTCGCTAAAATCCATTATCAACCTCTCCAGGAAGCGCATGATTTATTCACTGGCCCGACTAACTCAGTCCCTGGATCGTTCATTGCGATGATCGTCCATCTCACGCCCGACACCATCTGTTCCACTCCCCGTGGCAGCCCAGCACACCCAGACCTCACCATGGAGACCACCGTGGAACTCTCCGGCAGCGCCTCAACCATTTCAGCCGATGCGGAGTATCAGGCAGCCCAGCGCAAAAGCAACGGCATCCGAGATCGCGTCAAGCAACGGAGCTCTAGAATCCTCTCTTTACTGGGGCTTCGAGGCCCCGGTGGTGGTAGGGCTGTGGATTATGGTGGAACAAACATCTGAAGGCTGACGTGGGACATAGTATTGAAAACAGTGACCACGCGTGAAACTACTGTCCCGCAGAAACCTTCGAGCGAGAGCAACCCATCAGAGTCTTTTCATTCTCTTCCAGCTGACAACCGAACCCCATCTAGCAGCACCGCCATGGAGGAAGAGGAAGGCCGTAAGGGCCTGCTGACTTGCATCACCCACAGCTGTACAACTCCATTGCCTGAGACATTCATGACATCTGCCGCTCCGAGAGAGGCAGACTCTCCAGAACAATCAGGCGATACAGCACGAGCACGGAAGTCGGAGGTGCCTGAGCTACAGAGCGGTTCAGTAGCCACAGTCAAACGAAGCAAGTCAACGCCCGCTGTCCTGACTAGTATGGTGTCAACAAAACTGTCCACGACATTCGGCAATCCCACTGTCATTCGTCGCTCGCATCTTCGTTCGCCTCTAAACATAATGCCGGTGCAATTTCCAGCTTCCTCGCCAGGCCCAAGCAGACCGGGTGAGAGCCCCAATGACAGCTCGAGTCCGTCGACATCTCTCATAAGTAGTGTGTCTCCGTTGGGTACACAGTCCACTCCTCCCACTTCTGAGGACCCATCACGGGGTTCGAAACAGGCTCTTGGCGGTTCAGTCAGAGCTTTACCATATTCTTCGCTTCCACTCCCTTCAATGGAAGAAGCTTCGGGCTCGTCCGAAGTTTCAGGGACATCGCCGTCGATTGTGACAGTTGAAGCTGCTGCCAATGCCAAAGTTTTCTTTGAGACATACTTTAACAACGTCTTCTGTGGGACAGACCCTCGTTCACAGCGTCGCCAGGAGCTGGAACAATATATGTATGGACTGCCACTGAGTCCCGAAGAACGAGCACGGATCTGGGACAACTGGATCACTCAGGAACGCCACTACCTCCGTCAATGTCGTGTTCTCAAGAGTCGGTCCTATGGCGGCAGTAGCCATGATATGACTGTGTCCCTCGCTGGGTTTGAGGTCATCAAGGTGCTTGGACGGGGTAGCTTTGGGGTCGTGCGCCTCGTGAAGGAAGAGAAGGCAGAACAGACAAACTACGATGGTAACTCGGAAGACAAGCTCTTGCGCTGGAGAAACGAAGCTACAAACACCCGAGCACATGGGCTGGACTCCCTTCGGTCTGTGAGTGATGCAACCAAGAGCAGCCGACGCAAAATCATGACTGGCGTGAAGAAGGATGTCTTCGCGATGAAGGTCATTCGCAAGTCGGCGATGATTCGTAACAGCCAGGAAGGTCACTTGCGAGCCGAAAGAGACTTCCTGGTGGCATCGGCCAAATCTCGCTGGATTGTACCATTGATAGCTAGCTTTCAGGATCAGAACCACCTTTACCTCATCATGGACTACATGGTGGGCGGGGATTTCCTCGGCTTGCTGATGCGTCGAAACATGTTGCCCGAGACAGTTGCCCGATGGTACATTGCTGAGATGATTCTCTGCATTGAAGAGGCTCATCGACTGTGCTGGATCCATCGCGATGTCAAGCCGGACAACTTTCTGATCTCGGCCTCGGGTCACTTGAAGATCTCGGACTTTGGTCTGGCCTTTGACGGGCATTGGGCACACGATCAGGTCTACTACAATGACCACCGCCACACACTCCTCAAGCGGCTCGGGATCCGGGTAGACGGCGATGCCCTTGACCAAACCGAGGCGAAAAGGATGGCTGAGTCTTCCAGTGCGCTGGATCCGGGACCAGTTGACGACTCCGGGTGGACGCCCCCCACTGCTGGTCTCCTAGGATGGCGCGATCGCACACAGAAACGGCGGTTAGCTGGAAGCATCGTAGGGACCAACCAGTATATGGCCCCCGAGGTGGTTCGTGGAGAGCTGTACGACGGGCGATGTGACTGGTGGAGTATTGGCATTATCCTATACGAGGTAAGACATACCCTGTTGCTAAGGTGGCTGCAGACATTGATATCGGCACCAGTGCCTATATGGCTTCACTCCATTTGCTTCGGATGATCGCCAGAAGACGAAGTTGAAAATCCATGTAAGCACCCCTTCGCTTGTGTGCAGGTGAGGGTGACTGAGTGCTTGAAGCATCATCTCCAAACCCTACATTTCCCAAACCGACCATCCGATAAGCTCATCTCTGCCGAAGCAATCGACTTGATAAACCATCTTCTGCAGGAGAAGGAACACCGCTTGTCTTCCAGCAAGTATCGCGTGAATGACTCCGTCACCTTTCGTCTGGCAGCCAAGCATCCCCTTTATTACAGTATGGACCCTCGCAATAAAAGCTATCGCGGGTTCTATGTATACCCCAATGACGCAACAGACATCAAGAACCATCCCTTTTTTTGCTGTATCAACTGGAATGAAATTCACCAGTCAATACCCCCGTTCATCCCCAAGGTCAAAGGCTGGGAAGATACCCGGTACTTCGATGACGCGGGATATGAGCATGGTCACGACGAGGCCTCTGCAGCCTCAGACGCAGAGCATGCCGAGCCCTCCAGCGAGGCAGACGAGCGAGACGAGTGCCACCCAAATAGGGGAGACCCGCCCCAATATCAAGACATTGACAGCCTGCTGAGTCCTGTCGCAAGTAAGCCGCCCCAGAAAAACCGCCGTAAGGGGAGGGACAAGAAGCGACCCAGGGACAAGTTGCTGCGAGACCGCAAACTACGCATGACGGTCTTGGAGATGCGCAAGAGGGGTGCATTCTTGGGATATACCTATCGCCGACCTCATGCCGTTGCAATGGCATTGGCCCCAGACCGCGGGCGAGGACTGCTGGCACGAGGCCATTTGTCGGAGCTATACGGATAGAGAGCAGGTGTCCTGGTCTCCTCTGATATTTCTGTACCTTGTCATGAATCACGATGTATTCTTCGCACCGTATTCTTGCCTCTCATTCTTACTTTGGCCATGATTTCCTATCCAAACGGAACACACTTGTCTGGCTATGACGTACTATTGATTATCTTGCATGACAGATGCACACGCTATCTTTCACTGCAATGTCCAGTGCTAATGAAAATTTTTATCAAGGAAAAGGAAATGTATCTTCCATTTGTCATAACTCAGACATCATAGAACACATCCAACCATCCATCCCCGTCGCCTTGAAACTCCAGATGCAAGTGTCAGTCTGTCAAAAGCGACCCTCAATAATCCACCCAATGCAATGTTTGCAAGGCGAAGAAAGTAAACAAAGTATGAACTTGAAAAAAGAAGTTGTATTCTAACACCCACATATATGGAAGTGTCGCGTTACCTTGAATAGCGAGAATTAGGCATACCAGCGAAAACAGACGTAGGTGAGAGCCGGTATGTTAGACATGTTGACGTCGAGAAAAAGGTAGGGTATCACGAGAGAGGCAGGGAGGGATAGGAATATATGAATTAGCGGCACGAGAGGTGGTCTTTCGGCGTACGTGTACGGCGACAGCCGGAGAGGGAGAAGAAGGGGAGGGAAAGAGAAGACTGAGGAAGGTATATCGTAAAGGAAGGAGGCGGAATGGTGTATGTTGTGAAAGAATCACAGCGCGGGCGGAGCACCCATCGCGAAGGCGGAATCGGTGACGCGGTCTTCGGGTTTCATGGTACCGTTGAGAAGGGGGCAAAGTCTGTAGGCGAGAAGAAATTGGTGGTGACTGGTTAGCGCGCTGTTTGGTTTGTGTCTTTTTTTTCTTTTGCTTTTTGCTGTTGTTCTTGTGTATGAATTGTGTTTTGGTTTGCGCTTTTGTGTCAAATGCATATGTTGCATGAAAAATCAATCCTTGCAGTGTGGGGGTGGGAGAAACTGCCGTTAAGTTGGGAGAAGGGGGTATGCTAGATGGGGGAGGTGTAGGGTAGGTAGGGTAAAGGGGATAGTCCTCTGTCTCTTGGGCCATAGTAGTCGGCGGGACCTCGACCTGGGCTGAGAAGGGCTAGCACCAGGAAATTATGAAGCCGAACCTGACAGTACGGGATCCCTGGGAAGGACTACGGGTTCTTGGTAAAGAAGGGGAGGTCGAAATCTGAGGGGTTGTTTGGAAATCCAAAGGAGGGACCTGATTTATGGCATACGCACTTTTTGTTTGTCTTGATGTGGCCGACTTGGCCGCAGTTGGCACACTTCCGTTGTGTACCGGCGGATTTGCCGCCATCGGCGGGGGAGTCGCCTGCAGATGCGCGGGCTGCGCCCTTTTGCTTCTCGCGAGCGAAGCGTCGTTCCTTGTTGCGGTTGAGACGGCTGAGTTCGGCTTCCAGGCTGTGGGGGGTTAGTGCGTGAGTTGGTCTTTGGAGGGGGTTGGGGGTAGGGGAGGTTGTTAGTAGTTGTTGGTATGATTTGGACGTACAGCTTCTTGTTACGAGCGTCGATCTCCTTGTCGCCCGTTGGCTGGAGGGACTCAAGTCTAAGAAGGTCGGTTAGGCTGATAGATGTTAGAGGTCGATGGGGTGTGCTTACTTGGTGGTCAGTGCCTCCACCCGATGCCGATGCTGGATGTAGTGGCGAATAACCCGGGGATCCCAGATCGTTTGTTCTTTCTGGTAGAGCTGACCCTTTTCGTCTCTGAGCGTCCGCATAATGCGCAAAACCTTGCCCTTTTGGTCGGCGGGCATACTCATCCTGCTGAACTGACTCATCGTCTCGTCGTCACGGCGGAAAGGAGCAGGAGTGGGAGCCTCTGATCTTGGGGTCGGCTTGCCGAACTCCTCCTCTTCCTCGCGGTCAATGTCGCTTTCCTCGTCCGAATGTTCGACTGTTGAAGACAGACTGGCCTTTTGAGAATCCCAGATGCGTCGGATGGACGTTTCATATGACTTCTGCTGCCGGGCAACATTGTAGCTGTGGCCTCCGAGCTCCTTGAGCCGCTGGGCATCGAGTTTATCTTCCACACTCTCGCCAACCGCCTTGAAGCCGCCCTTCATTGATGTCTTGATGAAACTGAAGCCTTCGCCGCGCCCCGTAGGATCACCTTCACCGTGTAGCTTGAGCATTGCTTTGCCCTGCGATGCTAGGAGGAAATTGCGGGTTGCCTTCCAAGGTGCCATCTGTTGCTCGAAGCTCTCCCCTTCCTCGTCGCCATCTCTGTCTTCGTCTTCCCGTTCCTTTTTCTCGCCTTCATTGCCGGTTTTCTCAGCATCATTGCCAAAACCAGTGTCGTGCAGATGTTGCTGACCGACCTGCATGGATTCAAGCAGACAAACGTCCTCGGGCTGGACCCATGACCGAATCACGTCCTGCTCCGGCACAGGTTCCATCGGCACCCAGTACTTGGAGTCTTTGTCGTGCTGGAGGAAATCCTTGACTTTTTGTCGATTTTGCATATCGCTAGTTCCTGGGATGTGCGCGGTGACATCGCTGATAGAGAGCCGAAGGTCTGGGCTCTTTTTCAACAAGCGGTATACCAGCATCTTCATCCGGTTCTTGGCCACCGTTGTGACCTTTCGTGAATGGGGTCCCGGAATGTCTACCGACGGGAACTGTTGACCGGCAACATAGAGGTTCTCGATGTTACGGATGTAATAATCGCTGCCACCAGAGCCAGTACTGCTACGTACGATCAAGAAGTCGGTCTTCTTGGCTTCGTGCACGAACAATGGGGCACGATACATAGAATTCGAGATGGCCGGCGTCACCTCGCCAGGATCCACGTGTCCGAAGATGGAGAAGGGGCTCTTATCCTGGGGGAGGAGAACCGCGGTTTCGCCAATTTCGGCCTTGGGGCGAGTGGGGTCTTCCATGCTCTTTCTCCGATAGTAATTGATAATCCGATTTGACATACCGAAATTCGACAGCACGAGTGGAACCTCTTCGGAGTATTCCACCAGCAAAACGTTGGAGTTGTCAGCCAAAGAGAGCGACTTTGTAGAGTCGTAAAGTTGCTTGACGTCCTTGCCCTTTTGGTGCTTTCGTTTGATATGAGCTGGGTTCTTAAACCAACAGGTCTGTCCAGGCCGGAAAGAGAGAGCAGGGCGATGGTAAGAACGCGCTTCGGCCTTGGACAGCTCGGTCTTGTAGTAAGGCCATTGCAGACGCAGGGCAGGCATACTGTGCTCCAAGGTAACGTTGCCCAGGGTACTGCGAACCTTGTTCTGATGGTTCTGTTTCAGCATATCGTATGCCTGATCGTTCGAGATGTTGTAACGTGAGGTCAGACGTTTGGTGACACTGGCATCCAACTCGTCCCGCTTGAGAGCACCCAGCGCCTTTGGCTTCTGCGCAGCAGCCTCCGCTCCTCGCTCGTCAAGGAGAATATGAGGATCGTTCATGTCGACTGTGACCTTTTGAGCAATGCGGGAAGTGGCTTGTTGCGGGTCGTCAATCACTGGTACATCAATATGGGACAAGGCGACGATTTCAAGCGGATCTCTTCCAAGTTTCCGTTTCTTCGCGGGGCGAGTGGTTTCGAGAAGCCAGTCGTCTTCCATATCAACATCGGCCTCTTTGACCTCCGCCTCCTCAACGTCCATGATGGAGAAGTCATCCCTCACATCCCAGTCCGCGCAGACAACACGAAGGTCATGATGGGTTATACCCCCAGGGAGCACTTCCTCCGTATCTGTGTCCTGATCAAACTCTTCCTTGATCTCCTGTTCCTCCTCCTGGGCCGCCTCCAAGACGGGAACCACGCCGGAATGCTCCGACTCCAGCGAACGTTTGAGCGACTGGCCTCCAGACTTGAACGATCGCTCTTGGTCATGAGCCAATTCGATATTCACCTTATTAGGGATAACGGGCTTCGGGGGCTTCAGAGGCTGCTTTCCAACAAAGAAGGCCTTCTTGTGGGGGATCAGCTCAAGGAAACGCGGAAGAGCATTCTTGTCGAACATTGGGAACAGCGACTGCAACAGCTCCTCGACATTCTCTGGCGGCGCAGGCACGTTTTCCGGACCATAAGACGACATAGCAAAGAGAGCCTGTTGGAGCTTCCAGGCGCGAAGAGAAGCCGGGTCCATATCCTCCGCTGTCGGACTCAACGCCTCATCTTCCTGCATCGGTTCGTCCTCGTCTTCGTCCATCGGCACGGGTTCGGGCTGCGCGGGCGCGGATTCGACAGGCTTCGGAGCCTCTGCTGGCTTCTCACTCTCTCCTTCCTCCTCGAAGAACAAATCTCGTGTTGCGTCGGCATGTTCCGCTGGGGGAGAAGAGGGGCCATCGCCGAATAGGTCGTCCAGTTCATCGCGCGGTGGTTGTTGATTTTCGTCCTCCTGGCCACCGAAGAGATCATCCTCCTCCGCTTCAAACAAGCCTTTATCTGCGTCGTCTTCTTGTTCCCCGAGTCCATTTTCGGCGGGCGGTCCGGTTCGCTCTTCTTCTTCGGGTAGCTCGTCGTCATCGAAATCTTCGTAGTCCACCGCGTCGTCTGCCTTTTCGCCGGGTTCCAAGTCGCGGGAGAGGAAATCAAACGACATGTCGCCTTCCCCGAAGGGACCGTTCATCTGTCGCATCACATTCTCGAAGGCGGTATCCTCCGCGTCGGGCGCGGGGGGCTCTGTTGCGTGAGGCATTTTGATGAAATGTGGAATGGAGGATGGTGAGATGAGGGATAGCTGGGAAAGCGAGTAGATATCAGCGCCCGGGAGACAAGGTGGTGAAGACGCGGAGCATCGAGTGGTGAATGTGAGGTGCGATAGAAAGGGCGCGCTTGTGAGATGGCATCGAGACGACCCTGTCTACCAGAGACTTGCGCAGGTTGAACGCGATGAAAAGGATAGCTCGATAAGCTCAACCTCGAATGGCCGAGACCCGGACAAGCAATAATACCGTCTCTCCTTCGCTCCCGTTGGAGATTCCGGCTGGCTGCTAAGACCAGTCACGCAACACTCCGGCTGTTTTGAGAACGGTTCGTGTCACGAGGTGCACTAGCTGGATTCGGTTAGTGCGATCAGCGGTTCGAGACAGCCCTCGACAGCATCAATGATTCTCACCCTCTACTTCCCTCAATCTGGAGTCCTGCTACTACGCACGATTCTGTCAGTAAGCAGAACTTGGGTCAAAGTCTCTTTATGCTTCAAGTTTTACATCAATTGGCCTATCATCTATGGACTCACCAAACTAAACCCATTGAAGGGTTTAAATATACTTTGCACGTTGCAAATATATGTAGCTTTGAGCTAGTAATTTCAAGGTCATTATCTTTCTCGCTGTAGTGCCCGATAACCTTTCGATTGATGTGCTGATGGTACTAGAAGTTGTGCTTCTAGTAGGAGACTCGGAGGAAACTGTAATAAAATGAAAGCATGATACTTAACTCCGAGCCATTACCTTTGTGTGTAGAAGTAGTATACTCTGCCAATTAGGTTGTAACTCACATTATGCATTTATCGAAGCTCGAATGAATGAAGGAATCCGAAGACAATATTTAGGTAGAAGCTGGAAAAGAGCGAGCCGACTACGAAAATAGCAGAGGTTGAGTGCCCTAACATCCAAATACAAGTTTACAGCATTACTCTGTACTATAAGGATAGCCGAGACATGATTCTATGTAGATGAGAATGCCGGGTTGAGTCATTAAATGCTCTCGTGGATAGGGGGATGATCATATACAAATTTCTCAGAAAATTTGGCTCTCTGAGATGCAGCACATGTGGCCTACAATCAGAGAACTGATGCTGGTATTTCGTATCTGACTAGCTTTACAGTTCCCTGCGATCTATCGGAAGCCATATTTCGAAATAATCAATCTTAATACTTTTCCATCTTTAAAATTAGGACCAGTTCATGCTGATGGTTAAGCTACACTCAATGTACCACAAGACTGAAAAAGAAAGCAATCTGGCGGTAGTTGTGAACGGTTGTGGTGGGAGGTCATGTATAAGTACGCCTGAATAGATGATTGGATGTAGAAAAAGGAGAGGATCAGAAACGAGAGACTGAGGAGAAAACACGCAGCGAAACATTTGTACTCTTGGTTCTAGTTCTTAGCCACCGAAGGCATCTAATTATGTGCATTTATATAGGCCTTATTGCCGCTTTCTGGTTACGTTATTGTTACACACCACTATCAGACGACTCGGACTTGTTGTAATTCTATATGAATGTGCAGCGGCAGACATAGACATTTCATCCTTTGACACCCTTCAGCTGCAGTTGCTAGCTCACTACATTCTTTTAATTTAGCCGCCTGAGTCGGATCATTTTCCCATCCCAGACCGTATCCCCGGACTGAAAGTCGCTCAAGGATGGAAATAGTTTCCGATCGCAGTTGTGGACTGGTGCTTATATCTCGTCTATATCTATTTGTTGTTGTGACCGAAATGTCTAACTGGCACACTGCTTATCATCTGTAAGCTAGTAACTTTCCTTAATCAGATCGGAAGCCCTCTCAGCGACAGCATACAGAGTGCTGGTCAGATGGCCGCAGAGCTGGAATGGCAGGACTGATGCATCGACGACGCGAAGATTCTTGGTGCCATAAACCTTCAGCTCGGGACTGACAACGCCACCCTTTTCGCGAGGAAGCATGCTGGTGGTGCCGACGGGGTGGTAGTTTGTTCGGTCTGCGATGAATAGGTACGTTAGCGACCATGTTGCAGATTTCCGTTTCGGGTAAATCATTAAGGCTTACAGTTTTGCTGAACCCACTTGGTCCAAGTGGCATTGGACGCATTAGCTGGTAGCACGTCGAGGCCAGGAGTAACTTCCTCTCCTACAAGGCTGTTAAGAGGTGCAGTTCCCAAAGCCTTCCGAATGTATTGCGCCACCGTAATCTGAGCCTCGGCATCTTGGCTGAACATGAAGTAGTTGGGATTGATGGTAGGATAGTCAGAGGCGTTCGTGGATTGGATGTGTACGCTGCCGCGGGAGAAGGGGAGAAGAGGCCAGTACTCAACGGCGAAGGATTGCCCACTGGGAGCGAAGACGACTTCCGCATAGGGGACCAGGGACTTGAAAATCAGGTCGTACTGGTGCTCGAAGGCCTCCACGAGGTTAGCCTCCTTGACAGCGCCGTTCGAGGCGTCGGCGACAGTCTTAGCATAGCTAGCAAGCTGGGATTTGACGTAGGAAGCCAAAGCAGTGGCGTTATCGCCGTAGAGCTGGTTCACAGATGGCAGGACGGAGAAGGTTGCCAAACCAGTGAGAGTGTCGACACCTTCCCAGGAAAGAGCGTTGTTGGTCTGATCCTGTAAGCTCTCGCCGACGGTGGTAATGTTGACCTTGACGGGGATGTTGTGCTTATTGAGGATGTCAGGGTTTCCGATACCAGACAACTCGAGCAGGGCAGGGGATCTAAGCGCGCCGGCCGACAGGATGACCTCCTTGTCAGCGTAGATTGTTTCCGTGCCGTAAGCGTTAGTGACTTCGATACCGATGGCCACTGCCTCTCCATGGGTGGTGTTGGCCCAGATGACCTTGTTCGCACGAGTATTGGAAATGATCTTCAGGTTTGAGCGGGCTTCATAAGGCCAGTAGTAAGCCCTGGCAGCATCTTCGCGCACGTTCATCTCCCGGTCCAGGGTGTCGGGGTGTACAGTGAATCCAACCATCTTGCCGCCTTCAGAATCGGGGTTATACTGAACGCCCAGTTTCTGAAAGGTTTGTTCGAGAACTGGGAAGACGCTGCTGTTGGTCATGGAAGTAGGCCAGCCAACCTTCAGCGGGCCATTCAGACCATGATAGCTAGCGTTGTAGTTGGCACCATGAGCGATCTGGTCCTTGGTAGGCACCTGGAAGCCTTCCGACTTCTTATAATATTGAAACAGGTTCTTCCAATTCCAACCCTTGTTTCCGAGCACTTCCCAATTGTCAACTTGTACGTCTTCGGCCCGAGTATAGGACATTCCTGTTGTAAAAGATTTAGTCAATATCAAAGTATCTATCATATGCTTGTAAGGAAAAGAAAGAATGACTTACCATTGATTGCACTCGTACCACCGAGAGCCTTTCCAGCACGGATAGTCTGCGGCAAGCCTCCTGCATATGTCTGGTTGTCAGTTTGGTAGGCCCAGTCGACCTCCGTCCCGAACGCCGTGCTGTAGCCCATGACATTAGACACGTTGAAGTTGTTCAATGCTGATTCACCGGCCTCAATGACGGCCACAGTGACATTCTTCAGTTCCGAAAGTCTGTTGGCAACAACCAAACCACTGGTGCCTCCGCCGACGATGACAAAATCATAGTGAGGAGATGAGCCGGCGTGACTTTTGGCGGCTGCGCCTAACGAGAAGGCTGCGAGAGCAAGAGAGGAAAGAAGCATCTTGGTGATAGATGCAGGAGGGGTTGGAAGTTATTGAATGTCTCCCCAATGATCTAACGTGATGAACAGCATTACGATCAGAGACAGACCCTGTCTCTTTATACAGGCATTGAAGAGGGCTACATGTCTACCACCCATAGAGAGGGTTCTAGAATAAACCCTCAAAAAGTCCTTATGCTAAAACCTCGACTCCCCCACTGTAATGCCGTTAGACTTTTCAAGCGTTATTCATAGCCAAGGTCTTTTTGCTTCAGCAATGTCAGTGATCGGTCATGATTATCAAACAGCGGGATTTAAGGGTCTTTGGGTCTCGCCACGCGGGAAGCTCCATATCAAAGTGGATACTCTGGTTATAACCTGCCAACCCGGAAGGACAGGGTCCTGAAATACGGATTTGTAATAGACTGATTAATCCTTTACCAGCAATTATAATCTGGTTCCCTGATCCCGCTCGTCGGACATGTCGCGGGCCGAAATGGCGGCACGTCTGTGTGTGTGAACGGCAAGCCGATTTCAAAGCGCTATCGCCGACATGAACCCCGATCTAGATCCGGGTTTCCGAAGCGGCAATCTTTATAGTGCGGCAGAAATTCCGTTGCGAGAATCTTTAGGTCCACTCCTAAACTTAGTGGATCTCTTCAGGCTCACTTCCATTCTACTCTTCGTTACGTAATGACTCAGACGTAAGATAGTCATCCACGTGTTCAACATCCCATTGAACCCTCGTCATATGCTTCTATGTTTTATTCCTCATTGTCGGGTTGCAGAGATATATCCTCCGATCGTCTTGCATTGATTAGAAAACACCTCGCTTCATTTGTCGTACGTTTCAGGGATGCAAAATTATGTTGGTGATATTCAAGGGTTGCCCTGGATGTCCCCTTTGGTTGAATTTTCACTGACTCCAGCTTCCACACTCCTGCTCCCTGACATTGTTGCTGCCATATACCATGACGGGGCGGAGACTATATGAAGTTAATGACGTGACCGAAATATAGTGGCCTTCTGCCGGTTTGCTTCCTGGTTTTATCCGGACCAATGCATATTTTATATATAAGAGCTTTATCGCTTGCAAGTAAAGCACTTGGAAGAGCCAACCTGAGCCGGCCACGAAAGGTTACCCCCCACATCATGTATGGCTTTCGAATATGTACGGATGTAAATCGGTAGTTGCACGTATCAAGCGTATGGTTGATAGCTGGATTCATGCCTTAGGTGCATTATAAGAGTGTCTTTGACCTTTTCAAACACCTTCCCAACATTTGTTTACACCTTCGTTCTGTAAATGGCAATACCGGGGCAAAGGCCACTCTACTTGTTTATGACTGATATCATTTCGGTGCCCTACTAGGGGTCGTGTCTAAAGTGTTGATGAGAAAGCAAGACACGCGTTGTGCTTTAGATCAAGGGAAGCAGCGAGGTCCATGACGAGTCATTATTGTGTCCATCGAATTTTAGTATAGTCCTACTCACTCGGCGATTATCGATGGAATTGGAAGCAATCGAGTCGAACTTGGGCGTCAAAACTCTCTAGATAGTAGGTATGACCGTTGACTTAATGGCCTACGCAGCGTCTAGAGTACAGCGAACGGAAACATAATCATTAATCGAGTCTTATCTAATTTAACAGATCGCTATCCAAGAACCTAGCCTCTTCCAGGCTGCATACATGTAGACCACATCTATTAATCATGCCCTCATGTCCTTACGCCTTTCATGGCTCTAATCAGAAGGTAGATGAGAAGCGTTGGCTGTCAGCCTTACCACACCACCGTGCGGGCATAGTACATGTCCTACTGCGGGTGTCCGTTTTTGATTTGGAACTTTCACAAATGACCGTTGCAAGGACATAGATTAGAGAAGAAAAGCAAAAAGTGGCTATGGCAAAGCCACAACTGACCCGAGCAAGTCTTTCTTGATGCAAGTCTACCCCGGTAGAAATGACGATTTTCATTGCCCCCAATCAGCAGCACACATAGTCTTCAGTAAGCTCCTACCCGCGCTAGATATGCAATTTTCCGAAAACTGCTCCATTTCAAAAGCGTTCCCTGTCATGAGTTCTCCATATCCCTCACACTTAACACATTCTCCTTCGCCTTTGCCTACAAGGTATATTTATCCCTCTCCGAAGTCACATTGTCCCTTCCTCCACCATTCTCGCTCTCAAATATACAGCCACATTAGCTATAGAAGCCAGATCAATTATAGGAAACAATGCCAGCTCTTACTCCTGAGCAAGTTGCCTTTTACAAGGCGCATTCTGGCGATGATTTGCGACCTAATGAGACCGCCTCTCTCGTATGTGGGCTCCTGGCGGCCATCGTCGCCATCGGCGCTCGTATCACGGCTCGGCGCATCTCGAGGGTCCAACTTGGCCCAGAAGATTGGACCATATTTGCAGCGGTGGTTCGAGATTTGCACTTGCTGAGGCGTGAAGCATTCGAGATATTGACTTTTTTGCAGTTGGGCGAAATTACATACGGCGTCATATTCGCAAAAGCAATAAATAATGGCCAAGGGAGACACATCATTTTCATCAAGGATTTAGTGTCATTCAGCATGGTGGGATGCCATCCAGAACGTTTGAGATCGGTCAGTTGACTCAGTGAACAGGGATATGTTGCTGCCATAGTCAGCTACTCATATACCGTCATGGTGACGAAGATTTCGATACTAATATTCTATCGTCGACTCTTTCGATCTCGGTGGCTTATGGCTTGCTCATGGATTATTGGCATTATAGTTGTGATGTATAATCTGGCTGTCATTCTTATCGCCGGTCTTCAGTGTATTCCACTGTCAGATCTTTGGACGGGTGGCTCGTCGTGTATAAACACAGAGCCCCCCTTCACCGGACTAGCGTGAGTTCCCTTCCTTTCGATGTCGATACTCATGTCTAACCTACTTGTGATCTAGTATCATCAATATATTCACTGATGTGGCCATACTGACTTTGCCTGTGAAGCCTGTTCTCAGCCTTCGCATGCCAAAGGCTCAAAAAGTGCAGGTCTTGGGGATATTCTTACTGGGAGGCGTGTAAGGCATACACAGTCAAACTATAGGAAGGTATATTGACTAACCGTGAACTGCACCATCCAGGGTTTGCGTCTTTGGTATTATTCGCGCCGTAGCAATGACGCGACTGAGTCTCGTCGACCCCACTTGGCTAGGACGATCGAATATAATGAAAATTGGGATAGAAGCGCAAGGTGGGAGTGTAAGTGGGTTGGGGAGATTTCTTATGTAGCTTAGTGGCGGCGGCATAGTTTGCTAGGACGAGCTCGGTGGTCCTGTTGCCAACAGTCACCACATGAATTGTGAACTGATAGAAACATTCGCCATAGAAGCACCAAAAGCAAAACTCATTCTTGCTTATCTTCGTATCTAAGAACACTCTACACAACACAACATGACCTAGTCCAAGAGTAGATCCGCCGCCTTCTCTGCCATTGCGTAGAGGATAGCCTGGTAGTGCGCCACCAGAGGGACAGGCACCACACTTGCATCTGCAACACGTAGTCCCTTGACGCCCTTCACTCGAAGTTGAGTGTCCACAACCTGTCCCATGGATGCCGAGCCACCTGGATGAAAGAAAGTAATTGCGCCATTTCTGATATTCCTGTCAAGTTCCTCATCGGTGGAATCGAGTCTAATCGGCTCATTGCCCGGTCGAGGAACTTCGGTATCCACAATATCGTGACCTTCCGGAGTGTCGAGCAAGAGTTTGGCCACTCGGCGTATACCATCTCGGATAATCGCTCGGTCCACCTCCTTAGAGCAATAGTTGGGATCAATGACAGGAGCGCTTGCTGGATTCGCATCCGCAATGGTAATCTTCCCGCGTGCTGTCGGGGTCATCAAGAGAACAGCCGTGCTGATATGAGTGCCATCCATGGCCGTCTCAAAACCGGTGACAGCTTGACTCATCGGTGCGTAGATGACGAGGATCTCTGAATGAGCAAATTTCGGATCCAGGAATGGATGGTCCTTGCTGGGTGCTTGTCCATCGTCTGCTTGGAATGCCTGGATCAACGCGTCCGCGGGAGTCTGCAGGGTCACGTTCCAGTCATAGGGCACACCCATCCCATATGCTGGACTGTCCCAAAGGGGCGTACCCATAGAGAGACCTCGTTCAGGGTGACGAAGCTTCCACCACTGGGGAAAGCACATGTGGTCATGGAAGTTATAACCCACTTCCGGAGCGTTTACAAGCTGTGGGATGTTGTGTTTTGCCAGCTCTTCCGCGGGTCCAATCCCGGAGAGCATGAGAACCTGCGGAGTACGGTACGTTCCGGCCGAGACGATGACTTCTCTTGTGGCCCGGTATTCCTGTCCACCGACGACTGCGACTCCTGTCGCAATTTGCTGGCCAGCTTGCTCCTTGAGCAACACTTTCTCCACCAGGGTCTTAGTAACGATGGATATTCCCTGGTGTCTAGATAACCCGTATGCTTCGCTGGCAAGCTGACGCTTTCCATCACGCCAATTTTCTCCGAAGTGGGCTAAGCCGAGCGCATTACCGGCATTGGCATCTGGATTGAACTTAACCCCAATTCGTTCCCAAGCAGAACGGACCGGTTCCTTGAGGGGGTATTTGCGGTTGGGGCTGGTCAGAGCGACAATTGTGTTGGTGATGGGGCCGCTGGTGCCGTGAATGGCCAGGTCGGCGTTGGGATCGTAGTGTGTCTCAACACGTTTGAAGTATGGGAGTAGACCATCGTAGCTCCAGCTGGAGTCCCCAACCAGGTTTGCCCACAGGTTGTAATCAGCAGCGTTTCCACGGGTCCAGGTGCCATAATTTATCGCTGTGCCTCCGCCCAGTGCTTTGCCCGCGGCATTATAGCATTCGCGGTTGTTGAGATGTTTCTGTGGCACGGTGGTGTAGTCCCAGTCCAAGCGGGAGTGGTGGGATGCAAAGCATGCCAGAGGAGTGCTCGCCAGAGGGTGATCGACCACGTTGGGTCCAGCTTCGATGATCAAGATTCGAAGTGACTCATCTTTCTCAGCCAAACGACCGGCCAAAGCACAGCCCGTGAGACCTCCACCGACAATGATGAAATCGTAGGTGTCAGGCATGGTTGGAATCCGAGAATGAATGAAGAGGTTGAGTGTGAGAAATTGAAGTACGATGATCGCAAAGATAGGGTGACAATGAGCAATTTGGCGCTGCTGGGAAGCAAGAGAGAGTTGCACGGTTGATGGAGGTATTTATATATTTCTCTCACCCCAAGCTGACCAGGTCAGAAAGGCCAACACAGCTACGGATTCTCAAAGGAGGGCATACCGACCCTGTTGGAACGTAGTGTGAGGTCAATGTAGCGTGATGAGAAATGATTGGCTTTTGGCTGCATTACACTCCGTCTTACAGAGACTAGTCTGAGCAGGCAAACAAAGAACCACAACCCCACCGGTCTGAGCTAGTGACAGCAGGCCACTGCAGCACAAGCAATGTATCTCATCCCCTGTCGCAGCCCAATATTGACCGGCCTTGCTCGGCTTGCATGAGCCTACCCACACATACCAAACCCGGCAACTATTGATATACTTACTCCAGTACATATAGCGATGCATACATCTTCCCACATAATGAACCTGGTCAGACACTACATGCTCACAACATACACATCAGTACCTTACGCGACCAACACCCAGCAGTCATGACGTCTGAGATTGGACGATTGGCGTCCATCATTTCCCGTGCTGCAGCTACCATCGAGGTGTCGCTCACGGAAAGGGGCGACTTTCCGGAGGCCTCTGCTGTTGGATCGGGAAGCAAAGAAGTATTGGCAGCAAAGGCCGACGCTATAGATGCATGTATGGAATTACTGGACCAATTGCAAGGTCCGTCAAAATGCATGATACCACTGGTAAGTTGGCAGAAGCCGAATCTGCTACCATAAACCAGAAAGACACGATAGTAGGCCGAATAACCAAAGATCATTGTTGATATAAGTCATAGTGGAATGGTGCAAGTTTGCAGGCTATTTCCCGACATCATATTGCAAATCATGTCCCGATCCACGGAGAAATATCCTACCAGGATCTTGCCCGGGCATCAGGTGTTCCGGTCAATGAGTTGAAACAATATATCCGTTTCGCAATTATCCACCACCGACTATTTATTGAGAAACGAAATGGTTATGTCTCACATTCAGCTGGCTCACGCTCTCTTCTAGAAGACCCCGGTGCCATTGCTGGTGTATCACAGCTCGACGAATGGTACAGCGCCTTTTCACGAGTGAGCGGTCTCCCTACCTATACTCATCTTTGTGTATCATACTAAGGTGCATATGTAGACTGTCGATGCGATGGATCAGTTTCCGGGGCATAAGCCAAACGAGACCGTATGTCCCGCGTACACTGGCTTAGGCAATGACTCAACTAACCCGGATCTGTCAGGGATATGCCTTGAGCCATGGAAACCAGAGTATTTTCGATTATCTCAGCGACCGACCGGCCAAAGCAAAGCAGTTCGCTGATGCAATGCAGTTCTATACAGTTGCCATACCCGAAGCGTCACCCAGCTTTTTTCTTCAAGGGTATCCGTGGGGCGACCTTCCACGGGGATCGGTTGTGGTAGATGTAGGAGGAAGCGACGGCCACGTTGGTCGGCTCATTGCGCAGCGTTATCAGCACATTAATGTTGTCGTTCAGGATCTCGAATATGCCGCGGCAGACTTCCAAGCTGCGGCAAAGGAAGACCGCAACATCCGGTTCGACGCACACGACTTTTTCTCGCCTCAGACAGTCGTCGCCGATGTTTACCTTTTTCGCTGGGTGCTTATGAATTGGGCAGACGAGTATGTTGTGCGAATCTTGCAACAGCTGGTACCTTCCTTGCGACCGGGTGCCAAGGTACTGGTGAACGAGAGTCTTTGCCCTGAAAGTGGATCGCTGCCGTTAGCTACAGAGAGATATATCAGATGGATGGATCTGTTGATGCTTGGAGTATACAAATCGCGTCTCAGAGACAAAGAAGACTGGGATGCATTGTTCAAGCAGGCTGATGCGGGATTTGACTCTTTTCAGTGTTCCATGGTCCCGGGTTCAGCAATGGGTATTGTTCAGGCAATCTGGCGAGGAAATTGACTCTCTGGGCGATGGCTAGCTGAGAAATATTTGAGCACCTTCTTATGTTCTGATTTACATCATTTAACTAGTAGTTGACCACATCTAGCTGTACTTACGGATCCGAGGATACGCGAAACTCCGCATGTGTTGATAAGTTCTATATTCCAATGTTGTGGTTTCGAAAGCTCTCACCTTCTCACCAAGTGGGTTTGTTCCAATACTGTACCAAGATAATTCGTTTTTGTTTTCACCTGGGGTCAGAAAGGTGCATCGTGCTTCTGAGCCTGTTCGACAAAGAGAGGATATACACCTTTGGCTGCGTCCACGGCGGGGATGAAGGCGCTAAGCAACGCTTCCAGCTACGGCCTCTCGCAGGTCCGTGATTTGAATGATTTCCCATCTAATCACTAATCAGTGGCGGGCTAAAGATCATTTCAATTCCAGCATTGAGCCCGAAATACCCCTCTCCTGCGGCGCCTATTGCAGCCATGTGGTTGGAGGACGAAACAACGAGGCTGTGTCTCCCACCACCTGGATAAATAGTTATCAGCCTCGCAAGAATAACAGATGTCTGTATTCAGTATTCACTACAGCCAGGGTCTCCACGAAGGTTAATGTCGAGGCCAAATGCGCCCCAGAACCCGTGATGCTTTCACAATAGCGATAATTTGCGCTCTTCCGCTCGAGGCCGATGCCCTCGAAGCGCTTTTCGACGAAACGTATGATCGACTCTGCAAGTACTACGTAAAGCAGCAAGGAGATGCAAATTGGTATGTTAACGGACGGGTCGGCAAGCACAATGTCGTGCTATGCTATATGCCCGGGATGGGCAAAATTAGCGCGGCGAGTGTCGCCTCGAACCTGAGAATAAGCTACACGGGCGTTCAACTTGCTCTGGTTGTTGGTATATGCGGAGGCGCTCCGAAATCTTCGAAAAGCCAGGATATCTTTCTCGGTGACGTTGTCGTCAGTGACAGTGTCGTTACATATGAGTTTGATGGAGAGCACTCTATCCATGACAGGCATGGAAGACCCAGTCGCGAGATTCGAACCCTGCTTGGTCGAGTGGGAACACCCTCTACTCAGGCCGGTCTTCAGTCCCAGTTGTTACACTATCTCGAGGTTCTCAACCAGAATGAGAAAAGGTGGGATCACCCAGGTATTGAAGATGTCCTTTTTGAGAGTTCTCATCTTCACAAACATCGCGAGCATGACTCTGATCTAGAATGCTGCTGCTTGAAAGGCAGCTCGCCAGATGAGATCTGCGAAAATGCACTGGAGAGTGATTGTGATTCTCTCAGCTGTGGCAAGAGCACTGTAATGCGTATTCGCAATCCTTCTGAAGCGAACAAAGTTTCTATCCATGTTGGGCCAGTCGCCTCCGGCAATACAGTCATGAAGTCTGGTAAGCAGCGTGATAACATCATCAAACGAGACAAGGTCATTGGCTTCGAGATGGAGGGAGCAGGGGTGTGGGAGTGTCTGCCATCGCTCGTAATCAAAGGTGTGTGTGATTATGCGGATAGCCATAAAAACAAGTTATGGCAAGCCTACGCTGCAGCGACTGCCGCCTCCACCGCAAAGGCTTTCTTAGAACACTGGACGCCTCAGGCACAGGAAAGTGAGTAAACTGAGGATCTACTGAGTGTGCTTCGTACTTACTGACCGTCTCTTTCCATAGGCCTTTTGGACACCAGTAATACTTACCGATTCATGGTCCCGTTTTCGAGAAATCCACGCTTTCTGGGTCGCAAAGACGAAATCCAACATTTATGGAGCTTACTTTCGGCACCGGAAGGACCAAGAAGACTCGCTATTTCTGGATTAGGAGGCATTGGTAAGACGCAAATAGCGCTGGAGCTGGCCTATCTTATGCACGAACATGATGCTGAATGCTCAGTATTCTGGATACCAAGCACCAGTGATGAAGCTATCGAGCAAGCTTGTATAGCCATTGCGCAACAGCTGGGGATCCAGTATACCAAGCCAGATGAGGTGAAGGAACGACTCAAAGAATACCTATGCCAGACGAGCGAGGAGTGGGTATTGATCTTCGATGGCGCCGATGACATGGACATGTGGATGAACGGCAGCGGTACAACTGCGCCTCTCGGGGATTTCCTTCCCTCCAACAGGCACGGCCACATCATCTACACTACTCGCAATCGCAAATCAGCCGTGAAGCTTACATCGCGTGATGTGATACATGTACGCGAGCTTGACGAACAGGCGGGCGTGGAACTTCTGGAAAAGTCCTTGATCCAACAAGATCTTGTTGAAGATAAAGACACCGCGACCTATCTCGTTAAATGGCTAGCCCTCCTTCCACAGGCTATCACACAAGCCGCGGCAACTATGAACGAAAATGAGATAGGAGTGTATGATTACCTGATGCTTCTTCACGAGGAAGAAGACCTCGTGAAGCTTCTGAGTGAATATTTTCAGGCCGATGGGCGCTACGAGGATTCCGTCAATCCAATATTCCTGACTTGGTTCGCCTCGTTTCGTCAAATCGAGAAGCGCGATCCACTTGCTTCCGAGTACCTCTCACTATTGGCCTGTCTCGGCCAGCAAAGTATACCGGAATCGTTTCTTCCACGACCAGTGTCGAGAAAAAAAATGATTGAAGCCCTTGGGCTTCTGAAAGGATATTCATTCATTACTATCCGACCAGGTGATAGGTGCATAACCCTGCATCGTCTGGTGCATCTAGCAGCTCGGCATTGGTTGAGGAGTCAGGACCGCATGGAACTTTACACGCACAAGGCAGCAGAGCGGCTGAGTGAAGCCATGAATAATGGCCATATCAACGAGAAGCACCGGAGAAAATATGTACAACATGCTGAATTCCTACTTCATGGACTTCACGTTATGGCAGTCCAAGCGCAGTGGAACATGCGTATCAGGTCTGGTGGTGATGAGAGGGGCGCAGAAGAAGAGGAACTGCTTGTGCAAGGAACGGATACATTATCCCATATCCTGGAGTCATGAGTTCCGAAACGCATGTAGGATACAGAGAGTACTGCATTAGCATAGTCAAGACCAGCAAACTGGCGAATTCAGGAAGATAATGGGGTATGACAGTGATACTGGCGATGATAGTGTACACTTGACGGCATCCGAGGACTCCAAGCAATGTTCAAAAGGTTGTCCAGTAGAAGAATGAAACGAGACAGAAAGATAAGGAACAGAAAATAAAAAAAAGATAATCATGTGAACAGCGTCATTCAAGGTTAAAGCCACCATAATAAACACACAACGCCTTGCTGGCACCTTCCATGCAGTAATGCATCACCACTGATTTTTGGCCCTCCTTGACAACCTTGGCCATCTGCTTGACGTCCGATGTCCGAGGAAGATAGAGAACCATGTGTTCTGAGAACATAGAATATTCCTTGTAAAGCTTTGCGAGGGAATACGGCTCCATAGTACTCAGGTTAAACACCGTGTCGGAGCGATACCCGGGGCCTATAACGGATCAGTTGGCCACCAAGACACCTAGAGGGTCACAGGGGAGATATAGGCACATACCACCCCATGGCGGACTAGCAAACAAGACACTATACGGTGCTAGATCCTTCAGCTTATTCTTGATGATTTCGAAACAATCACCCTCAAACCAGGTGATCTTGTCCGCCACGCCGTAGATCTTGGCGTTGTGTTTGGCGCACTGCAGGACAGCTGGATTCTTCTCGATAGCGTAGACGCGCTTCCATCTACCGGACAGCGCGAAAGCGATAGAGTTGCCGCCCGCGCCCGCGAATGCATCTACCAGGATGCTGCGTCCTGCGGGGGCGGACTGCGCCATGTGTTCTGCTATTTTGCTGCATTGATGTATTAGGTGCTTAGCTTCTATTAGTGGACAAGAGAACACGCACTTTGCCACAGGCTCGGGCGTGACACCAAACCAGGCATCATCTGTCAGCCAGACACCCTCATCGTACTTGGAGAAGATCTTGTAGCGTTGCGCCCAGTAGCTGTTCCGCAGTGTTAGTGGATTTCGGTTCCGCAACACATGGACGAGGGATGATGGTATTACTTCTGAATATCCCACGGCACCTCGCCAAGATCATTGTAATGATGTACCTCTGGAGGAGGAACCTCCACTGTAGGGTCTCGAGCCATGATCGCTGTATAAATGAGACTTGATCAAGGACTGAAGCTAAAGGCGGAGCGCAATCGCATCGCGACGATATCAGCCATTGCGATAAGCGATAACCGGTGTTTGCAATGTTTGCAGCGCCGGGCAGCTCTCCACGTTGCGCATCTGCGTTCCTCCGCAATGCCCAATGCTCTTATCCTCTCTCCCCACACAACATATACCCCCCTCCCTCGCACAGACATGTTTGGGGCTCTTAATCGGTTTATTGGCTTGGATGCCGAGCCTACCCGACAGGCGCGGGCTCAAAGCACCAGCGACAACTCGTTTGGGTTCCAAGTCCTCCGCAACAAGGATGCGGAGCTCCCTCTGGAGCCGTGGTTCGATTTCATTGTCGGGATTAATGGGCGGTTAATAGTGAGTTGACTTGACTCCTCAGGCAGAGCTGTCTCTATGCGCCGGCTGGACTAACTACCTATCAGGAGGACCCCGATCCCAATCTCTTCGCTACGGAAGTGCGCAACTGCGCCGGATCCAGCGTGACCTTTGAAGTCTGGAGTGCCAAGGTACAAACAGACCCAATCACCTCCTCTACGATATACTAATACCATCACTAGGGTCAAAAAACACACACCGTCTCCATCCCCGTCCCCGCATCCAACCCCGATCTGGGCCTGGCGCTCCAACTGGCCCCCCTCTCCTCCACCCAAAACATCTGGCACGTCCTCTCGATCCCATCTCCACTCAGCCCCGCCTACCGCGCAGGTCTCCTTCCACACTCCGACTACATCATCGGCACTCCGAGCGGGACATTACGTGGGGAATCAGCACTCGGGGAGCTCGTCGAAGACCACTTGAACCGCACACTAGTCCTATGGGTATACAACAGCGAGTTTGACGTGGTGCGCGAGGTTGAGCTGGTGCCTACACGGGGCTGGGGAGGTGAAGGAGCGCTAGGTGCGGAATTGGGCTTCGGAGCATTACATCGGTTGCCGGTAGGGTTGGGCGAAGAGGTTGAGGGACCCGGCGAGGTGGTCTTCGAAACACGGGATGACGGCTCATCCGCGCCAGTAGTGGAAGCTCTGGGTCAGGGTCCCCCGCCGTCTGGGCATTTCCTCGTCCCGGCTAATATGACCTCTCCTCCGCCATTGTCGGGACCTCCAAGGAATCTGGCGGCGTCGCCCGCCAGTCACTCGTCTGCGGGTCGTCGGCATAAGACGCGTCATACCGGGTCAGCTGCGGCAGTATCGTTTGATGACTACTTTGCGGAGGGCGAGCAGAAGAGCAAGGAGCAGGACTTTGCGCCCTCCCGCAGGGGAACGCCGCTTCCGCCTCCGCCCAAGGCTGGGGTGCGGTCACCGCCTAGCTCGGGCAGTCCGGCGCCAGCGGCTGCCCAATAGGCTAGGGCTAAGAGATCGATTGTGTACAGTAGTCATGAAGACCGATTATTATGATGGCCTAATAGGTCTTGTCATGCATTTTTTGCCAGTAACTAGGCCACTATTGCACTGCTGCATCACGGAAGCGATATCTTATTAGATTTTACATTCCGATTAAGGCGTGACTTGGCGCCGCTTTAGGCTTACTGGGAGGCCCAGGGAAATGAGTAAGTGAAGGCAAGAGGACGGGATTTTCAGTGGTAGTTGCTAAGCGTCTTTCGGAGGGGAAACATAAAGCCGGTCATTGGTTTCTTGATTACATGCCTAGTACTAGTAGTAGTAGTAGTAGTAGTAGCAGCCAGCTGTCGTGAATCGGACCCCAGCACTGAATACTATATATCTAACCCAACGCCCATCATAGTAACGAACAGCTACTACTATGACCACTTGTTGAACTAATTATAATTGGCGGCGTTCATCTTGATATTCAGTCATGGTGATCCACCGGTAGTCTTGCAGATTGGCCATATAGAAAGGGTCTATTTGCCTCGAGCACATTGATCACGTCTTCATGGCCGTACTGCCGTGCAATCTCCAAGGCGCTTTGGCCATTATTATCCAGTTGACACAGCTCCACGCCCGGGGTGCCGGCCAGAATGGCAACAACACTCGCGTGGCCCCTCTTCGCCGCTATCCCTAGCGGGGTATGCCCCAATATATCGCGCCGGTTGAGCTCGATGCCAGGACATGCGACCAACACCTTCACAACTCCTGCATGGCCGTTGTAGGAGGCAATCCAAAGAGGAGTTCCGCGGGAATAGGATGCAATCTCGGTATTATTCGCAGCCGCGCCGCTGTCGATTAGGATCTTGACAACGGCGTCATGTCCGTGCTCAGCGGCTGTCCACAGCGGTGTTGCAGCATTAGGATGTCCCATACTGACAGTCACTCGTCCAGTAGCTACTAGAGCTTGAACGATATCGCTGTGACCATTTGCTGCAGCCTTTAAGAGCGGCGTATATCCTGTATAATCGGGGCACTCCACATCAACCCCATGAGTGCTTGCCAGGATACTTACAACTTCAGTATGACGATTGTTCACAGCGGCCCACAGCGGCGTTGTACCGTTATGGCCCTTGCTATTTAGATTCACCTGATTAGCGGAGACCAGGATCTGGACTACTTCCGCGTGCCCCTTGGATGCCGCTACCCAGAGCGCTGTCCTGCCGTGACTGCCTGGGAAGTTCAGATCTACCCCTTCCGTATTAGCTAAAACCTTGACAACACCACTGTTGCCACAGTCCGCAGCCGCCCAGAGTGGTGTTACGCCTTGATGATCCCTCCGATTGAGAAGGACCCGACCGGTAGAGACGAGTATTGCCACTATCTCGTCATATCCTTCCTCAACAGCTCGCTGTAGAGGAGTCATGCCATCGTGGCTTTGCCGGTCGACGTCAGTTCTTGCGATGGCAACCAATAACCTGACGATACGATCGTTGCCGAGATGGATAGCTGCTTCCAACGGGGTGCCTGCTCCAACTCCGCTGTGGTTCGGGTCTAGATCATCCATTGTTATCATAGCTTGGATGGCGTCTTCGTGACCGTTCAATACCGCTTCCCACAGTGCCGAAAGGCCAGCTTTGTTGAGATGATTGATGTTTACTCGGCCCGAGCTCCCCAGGTATTTGACAATGTCTGTATAGCCTTTCGAGGCCGCAACACAGAATGGCGTTTCCCCACGAGCGTCAGGTACGTCCAGGTCATAGTCCTGATGTTGGCAGATTGACTGGACGACCTCCAGGTGCCCATTTGCGGCTGCTAACCACAACGGCGTCTCCCCCTTTCTGTTAGCCATCGATGCCGCTTGGGAGCCCTTCTCCTCTAGCCGCGCGTGTTCGAGGAGAAGGTTAAAAATAATTGGAGGGCCCTTAAGGCTGGCGGCAAGATGAAGGGCTGAGTCTCCGGATGGCGTCACAGCCAAGATGTCTGTGTGCGGGCCTGACAGAAACAAAGGTATTGCTTCCACAAAGTTGTGGCGCGTAGCTTCCATAAGGGGGGTATAGCCGTCAGACTCTGCTTGGTTCCGATTCACCCGGTCGCAAGCAAGAAAGCATTTGGTCAGCTCGATATCTTTTCGGATTATTGCAGACGTGAGGTGTGTTTTTCCTGACGGGCCTACTGCATTCGGCATCACAACTTCACTCTTCAACAAGGACTCAATGACAGCGATATATCCACCATGGATGGCCCAAGATAGTGGTGACTGTCCGAAAAGGTCGTCGGTATGCCGAGCACCACGGGCGAGAAGCCAGTCAACAAGCGCCAGACTCCCGCACTGACAGGCATGTGACAACGGTGTCTGTCCAGAGGAGTCGGGTTTGTCATAGCCATGGGCGTCTAATATGGTCATCAGGAGTTTATTTAGGTTTGGCGTGTTGGGGTCTAGATACCAGATATGCTCCTGCCACCAGACCACTGCATATTGGTAAAAGGCCCAGGGCACGGCGTCACTCGCCCTGGAGGCTTGCAGGCGTTGCAATAGATTATAGCCAACATCCGTATCCTTAGTCCTCTTCAGTCTCAGCAGCTTCAACGCAATTTCTTGGGATTGGCCACGAGCGGAAACTGCTGAATGGATCACTGCCGTTGTCACCGAGATAGAGCTGATTTTAAGTGTCTTAACCGCTGACAATTGCTTGTAGAAGTTTTCGTAGCTCAGGTATGTCGCAATAGTCTCTGCCATGGTTTGATTTGCAGGCATCAAATCGCGATGATTTTTACGGTGATCATTAAGAAATGTTCTCACACTATGGTGCACCATGCGAATACTCCAGTTTTCTTCATCTACAGTAAGTAGACCCCCACAACAAGCCAATGTGGAATGTATGTCATTGAGTATTCTTGCGGGGTCCCAGAAGGTCTTCCAGGGGATGACACTAAGGGCTTCTTTCATTTCCTCTGTGGTCAGTGGCCTGCACGCGGTCGCAACCAGATCCAAAATCTTGGATTGGTACGTGGTTCCGGAAAGGCTAGACCTTTCCAGTATCATCGTGTATAACGCTGAAAGATCTTTAGGCAGATTGGCAATTGCCTTTCGTATATCTGCGTCTGTCCTCTCAAGACACAGAGCTTCTATCTGCAGAGCCACCCACAAGAACATGCCATCCGCTCCTTGGGAGAGGCTATCTCGAACGTCGAGGACAAGGGCAGGGTCGTTTATTATAAGCTTCCCAGATTCAAGACATCTCTCTAGTTCGGCGTTGATGAAGGCATCAATGTCAAATTTGTTAGCTGTCACGGACCAACATCGCTGATTTTGAAGTTGCTTGAGTTCTTGCAGAGAATCGGCAGGCTCCGGCCTGACAGACACGCACAATGCAAGCTTGATCAATTTTTGGATCTCCTGTAAAGACTCCAGGATAACCTGTCGCACTTTTCTGTCGCAATGCATCAGGCCATCAAGTACGAAAAGGGCCTCGAAGTGCGGCGGTAGCAGATGTCTTAGTAAAGTAATAATTCCGTCAACCTCGAGTGATTGTTTGTCTCCCAGGACATCCCGTGCGGCGTCGAGATCGCTTTCTGACTGCAGCAGCTGTCGCGCTAGAGAGCCTATAACTGTTTTCGGCGTTAAGCTCTGCGTCGAATCGTGTTGGCAGAAGAAGTACGCCACCACTGCTTTCCTTTCCGAATCCAAGTTCAAGTCATCCACCATATTGGCGAGAATCACGGATTTTCCCGATCCTAGCATGCCTGTACATATGAGTGTACGCGACTGCAGCCCTTCAGAACCTCGTGGGGCCTTCCACTGCTTGTATATCATTGAGGTCTCCAAGAGGGTGGTAGCACCGAGCTTGCGGATCCGCTTCCAGTCCTGTTCGTAGTCGTAGGTGGAGCACGCATCCAGTACGCGCTGACGCGCTCTAAGCCTCCTTGCGTGGGATTGAGATTCAAAGCGTCTCGCGACCCGAGATCTAAACCATGAATTGTCTTCGGCCACCAGGGATAGTTGCTGAACCATCTGTAGGTTCACTTCTTCTTTGATGGCAGTAGCCCAGATCTCCAGGTCAGATTGGTAGCCTTTCAGAGCAGACGTGAACGTAGAAACCCACTGGCCTATAGCCGTCTTCCGACTCAGTTTCATAGCGTGATGGCACAACTGCACGACAACGATGAAATATTCCAGCATTGATGTTCTGAGACGTCGCGATGTAGGATAGACGGCGCCCATAAGTTGATAGCGAGGTGCAGAGCGACCCACAGCCATGAGCATGGACGATAGTTGTTCAAAGTAGGTCGAGTACTTGACAATGGACTGAAGACCCTATCAGAGAGGCTTTCCACCGACTGACATACATGCTGCAGAATGCTTACCAGAAGCGACATTCGTACCACAGCCCAGATGCCACAGGCTAGGAGGCTCTGCGATGCGCCCAGAACGATGTCTCCGAGTGCAGCGAACTCCTGCACCGCCTGAAGAATACTCGTGAGCCGTGAGCCGAAACATTGTCCTCGAAGGCCAGCCGATCGGTTGATTTCCGCAGTCAATTGCATCACATCCCGGACACTTGGAGGGATGCCAGCGGCTTGGTATGACCGCAGCGTCGCCTTCTCCCGCGATGAGCAATCGGCTTGGAATTCGGAGATAGCCTGCCCCAGACGAACTTCGGGTTTCAGTCTCGCAGCTTTGGTGAGAGCGGTGGTCATCGTGGACCCGAGCTGCGGAACAAGGAGCAATACATCGACCACTTCAGGGGAGATGAAAAGGATGCAGAATCAGAAAAGGGAGGATACAACACAGTGACGAGGCTGTGGTGTGTGTGGGGGAAGATGAAGAAGGAAGGCAGTGCTTTGTGCCGCCACTAATAATGGCCAATCACAACACATCCCGGCTGTTCATCATGGTATAGCAAGTACTACTACTAGGGTTAAGTAGTAGTAAGTAGTCGAGAAGATGTTGGGTAACTATCAATTGATGATTAAGTGATCCGCTCTATGAATGGAGAATAGAAGAAGAGTACTAGTATGTGATCCGAAAGATGGTAAGTAATAACCCGATCGCGGAACCAGCCTTAAGAATGCTTGTTCTTCGATTGGCCAAACCACCGCTGCTCCAACTATCGCAATACTACATAACTTATCCACTACTACTGAGAGTAGTACTAGTACTTTCCTCCCCGCTAATGCTGGCTTGAGATGTATAAGCCAGTATCTGACCCATCCCGATCCAGAAACCACACCAGGATTCCATCCACCAGGCAAGCCTTAGTGCTGACACGCTTTCCTTTGGGTTAACTTAATTTTACCGCCTCTGATTCATGCACATATAAGTAGCTCAGCTGTCATTGTCGCTGACACTTTCCAGAACCACCGTTTTGTGTCTCACTTTTGCATTCTCCTTCCAACGCCGTCAGCCCGATCGGCAATGGCGGAGATCAGCCTGCGCACCGCCCTGGCCATCTTGGCCGGAATCTATCTCCTCTACAAACTTGTCTCCTTTATCCGCTTCTACATTATCGGTCGTCGCAGCGGATATCCTCTGGTCGTGACCCCTTTGTTCACGCGCCATACACTCTGGCAGATCGTGGGTCCGACCTTTCAAGTACAGCTGAAGCGCTATCTTCCCACATGGCTCCACGAACATTTGGACATCCACATCCACGGCTGGGAGTTTCGTCACAAGAATGCTATGCATCGTCGTTATGGCAAGATTTTTGCCATTGTCTCGCCTGATGAGTGCTCACTATGGTAGTCCATCGACCCGGGTACATTTGTTTTGACATCGTTCTGACCCCCATATAGGATCGCCGACCCGACCGTCGGTGCAACCGTCTTGCAGCGACGCAAGGATTTCAACCAGCCCGACGTCGTAGCCCAATTCATGGGCTTTTTCGGACCAACCTTGATTCAGTCCAATGGTGAAGACTGGACCCGCCAGAGGCGCATCATTGCTCCCCAGCTCAACGAAGCCATCATGGGCGAGGTGTGGGAAGAGGCCTGTCGCCAGTCGCGTGCTATGCTTGAGTATCTCCTGCAGAATCCTGGCGGCGAGACCTTGACCGGGCTTCGCAGTATCGCCATCAACGTTCTTGGCCAAGCTGGGTACGGACAAAACCAGGCATGGTCACCTGACTTTGTCGAGACTCTAGGACAGGACTGGCAGGACGCCAGAGTCTCGTACTTTAAGACGATTGCTATGGTCACGGACCGGTTTGTGGAGGCGGTTTTAATCCCAAACTCGCTGAAAGTGATGCCATTCATGCCCGAGTCGATTCGTCGACTGGGTCGCCAGATGTTAAAGGTGCCGGAATATGTCAGAGAGATTTTGGGCGAGGAGCGCAACACTAAATCGAGTGAGGTGTCTAAGAAGCGCCACAATCTGCTAGATATGCTGGTGCGATATGCGCAACATGGAACGGAGAGCTCTGCGAAGCTGTTTCTGTCAGAGGCAGAAATCAGCGGCAATCTCTTTCTCTTTACCGCCGCTGGCTTTGACACAACAGCCAACACAATGGGATACGCTGTGATGTTCCTCGCACAGTATCCCAAGTGGCAGAACTGGGTGCGGGAGGAGTTGTCTCAGTTGGACGCCGATGTTTCGTCTTGGGGATACGATGTGTTCACTCAATGCCCCAGAATGCTGGCTGTCATGGTATGTGATTTTCAATATAGAGTAGTAAGGAATGACTGCTAACCCTGTCAGTATGAAACCCTCCGTCTCTTCACACCTGTCCTCCACTCCACACGCTGCGTGGCCACGACGCAGCAGATCGCCGATGCTGACGGCACACACGTGCTGACGCCCCCGATGGAAGTGTATGTCTCGCAGCAGAGCATCCATCGGGACCCAAATGTCTGGGGGGCGGACGTGGATGAGTTTCGGCCCACGCGGTGGATCGACGACGCCGGTCAAGTGGTGACCCCGGCGAAGGGCACGTTCATTCCGTGGTCGGGAGGGCCCAGAATATGTCCGGGCATGAAGATGTCGGAGGTGGAATTTGTGGGGACGATGGCGACCCTGTTCCGGCATGCGCGGTGCGAGCCAATGCAGGAAGGAAAACTGCAGCAGCAGATGGAGGACTCGATATCAAAGTTGACGCTGCAGGTGAGGGAGCTCCGGGAGGTACAGTTGCGGTGGGTGCCAGCCTGATTATTTTGACAAATGAATATGTCGATATCTAGTTACCAGTAAGCCAATCCACCACAAACAATTAATCATACCCTAAACGAATAAGATCGATAGGACAGCAATCACCCACCATTTCATCCTCTTCACGGGTTCGGCACTCTGTTACTCTATGGATATTGGCCAATCATACGCCCGAGCATCCCGAATACTCGCAAACTCCCCCTCAAAACATACTAGTCTCTTTGAAGACTCTCCTCTCCCATCTTCATCCACCCTCACCTCCGTAAGCTCAATCTGGTGCACCGGTCCTGACAAGACCCTAATCAACGACCGATAAAACTCCGATGTCTGTAGCTTAAACCACCTCCACCAACCATCCAGCCTAACTTGTAAGGAACCCATCATAGATAAATATCAGCCCATCATCCCCTCACCCAACCACCCATCCACACCATCAACCCACACACACATACACACCATCATACTAACCACAATGTCCCCTCCCCACCTCCCAACCACAACCACCATCATAACAACCCTCACCACCCTCCTCCTCCTCCTCACCTCCTTCTCCCTAACAACCTACACCCTAACGACCTACCTCCACCTCGCGCACACCGCAACATCCCTCGTGCCGAAGGTCATCATCCACGACACCGCCATCATCGCCACAACATCCTACCATATCTTCACGACGATCCTGACCTACCTCACATTCATCACGATCTACTTCCTCTTCCCCAGATTCTTCACAACGTCAAACAGCAGCAACAGCAGCAACCCCTCATGGATCCAAAAGGCACTAACATCCCTCGCAACCCTCCTTCTCACGACAAGTCTCCTCGCCTTCACGGTCATCCTGGCTACCAGAAAGATGTCCTTTGGGGACGTGGGCCCGCGTGTTACTGTCTATTTAGATGAGAGTTTGGGTGAGGAAAGTCTGGTTTATGGGGATGATGGGAGGGGGGTTGCGGGTGTTGTTTTGGGGTGGGTGGGTTGGTTTGGTGCAGCGGTTTTGTAAGTTTGCAAGTCTGGGATTTGGGGTGGGTTTGTTGGGTTGTTGGCTAACTTTGTTACTTTAGGTGTGGGTTTATGTTTGTTGGAGAGAAGAAGGAAGAAAAGAAGGGAGATGGGATGCGGGTGGAGAAGGGGGAGGTGGAGGAGAGTACTAGTACGGAGAGTGTGTGAATATGTTTTGTGGATATTAGGGATTGATGGGTGAGGTTGTGTGTGGGTGGTGTGATACTTTAATGAGGTGATGGGTTATGAGTGATGTTGTATGTCTTACTTAGTATGATAGTATCAAAATATATTATGTCAATCAATATACCACTACTAGTAAACTACTTAGCCGTTTCTTGGCATATTGTTCGGTTGTACTACTACTACTACTACTAGTACTAAACTGGGCATATCTGGCGCTGCACTCGGTAAATATCACTCATAATACTGATTTTGATATGAAATAAGGAACAATGAACGTAATCCAGTGTAAACAGTGCTTTACCTTACTCTGTCTCCTGAAACTGCATAGTAAACGCTCATTCGTCTACTTAAAGTACATATGCAAGAACTAGATCAAATAAACCCATTCTAAAACACGGACCCAGTGGCCAATTTAATGACCCTTGCTGACCACCTCCTCCAACTTCTTCCGCACATCTCCGATCTTCTCCTCCATCATGGCCCGCGCCATACCGCTGTGCGCAATCCCCGTGTACCACAGGTGCTCAGCCTTCTCGCGCACCTGCAGATGCGTGTCCGCCACAGCCGGCACCTGCTTCTCGTACTCCCAGACCAGATCCGAAACGTTGCGCATGGTCACGGGCAGCAGGGTCCAGGCAGCCACGGTACCGAAGGCCAGCGGGGACGCCGTGCGCAGGAGGATACCGCGGTTCCGCGACACGATGGAACCGGCCATGGCGGCCACAACGACGTAGACTCCGCCGGGGAGCAGGCGTTCGCCGGACTCGGGCGACGGGGCTAGGGAGGCGACAGTGTTGGTGAAGGCGTTCTCGATGTGCAGAGCACGCGACAGGAAGTTGTTGAACTTGGTCTCGACGGCCAGGGAGTTCTCGTACAGGAAGAGACGGGCCTGACGGACCTGAGCGGTCAGGATGTCGGTGGGAGTAGGGGAAGAGGGAGAGGAGAAGGGAGTGGACACCGGAGCTGCCGGGGTGGTGGTGGTCGGGGCCGGAGCGACGACGGGCTTGGAGACGGCCGGGATCTCGGTCGGGAAGTCATCGTAGATGGGTTTTTTCTGGACGCGAAGTCATGTCAGAAATGGATTCGAGCAAAGCAAGCAGGGTTAATCCGAGTACGTACAGCATCGCGAGGCTCCTCTGCAAAAGCCGTCTGCCGGGGGTAGAGGGCGATACCGCCAGCCAGAAGGGTGGCCGCGATGGGGGCCACAGCCCGCTGGAAGGAGTTAGCGGGAATTTCAAGTTGCAGACGGATGAAACAGGAGCTGAGGGATTTACCTGCTTCAGCATTGGCCGGAAAGACATGATGGGGGAGGCCAATGGAGGGAAGAAGTGAGGGAGAGAGGTGGAAGAGAGAGAGGCTAAGTTGGAGGTTCAAGATGGAATGACGGCCTGAGGTCGGCCGCCAAGCCTTTTTTTTCGTGAGTTTGGCGGCTTTGCGGCTCGAGCCTCCGTCATCGTCCGCTTCTCTTTCTCTCCTCCCTCTTTCTCTCGACTTTCCCCCTCACTCTCCTTTTTAAATATACACCACCATCTGGTGTGGCTTAATTTATACAGGTATTCATTCTACCCATGGTATAATCTCCATGTCGACTTCCTTTCCCGTTGCCTCCCCCTGAACGCCATCATGGGAGCTCCTCTGCTGCTCCCACTCCGGCGTCGGCCGTGGACTTGCAGGACCTGTCTGCTGCAGGCCCGTCGCTCGCTCGAGACGGCCGCCTCGCCGGCGACTCATCGCACAGCCTTCGATTACCTCCCGAGTAAAAACGATGCCCAAAAGAAGTCCGATGACGACACTCTGCGCCGCGTCTTCGACTCGCAGCCGTTCTGGCGCGAATTCAGCCAGCGCAGTGCTGCCCACCTCAAACCTACCGGTCTGGTCCAGAATCAGTACCTGACCAGTCCCGATGGTTTCCGCGTCTTTGCGACCACCACCCTGCAGAAGTGCCAGGCCATCGTGGCCAAGGTGCTGGCCGGTACAACGCTGGAGGATTACCAGAGTATGGCCCGCGATCTCGACCGCCTCAGCGACTTGCTGTGTCGAGTTATCGACCTATCGGACTTTATCCGAGTCATCCATCCCGATCCGCGCGTGCAGGAGGCCGCGACGCAGGCGTACGCCCTCATGTTCGAGTACATGAACGTCTTGAATACGACTACCGGTCTCAACGACCAGCTGAAGAAGGCCGCCGCCAATCCCGAGGTTACGGCCCGTTGGTCCGACGAGGAGAAGATCGTCGCCCAGATCCTCATCAAGGACTTTTCCAACTCGGCCATCCACATGCCCCCGCATGCTCGACAGCGTTTCGTCAACCTGTCCAATGATATCAGCCAACTGGGAAATACTTTTGTCAACGCCGCCGAGCCGGCCAAGTCGCACGTGACCGTGAGCGCCAACAGCCTGCGCGGCCTCGACCCCATCCTCGTGCAGCAGATCAAGCGGTGGAACCGGACGGCCTCCGTGCCCAGCATGGGCCTGATTCCGCGCCTGGCGCTGCGGTCCGTCCACGACGAGGGCGTGCGGCGAGAGGTCTACTTGGCTACACGCACATCGAGCGCCCGCCAGATCCAGCGGCTCGAGCAGCTGTTGGCCAAGCGCGCCGAGCTAGCACAACTCTCGGGCTACGACAGCTTCGCTCACATGACGCTGAGTGACAAGATGGCCAAGTCCCCGGAGGCAGTGTCTAACTTCCTGACCTCGCTGGTGGGCAGTAACCGACCCTACGTGCAGGAGGAGCTGGCGCAGCTGCAGAGTATGAAGGGATCCGCTGGCCGGTTGCAACCGTGGGATCATGCGTACTATGTCCATCAACGGGTACTGCAGTACTCGCAGTCGCGCCGGTCGCGGGAGCTCAGTGCGGTGCCCGAGTTCTTCTCCCTGGGCACGGTCATGCAGGGACTGTCTCGGCTGTTCGATCGACTCTACGGCGTTCGGCTGGTGCCCCAGGAAACGGCTGCCGGGGAGACCTGGAACTCGGATGTGCGCCGATTGGACGTGGTCGACGAGGCGGACCGCCACATTGCTGTTATCTACTGTGACCTGTTCTCCCGCCCCAACAAGCACCCGAACCCGGCCCACTACACGCTGCGGTGTGCACGTGAGATCTCCGCGGAGGAGGTGGCCGAGTGCGCCACGACGATGGATGCTTCCGCCCACCCCAACGATGGCATGGCCACGGCCGTTGATCGCGACGCCAAGACGCTCCGCCAGCTGCCGACGATCGCGCTGGTGTGCGACTTCCCGGAACCGCCTGCGACAGGAACGGGCCGCCCGTCCCTGCTCAGCGAGCACAGCGTGCGTACCCTGTTCCACGAAATGGGACACGCGCTGCACTCAATTCTGGGACAGACGCGGCTCCAGTCCATCTCGGGAACGAGATGCGCGACCGACTTTGCCGAGCTGCCGTCGGTGCTGATGGAACGGTTTGCGACGGCACCCGAAGTGCTCGCACTGTACGCCCGCCACTGGGAGACGGATGCTCCTCTCTCGGAGAGCATGATGCAACACATGGAGAAGGACCGTACGGCGCACGGGTCTATCTACGGCGCGATGGAGAACGAGTCGCAGATCCTGATGGCGCTGGTCGACCAGGCATACCACTCCCTCCCTGCCGGCCAGGCCGCCTCCATCGACAGCACGGCAGTCTTCCACCAAGTCTCTGCGGAGCACTGCACCCTCCCCGATCCGGCCGATACCAAGCCCCCGACCTCGTGGCAGGGCTTCTTCGGCCACCTGCACGGCTACGGCGCCACCTACTATAGCTACATCTTCGACCGGGCGATCGCCAACAAGCTGTGGGAGGACGTGTTCCAGCAGGGCAAGGCGGCGGTGGATCGCCGGGCCGGTGAGCGGTACAAGAATGAAGTGCTGCGCTGGGGCGGTGGCCGCAACGGCTGGAACTGCGTGGCGGGCGTGCTGGGCAGCGCCCATCCCGCCAACGCGGATGGCCGACTTGTCGAAGGCGGCGACGAAGCTATGCGTGAGGTGGGTCGCTGGGGATTGGGACGCGATGGTGTCTCTGAGTAATTTCATTGGTCATGTGTATGTATATTATTCAGATACAAGTGACATAGGCAATAGATATCCCTGTAATGATATTTCAGCAATTCGCAGCAATTCGCAGCAATTCGCAACCTAGTTTATCTTCACCGCACGATACACTCAATACAATGGTATGCCACGCGAGCCTAATCTACAATATGCCGGTAAGTATGCCGCCGTGGCACAAACGCAGCGCCAGTACCACCTTGATCGCACCGTTAATGCTTTCTGCATGTGAGATGCATACTGCACCCCCAGTTAATGAAAGAGGGGAGGCGGGATGAAACCTACCAAGACAGATTGCAGCATGCCAGCCCCTGCGATTGGCGGGATAGAAAGCAAGGTGGTGCTGCTGACTTTCTATTAAGGTATATGATAAACCCGGTTTTTGCCCTTGATTTAGGCATCTGTTCTTTATCCCTGTCGGGAGATCAACCCAGTCTAGACTCTCACCAACTCCCTCCTAACCCTAGCCACTGATAATACTGTAGTGCTGCTATGCTAATATTGGCGACTATCACGAGGGTAAATGAAATGATAAGTAGACCCTTGATGCTTGGCTAGGCTAGGTGAATACATGATTGCTTTGTTTGCTTGGTGGCTGACCTGAATGACTGGGTCTGACCTGACTCCTTGGATGAAATCTCAACTAGTTACTACCATATTATCATTCTTTATCCCTTGATAACTTCTTTCTTCTCTCTCTCTTTCTTTCTTTCTTTATTTCTTTCTCTACTTCGTACTCTCACCAAAACACATAGCTATTCTCTCTCAACCAACTAATCAATCCTATTGATACATTTACACCTATCACAATGGCAACCGTCACCTTCAAAGACGATCTCCCCAACACCACCACCACTACCACCACAACTTCAAAGAATAAAACAACCACCCTCCGCCGCTGGCTCACCTTCTCAACCTCAACCTCATCATCCCATCGCCGCTCCTCCTCCCCACGCCCTAAACCAACCCGCAGACCTACCCCAAAACCCACCATCAACACCAACACCACAAGCACCAGCACTAGCAACAGCAACACCACAGCAACCCGTCTCTACCGAAGAGTAACCCTCCCCCGCCGCTCCTCCAAATCCAAAACCAAGACGAGAACAATCCATCCTGATGACGATACACATACACATACACATACCCCTACGTCGCTACTTACTTCCATAAACACCACTACCAACACAGGCACACCCACAGCCCATCCATTAGTTTCTACAAACCCAATCACACCCCCACCCACCAGCCCTACCTCTCCCTCAAGCACCAACAACAACAACAACAACAACAACAACAACAACAACAAAATCCGCTCACGCTCTCCCCTCTCCCCCCTCTCACCCCTAAGTCTCAACTTCAGCACACTATTCAACCTATCCCCGCGGTCGAAAACCATTAAAGAATCCTCGTCATCGACATATTCATCATCGGTATCGGAGATACATATCCCCCCGCCGACGGTCTCGCATGAGCAGCTGACGAGTTCGTATGCGGAGTATTGTGAGGCGTTTACGGAGGGGCGGACGGAGGAGAGTTTTCTGTATCAGGAGGAGGAAGATGGAGATAAGGGTGTTCGGCGGGTGAAGGAGATTGTGATTAAGGAGGAGACAGGGTGTTGTTTGGAGGAGAGGTGTTTGGGGAAGGAGGGTGGAGGAGGAGGGGGACAATGTGTGGAGGATACAAAGGAGGAAGGGGTCAAGGGGAGAGAAGGAGGGGATGAAAGGGCTATTCCGTGCAGTGATGATCAGAGGGAGATTCTACATTGGTTACGGGAGTCGGATGAGGAGGAGCAGGATAGTGGCAGCAATGCTGAAGATGTTCCGCTGCGGGTGTCTCCCCCCGCGAGAATCCTCACGCCTGCTCGGTATGAACAGTCGCGTCGGGCGGCGAGACAACCTCAGCGTGGGAAGCAGGAGCACCACGAGGATCAGCGACATGCGTGGTGGACTGCACTCCGGGTGGGGTGGACGCGCATGCGCCGCCGAACCAGCAGGGCTGCCAACCCCGACTACAATTAGACTAATTCCACGCTGCACTGCATAAGACAAGAATCAATCAATAAATTCGTGCAACGTCGCTAGCCCAATGGGATCCCCAGAAATGGCCGCAAGGGATGTCGATGCACCCGTCGGTTGCAATCACAAGAAACGCGCACACAGGGGTATCCCGAGCATCTTATTACATACAGCCTATGCCGATACAACAAAGGAAAAATGCCGCGACAAAGGAAATCTCTTCGTCCCCTCTATACATAGCCTCCCCACTGGTCATGCAACATTCCTTCACGAGGATCCCTCGTCCGCACCCTGCTCCGACGCACTGCTCGCCTTCTCCGGCTGCGGCGTCGTGGACTGGCTAGGTGGGTTAGGCGTGGCCCGGCGCGACATTTCCGCCAGTTCGCCTAGGATTCTAAGACATAGTCAGTAATCGAAATCCTCCACACATGTCATAGGGATCTTACCGTCGGTGTTCGTCATACCAGTCATCGTTAGACGTCCGGATGTGCTTAAGCTGTTCCTGAATGCTTGCCATCTACCAAAACCATGCCAGTCAGTAACCATGCCGGGTTAGGGAACGGGCCGTTGTCAGGTAAAGGGATGAAAGTGGGGAAGTCCTGTGGTAGAGGACGAAGTTAAACGGGGCAGTCCCACCGTTCCCTGGATGGATGAGCCAAGATCCTCACCTTCCGCGGCCTCCTCCTTCTCGCCCGCCCAGCGGCTACCCTCCAGCCCGACCGATCCGCCCTGCGTATCCTTCTCGGCCTTCAATGCCGCCACTTCGGCCTCCAGCTCGCGCACCCGCTTGCGGTTGGCCGCAATCGACGAGTCCACCTCGCCCAGCTGGTTGAGGAGGGACATGTTCTTGTCAATCTGGCTGTTCAGATCGCGCTCGCCTTGCTCCAACTTCTCCTCCATGGCCCGGTTCTCCGTCTTGCACGCCTGGAGTTCACTCGACAGGGTCTCGTGCTGGTTCTTTAGGTTGGACAATTCGTCCTTGGACGCGGCAAGTTGTTGCAGGACAGCTTCCAGCTCCGACTTAGCGCTCTCCGAAGCAGCAAGGGACTGCTCGAGCTCCGCAACCCGGCTGCTCACGGCCTGGTGTTGCTGCTCCAACTCGTTTTTCTCGGTAAGGATGGAGGAGAGATCGGCGTTGTGCTTGCCCGCGAGCTCCTTGGATTCCGCAGCAGACTGCTCGGCTTCGTTCAGCTTCTTCTCCAGATCAGCAATGGTCAGCTTCAGACTCTCAAGGACCGAAACATCCTGAGCGGCGGCGTGAGCTTCGGCCAGCTGGGCGTGGACCTCCGCAAGGGCAGCGTCGTGAGTCTTCTGCAGCTCCTCGATCTTGGCCTGGTTGGTGGCCTCCAGATCAGCCCGAAGGCCGGAAAGCTTCTCGTCTTGAATGGTCAGGAGGTGTTCGATCGCCTTGCTGTGCTCAGCATCAGTTTCCGCGGACCGAGACGTCTGGAGGGATTGCAGTTCAGCCTGGAACTGGGCCTTGGCCTCTTCGTGCTGCTGCTGAAGCTCGGCAACCTCCTTAGCACGGGTCTCGGTATGCTCCGCGATCTCCTGGGCATGGCGCTGAAGAGCGGACCGGAGCTCGGCCTCAAGAGACTCGATATGCTCAGCGTGCTTGGACTCCATGTCACGAAGGGTAGACATGGACGCCTCGTACTTGGCCTGCAGCTCGCTAAGCGCCTGCTCGTGGGAACCGCTAGCATTGGTCTTGACATTCTCGAGCGCGACGGCGTGCTCGGCCTTCAGGGACTCGAGCGCCTGTGCGTGCTGCTCGGCAACAACAGCGGCTTCCTTGACCTTCTCCTCTAGCTCCCGGCCGGCAACGGCGGCCTTCTCTTCCAAAGATTTGAGTTGGCTTTCCTGCTCAGCATCCTTGGCCTTGGTCTTGTCCTCGAAGGCATCCAGGCTCTGCTGCAGCGCCTCCGCCTGCCCTTGCTTGCTCTGGATTTCGTCCTGAAGAGACTTGATCTCGCCCTGTCCGGTGGAGAGCTGGGACTCCAGAGCACCGACCTTCTCCTTGAGGGACTCGATCTCCTGGATGGCTACGTCCTGGGCAGAGCTGTTGCCGTTTTCGAGAGCTTGGCGGGCCTCGGCAAGGTTTTGCTCAGTAGCCTCCAGTCTCTGGTTCAGAGCATGCATCTCGGCTTGGTGGGCAGCATCAAGCTCGGCAATCAGCTCCTCCTTGTCCTCAGCAGCAGCAGACTCGGCCTCTTCGAGCTTCGCACGGAGTTCCTCGAGTTGCTGGGCGTGAGAGGTTCCAGCGGACTCAGCGGCCTCCTTCGCAGCGGCAAGTTCCTGCGCGTGAGCTGCAGCGGCAGCAGCCAACGCCTCCTCATGGACAGCCTTCAACTGGGCAACGGCGGCCTCGTGAGATGCTTCCAGCTCTTTGACCTTGTCGCCAAGCCCGTTCTCAGCAGCCGCAGAAAGTGCCTGTTCGTGACTAGCCTTGAGCTCCGCAATCGTGGCCTCGTGAGCGGCTTCGAGCTCCTTCTGCTTCTCGCCAACCTTGCTCTCGATCGCCGCAGTCAGGGCCTGTTCATGTTCAGCCTTGAGTTGGGCAATGGCGGCCTCGTGGGTGCCTTCCAACTCCTTGACCTTGTCGCCCAGTCCACTTTCAGCGGCCGCGGAGAGGGCTTGCTCATGGGCGGCTTTCAGTTCCGCAATTGCAGCCTCATGAGCAGCTTCAAGCTCCTTGACCTTGTCGCCAACCTTGCCCTCGACAGCGGCAGCCAGGGCCTCCTCATGTTCCGCCTTGAGCTGAGCAACGGCGGCCTCATGAGCGGCCTCCAGCTCCTTGGTCTTCTCTGTGATCTGGGCTTCCGCATCCTGGCGGCCCTGCTCCAGTTCTACGTGCGCCTTCTCCAACGCGTCCTTGAGGTCGGCAATCTCCTGGTCTTTCTCGGCCAAGCGGGCGGCCGTCTCTTCGTTGCCTTCGCTGGTCGCAGAACCCGCAGCGGCAAGCTGGCTTTCGAGCGATGTCACCTTGTCCTCCAGGGCTAGAATGGCATGCTTGGCAGCCTCCTCGGCGGCCCGAATCTCCTGCTGCTTGGCTTGGTCCAGCCGGTCCATTTCCATGTGCAGGTTTTCGACCACCTGGTCACGTCCATTGAGCTCGCGCTGGAGATCTTCCAGTTTCGCAAGGGTCTTGTCCAGGTTGGCACTCGCCTCGGTCAGCTGGCCTTTCTGCAGGTCAAGCTCGGCTTTCAAAGAGTCGACTTGCTCGGCATATCCGGCAGCTGCTGCCTTCTGCTCGGCAAGATCCTTCTCCAGCGCTTCCAGTTGCGCTTGGTGCGACTGCTTCAGTTCCTCCAGGGCCGCAGCAGTCTGGTCATCACCCTGAGCCGCGGCGGACTTGGCGGCGTCATCCAACTCCTTGACCGACTTCTCCTCCAGCTCCTTGTGCTTCGCCTCGACATCTTCCAACTGGGCACGCAACGCCTGCAGCTGCTCCTGATGGACAGCGGTCAGCTGTTCGATTTCGGCAGTATGCTGCTCACGGAGCGCCTTGGTGGCCTCATCGACATTCTCGGAGGAATCGTTCGGGGCGAGAGACAGCTCGGTCAGTTTGAGATTGACAGCGTCCAAATCCGCCTTAAGACTAGTCACCGTGGCTTCGCTCTCGGCCAGCTTGGTCTGAAGTGACTGCAACTTCTCCGAGTCTTCCTCGGCACCCTTGGGAGCGGTGCTCAACCTCTTGGAGGCGGTCGTCGCTGCCCTCGTCACCGTAGACGTGGGTCTGGTGGTGGTACGAGTGGTGGCGGAGGAGGAAGTAGTCGGACGAGAAGTCGAGGTGGTGGTCGCCGGCTTGGTCAGGGGCCGCACTGTGGAGGCCGTGCTAGGGCGAGTGGTAGATGTTCTCTTCTCCGCCGTAGTCGAGCCCGCAATGCTGGAACGTCGGTCCAGAGTGGAAGTAGTGGGCTTGACGGGTGCTCTCGTGGCCGAGGTACCAACCAGCGACATGCGCTTGGCGGCTGTGCTGGAGATGCCACGCTTCTCATCTCCGGAGCTGGCCACCGACCGGTGGGACTTTTCGTCTGCGGAACTGCTGACGGAGGCGCGCGACCGATGGCCGGCTGTGGTGGTGGTGGTGGTGGTAGAGCTCAGGGGCTTGCGGACCGTGGTGGTGGTCGCGGGCCGGGTCGGAGGCCTGTTTAAGGTGCTGCCGTTGGTCGCGGCGGGGCGTGTGGTCGAAGTCGTAGTTCTGGAGGGACCGGACATGGAAGTAGGACGCTTGGTGGTCGTCGTTCCGGACAAGGGTCGCCTAGTGCTGGTCGTGGAGGAGGGACTCTTCTTGACAGGAGAGGCCTTGACGTTCTCCTTGTCCTTGGAGACATCTGGGCTTGTGACGGGCTCCTCGCTGCCCGAGAGGATGGTCGAATCGACCGGAGTCGCAGGGGGCGCGATCTCCGGCTCCACCTCCGCAGGAGCAACTGGGGTGACAGGTTCCTCTGTGGACGCCATGCTGTGGAGAAGGAGTTCGTCTGAGATTGGTGTGTAGGAGGAAGGAAGGTTCGCAGCGTTTGGCGTGGTTTAAACTTAACGAGGCAGTCTAACGAATTGGGAGCGTCCACGTTAGTTGATCCGACTAGCAGAAACAAAGACGTATGCAAGATCCCCAAGATGGAGGGGGCGGGGAAGGGTTGGTGCGAGATCAAAAAAGATATCGGAATGATGCAACCAAAAGAAAGAGCAACAGGTAAAGGGGGCAAGACGATGTAAAGAAGGTCTCCTGGTGAGGGAAAAAAAGCACTTTCAGAAAGTTGGCCTCGTGGAGGGAAGCTGCGACGGAATAGCCGAGGCGGGTCTCCTTTTTTTTCTGGCAACTCCGCAGACCACGGCGCAACGGAGAGGATCACGCAACACAGGACTGTTGGGGAGTCTCAATGGCAGTAGAAAGTGCAGAGGATTATTGCAGGCAGCTTGGGGGGTGGGCGACAAAAGTAGAGGGTTTGAGGGGGAGCAAAGAGGCACGGTGGCATGGTTCTTGCAGGACCCCGGAAGGTGTGCAGATCAAAACAGTTGGGGTCCGTAGTAGTAGTAGTAGCAGTAGTCACTCACCAGGAACTGCCGGGAGGGAACCAGAAAACCAACAACGGGCGGGATTAGAAAAGGGGGTTAGCGGGGAGAGGGGGGGGGATTAAAGAATTACAAAATGTTAAGTAAACAAGAAAAAGAAGCAGGGAGGGAAACAAATACAGAGAGGTAAGAGAGTAAGAAAGACACAAGAAGACGGGAGGAGAGGGAGAAAGAGAAGAGGAGAGAGGAAGAGGAGAAAGGGGAGTAAGTTTAGTGTCTCTAGTAAATTTTGGGAGGGAAAAGGGTAGGAATAGTCGAACCGGAGGAGAGGGAGAGGAGAGGGAGGGGGGGAAAAGGCGGAAAGAAGGGAAGAATGGAGAGAACCCACCGCATTGGCCTCAGGCATGGAATGGGCGGTCAGTCAGGAGGTCAACTGATCTATTTGCCTGTCACCTCAATATTATTCCCACTCACTATCCTCACTATCTCTGGTCTAGCGATCTACCATCGATTGTTCGTCTCGCGTCCAGACCACTGCGCTCCTTGTCACTACCAACTACTGCTGCTGCTGGCTATGGTTGGCGTCTCCCAGCTATGTTGATCCCATGGTTGCCATTGCTGGGGCCTCCGCGTGTTGTCCCCCCCTAAACCGGCCGTAGAATAAACAATGCCCGTTGTTGGTTCCATGGTTCCGTCCACGTAGACTGACAATCACATCCCAATTTCATTCACGCAATTAGAGTTACCTTGGCAGGAAACGCTAAGACTAATACCTAACACTAAAAAGGGAGAAAATCCACAAACTCCCGGGGTATATGACACGACTGCACTCAAAACTATCATTACCGCAGCCAAAATAAATATATTTTCCATCCTCACTCCACCACCTTCAACAACCACCCCAATCCCACTGGTCTTCTCCCCTCTGCGCCATTTCCCGGATTTGCGGGAGCATTTGGTGATACAGTCTTTCGCTTTGTTTACGCACCTCCCTCTCCCCGCGTTGACCGATGCCATCGTGGTAGAACTCACAGATTCGATAGTAGCGGTCCGGACCTAGATGCATCTTGTGAGCATGCCGCGCTGCCGCCTTCCTTCCTGCCAAGCAGATGAGCTTGAAACTTACCCTGGAATCGTTGCAAACCCTCGACAAGAGCGTAGCCCTCTTCATCTGTCCAAGCCTGTGCCGGAGTGGTCGGCTTCGGAGGCTTGGACTGGCCCTGCTTAGCAGTTTTTGTCGGCGGCTTCGCATGCCTATCAACCTCCACATCTTTCCGTCGGTGGCCCTTTTTCAGGCGCCCGTTTTCAAGCGATTCAAGGAGTCGCTTCAGGGGCAGACGCAAGCCCGGGCTGACGGCCCGGCACGCCACATATTTCCCCCGAACAAGACCGCCGATCTGATTGCAACGCCCTAGCAGTACTCTCATGGCATGCTGAAAATGGCCGTATGCTTCCGGGAAGAGTCGATGATCCACGTAGTAAGCTTCAAAACAGACGAGAACCAGCCGTACTAACAGCGGGAAGATTTGGATCTCGAATTCTTCCACCAGTGCCCCGCCTCCCACCTCATCCCCTTGAGTCGAGAGTGTGTAAGCCTTCTCCAGTTGACGGCGTCCTTGTCTGTCAACCGTTTCAAGCGTCGCGCTGCAGCTGCGCACGTCAAACTCTGGCGGTCCAAAATCAGACGCCAAGTACTCGATAATCCCTTTGTAGGCCTGGATTAGGGAGGATAATTCACGCTTCAGAGGCTCAAAATCAATGTCAACCTCCCTGACATTGAAAGCTATGTTTCGAGGGTGCATGCTCTGGATGAGCTTTTTCCAATTGGAGGCCTGGCCGTCAAGTTCAGAGGCTTCCTTGAACCACGCGCTATCTTCCGGGCGTTCAGCCCCATGACTCCGCTGATCCGGGTTCTCCTGGGTAGGTCCGTCCTGGGTGGCAGACCTGGCTATGGCTCCCTGGGAAGCATATTCCGTAGCATGTCGTTCCCCACGGTGGTCAGCGTCACAGGAGCGCTGGGGATTATCGGCGGGACTCTCTCTGGGAATAAAGGAGCTGGCCTGCTGACGAGCAGTGGACGTTGGGTGTTCGGGCTGTATGTTATTTTCTCTGGCCGTACCCTGTGAGCTCGTAGTCGAGTGTCTCCGTTTCGTGGATTGCCGTGATGGGTCTGACTCAGACCGCGGACTTGCTTCCGCAGGATGATGCTGAGGGTCATCCTGGGATGAGTTAGGTTCAGGAAAAGGCACCGATGATGAGGATGCCTCTAATGGTTGGTATGGTGGGTCTTCATCCTGTGTGGTGCCGACAATATTGGCTTCTTGTTCTAGTGTTCGCGTTTCATTATCCCTCGATGGTCCATCCGCTTGGTGGTCCACCGTTTTTGAGATATTAGATGATAAAGGCGTTGCTGTACTTATCTCAACCGCAATTGTGGGAAGTCGCTTTGTCGCTGAAGCATCACTGCGGCTGGAGTCTCGCCTATCGGCTGGCTGTTGGGATGCATCTCTCCACTGATCGTTGCTCGTATCTTCATTTGATTCTACTAATGTTGCCTCTGAAACTATATCGCTGCCAGACTGTGTCTTGGGCTTACGACCAGGAGTCTCCTGGCTGGAAGATGGCGATGGGCTAGGCCGGCCGGTAGACTGGTGGGCGTCTCCAGCATTATTTGAGAAAAGTTCCACTTCTGATGCCAGATCTTCGCCATCAAGCATCTCTTCGTCACTCTGGGACGATATATGATCGCCTTCATTATCACGTTCAGCGTCGCTTGACGAGTAATCTTCGGCTGAAGTCTCAGCACTTGGGCGTGGGGGAATTACGTGAGTGTCATCCCCGAAACCCTCTTCTGCCTTTTCTAAAGACTGCACCTCACCTGGCTCATCTGACTGATTGCCAGATTCGTGCTCGGATTCTGGGCTTTTGGGAGGCTGCAACATTTGATCGCTCCCATCCTGAGTGGATCCATCAGGCACGGGTTCTAAGAACCTTAATGACCGACGGGGAGTGACTTCGATCGGGTGGGCGTGTCTTGGCCTTTGGGGGACAGTTTGAGAAACCGGACCAAATCCATCGATCATATCGGTAGCATCTCTCCTGACAGAATACGTGAGCCGACGCGAGGGATGCGGGGTGGCGGGACCGGGTCGATTCGCCCGGGACGCAGTCCTCTGCGTGTTAGTATCCATGAGGCCATTCAACAGGTCGACCGCCTGCAGAGTGGAATCGCGCTTCCTCCTCCGCTGCACAGGTTGCGGCGAGTCCGACATATTGAACACCCATGAAATACAGAGAAAGCAGCAAAGCAAAGCAAAGCATACCAGCCCCCCTGGAAAACAATAACTGGACCTAACTGGACCTGTCAAGCCCGTCGGGGATCAGGGACGGCGGCGAAGGAGCTGGTTGGTGGGAAGCTTGGATCGCGAAGTGCTTCCCGTGATCGGCGGGCGTCATCACTTGGCCGCCTTATCGATAAGGCCCCGCCCCCTGCCAGATTGCGAGCCAACCTTCCTCATCCTCCCCCCCACCATCCTTCATTTCCCTTTTCTCTCCACCTGCTTCCACACTCATTTGGATACCATCTATCCAATTCCTTTCGCACGCGCTTAGCTACATCATGGCCGCGGACCTCCCTTCAGTCCGTGTGTTGCCCACCCTCGACCCCGCGGTGGGGCACACATTCGCCAAGCCCACCAAACGCATCCACGAGCACAGCGACGTCTCCGAGTTTCTGTGTTCTAAAGCTTATGTCGACCTTATGACATTCCTCCTCCAGCTCAACCGGTCAATGTTTCCAGCCAAGCTTGAGGATGGGCGCGTTCAGACTTGGCCCTTGAACTCTGATGCTGTGGAGTACTCCGCGCCGGTTCGTCAACTCCAGCAGCTGCTCTCCAAGCTAGAAGCTATTCTCGAGGAAGCTCCCCCCGATAAAGGCCCCCGTAGATTCGGCAACATCAGCTTTCGGAGGTGGTACGAGATTGTTGAAAGCCGTGTTTCCAGCCTCCTCGAGGAGTGTCTCTCTCCGGAGGTCCTCAATCGCAAGTCAGCGGACCCCGAGGGGCCTACGGCGGCAGTAGAGCTCAAGGCATACTTTCTGGGAAGCTGGGGAAGCCCTCAACGTCTAGACTATGGTACTGGTCATGAACTGAGCTTCTTGGCCTTCCTGGCTGGGCTCTGGAAGTTGCATGGATTTCCACAGAGCACTCCTGGTGTCGAAGAGAGAGCCATTGTTTTGGGTGTCATTCAGCCGTGGGTATATCGCTAGTCTCTGATTGAACGACACTGATTGTTGCTAGATACCTTGAGCTAGTGCGAACAATTATCAAAACCTATACCTTGGAACCCGCCGGTTCCCACGGCGTGTGGGGACTCGATGATCACTCTTTCATCCCCTATATTTTCGGCTCAGCGCAGTTTGCTCCAGCTATATCTGAGACGGATCGAGTGCCAGAAGAAGGTTCTTTGCCGGATGCGCCTGACCCGACCGGTGTTGCCAAGGTGAACGTGGTGGAACGGGAACGTCGTGGAAATCTCTACTTTTCTGCCATCGGCTTTATCTACGACGTGAAGAAGGGCCCATTCTGGGAGCACAGTCCAATGCTCTACGATATTTCTGGCATCAAGACCGGCTGGGCCAAGATTAACAAGGTATTTGTGGTGCAGGTGGGGATGTACTTCGTACACTAACTGGAGACAGGGGATGATTAAGATGTACAACGCCGAAGTGCTGTCCAAGTTTCCCGTGGTCCAGCACTTCCCGTTCGGCTCTCTGTTCAGCTGGGATCGCGATCCAAACGCCATACCTCAGCCCTCTACCGTCCACACGTCGTCCGCACCACAACCTCGACAAACCGAAGCTCCCCAGGCATCTGGTCCAGGAACTAAAGCCCCATGGGCTACATCTCAAGCTGTCCCTCTAACGAGCGGAACTGCCGCACCCTGGGCAACAGCACGAGGTCCGGCTAGAGGACCAACTCTGCCCGACACGTCCCGGCTACCGCCCGGCCCGATGGCCCCGACGAGGGCCCCATGGGCAAATGCAGCCCCAGGGCCGGCTCCTGGTGCTGCCGACCCTCAAGGGGACGTAACGACCAAGGCACCCTGGGCTAAATAACTGGCTACTCCTGCTTGATCGAGCATTTTCTGTACTTATACCCTTGCATGATATCATTTGCATACATAAGTGAATCGTAAAAAGTTGACATGCCGTTATGCCATAACTCCAAACCCGGGGTATCATCCGTTTTCAAAACCAACGCAACGCCTCGTAGAGATGCAAGAACCACCAGACACACACTCACTCCGAATCCGACGCATAGCTCACCAACCCAAGACTCGGACGGGGTGTCTCTCCCACCTCCCCAGAACTCTTCTCCATCTCCGAGCCATTCTCAGCACTCTCCTTCCCATCACCGGACTTGCTTCCAGAGACAACCTTCCTCCTCTTAATCTCAGGCCTCCAAGCATCAGAATCACCACTTAAAAACGGATCCACCGCAGCCCTCGTATTCCCTCTCAACTCACTCCGAAAAGCAGCCTTCCGATCCTCAAGCACCTCCTTAGCCTTCATCCTCTTCCCCTCCTTCTTCCCCCCACCAGCTCGCACCTCTTCCTCCCCAAACAAAGGCTTCATCCTCGCCCTCCGCCCATCCACCGCACCCTCCCCAAAATCCACCAACCCCGCCCTGACCCGATCACTCTCAATCTCATCAACAACCTCAATCCCCAAGCTCAACTTATCCTTCAACTTTTCCCTCTCCTCCTCCTTCCTCTCCAACCCCTTCCTCTCCGCCCGAAAAACCTTCCTAATCCTGCGACTCTTCTCATACGGATCCTCCCAATCCCTCTTCTGTCTCTCCTGCAACTCCAATATTCGATCCCGTTCCTCATCCCCACGCTTCTTATCCACCACTTTCCCCTCTAACCTCTCCAACGCATCCATCTTCCCCTTGCTATCCACCCCAGTAACGATCTCCCCCACCTTCCTCCCCTCCTCATCAACCCCATAATCCCTCCTCCGCGCACCGGAAATAACCACATACTCCGTGTTCTTTGGATCCGTGTGTATCTCGATCCACCCGCCACAAGCCCCATGCTTCATTCGGAAACTGTATACCGGCGTGCTGTAGTAATTCCCGATTTTCTTTTTCTCGGCGTTGAAGCGGACTCCTTGCCCGATGATGGTCTCGTGCGGTTTGCATGTCGTGCACCAGATCGCGAACGGCATCTCGAAGCGGACGGTTAGAGCGCCGGTGGATTGTAGGTTGCGGGCTCGTGAGCCGAGGGGGTGTTTGTTGTGCAGCTTGTTGCCCGTCGTGAGGCCTTCTAGGTCTGGGGGGACGTAGCGTCCCATGTCTGGGGGTGGTTAGTGGATTGTGGATGGTGAGGAGAGGGGGGTGTATGGGACGTACTGAAGCCTTGCATGGTGGGCGGGTGGGTATGTAGAATGTAGTATGTGGTGGTAGGGAGGGTATAGAGATAGTGCTCGGCGAGCCAGCGCGACGGCGGCGGTTTGGGGTGTTAGACGTGACGATAAGGTTGATGCGATGCGATGCGCATGCGATGCCGCTGCCTTGTTCCGAGGTGGTGCTGTGCTGATGAGTCAGCTGCATTATTGATGTGCATAAATTGCTCCGGGTCTCAACGTCATATCTCGAAACTGAGCACCGAAGAATCATGTCTCACGAGACGAGTCAGAGGTGAGAGATATTGATTTAGATGATGGAACTACAGCTTGATTAACTTTGGTATTTCCAGTCTACACAAATACTAATCGTACATTATCTGTGTCCAAATTCATCAGTGGACTCCTGATATCTTGCAGGCTTTCGAATTTTGTGTTATTACTCAAGATAGTACTTATGACTCGCAAACGATCAATCAAATAATATAATTTTTTGAATGTAGCTAGTGTGAAGATAGGAAAGTAATCCACGGTCAATGCCGACTTGATATCGCCACCTGAGAAACGTCTCCAGACCCACCGGACATCTTGTCCTATACGGAGATTAAATTCCTCAACCCTGCCAACCTTCAACACTATTATTCCAAAGCTGAATAGAGAAAGTCGGGGACGCGGGAGGCTTGAGGAGGCCAGAGCCGTACAAGATTCCCTCCTCCCAATTGCGCGGCGCGACTACTTCGGTGGGCATAAACCAGTTCACGAAAAACCTAGGCGGATTTGGTGAGCTTGAGGGAATTTTTTAGGAGTGATCTAGTATAACTTACAGGGTAGATGATTCGGGGACCCAGACCAGATCTTCACAGGTACGATGGAAAGGAAGCCATCCCCAGCTAGCCATTTTTCTTGAGAGAACAGTTAGTGATTGTCTTCGGGTTATCTAACAACTAATTGGATAGTCAGGGATATGGAGGTCAGCTTACAGGTAGTTCTCCTTGAAGGAATTGCGAATTTGGTCACGGACACAGTACTCCATCGACCAGAAGATATCGTCACTCTCTTCGTCTCCCAGGCGAATACCTGAGATCTCCTCAGAGACCACCCGGACTATGAAACCCCCCGGTACCAAGCTGTCGGCATCTTGTTTTCCCTCCAAGCTGTCCAGAAGTTTGGGGGTAAAGGTTGAATTCTTGAGCATGAGCTGGCGGTATGCTCTGAGCTCACGGGGAACCCAAACTTTCGCTTGCTTGGCTCGTACTTCGGGGCGGTCGCCGACTGTCTCCTCTGTAGAAATCTGCTTGTAGATCCTCATATTTCCGTAAACTGGCGGCTTAGAGCCCACTTGTCGTACTTTCAACAAGATGCAGGCATATGGACGACACTGGGTGGCAGTTCTTTGCTCGCTGCCCTGCAGAACCACCTCCTCTTCGTGACTCACAATGCGCCATCGCTTTTCTTCCAGCTCGACGACGACGCCAGGGCTCACCTCCTCCCGACCAAACCAGCGAGGAGGCATGATTGTCACTATGGATGATCATTTTTCAGCACTAAAAGGGATAGTAGAGGTATACTGGCCACTGTGACAATAATCGGCTGAGTTTTATGGTTTGTAATCGTCATCATTGCATGTTGAGGCGCGAACTACAGCGAAAAGCAAGCGAAACAGCAGAATGCAAGCAACACGAAGAAACCCAATAGAGCAATAGAGTGATCGTATTGACTATACAGAGCGCGCAGCGAAACGAGCGCGATGGGGTGCTTTATTGTGGCGGCCTGAGCGCCAATTAGGTTGACCAAGCCCACATGACTGCCTCAACATTACATTGTATGTTACCACTTGAAGCTGTGTGGACCACGAGTGTTATTCAGGTCTTCGAGTATAGGTTGATGCTGTTAATAATGTGCCTCGTGGCTCAACTAGTGGCTTCATGAGCAGCGCAATGAGGGATCGGCGCGCTAAGCCCCGCCTCCGCCCTCTCCCCAGCCCGAAAGAGTAAACGACAAGGCTGACAGGCGCTTCACGAGAGAATATGAAGGCCTGCCTCCCAATCCACTTCTTTTATTCAAATACACTGCTAGAATGGCAGGTTCCATCCAGAACATAGTGGCAACTCCGCTACATGCTGTTGCCGAGTCGAACATTGCTCTTGCTCATGTGAACTTCGATTTTTCACTGGTCAAAGTTGAGGCGCCTGCCGAACTTCAACCCGTGGGAAGGCAGCTTTCTCAAGCCCGGCGACAGTCTGCGGAAGACGGTTCATTTCACATTCTGGCCCGGCGACTAGGTGTGCTATTTGATGATGTTCTGCCGGACGTACCACTATTATTGGAGGCGTATGGGACTCGTGCTAGTGAAATAGCCCAAGAGACTTCCCGGAGATTACACCAACCGAGAAACATCGTGGATGGGTTCTTTGGAACTCACCTAGGCATTGATAGCACGACAATATGGGCTAGTGCAACTAGTGGCAGGTCGGTGCTTCGCATTCATCTTCTCGCGTGTTTTTTGGCCCGCATCTGGACTCATCAGGAAGCAACGGGGGTTTGGAAAGATATTGTAGAACATCGCCAGGCAATGATTAGAAGACAAGCTCAATCATCTGAAATTATGGATAACTACTTGGCGCAATTAGCTGCCGCCCATGAAATCGACGAAGCGCTATTAGCAAGCTGGGATTCCAGTGCTCGAGCCTGGTTACAAATTGCAGACCAGGCGAAGAAGAAAGAGCAGATCCAGGTGCAGTTAATTGTCACAACCGTTCAGTGGCAGTCAAGAACCAAGGAACTTCCAATGACCAGCCATCTCCAAAGCCAAACAGCTATGACAGTGTTATGTCTAACTTTAACCGCGCCTTGACTGCGATGGAAAGCTTGATCAAGGGGGAGCCCCAAAGAATAACAGACGCGGGAATCATGCTCGGCTTAACCTCGTGGCATCTCTATCCGGACTTGGTGGTACTTACATCAAGTACGAAGGAGATATCCCAGAAAGATCGACTGGTGAAGGAAGGTGGAATCGTCACTATTGCAATTGCTCCCGAAACTGGCCCGCGTGCAGATGGCGTATATTGGTCTTTGCCACTGGCGAGTCTTCGTTACTACGGCACTGTTAGACGAGAACGATCCACTATGCATGACTCCAGAATCTCAGTGGAACAGCTACAGGCCTTAGCACTTGGTGCTTCTTTGGGCTCTTATGATAATGCAGTTTCTGCTGCAAAATTCATAGGGTCACTCTGGGGGCTCTTTCATTACATATACCAACTCAAATTGCATCAGATTGCTGAAAAACCACTGGAGCTTCCAGAAGACTTATCACAGTATAGTGTGGTTGACCTTATCGACGATCGGCAGTCACTTAGGTCAATCATGAAACTACTACAGCTGATGTTCCCCCTCAGAGATGGCATCGAATTGCTGCTTTCGGATGATTCTGGAGAGAGACAGATCGCAATGCAACTCTTGCGATACGGCACCAACTATGGAAGATCCTGGCTTGGAAACGATGCAAGCTCATCGTCGGTGTTCCTTTGTCTAACCAATCTGCAACCCCTGCTTGGAATGATTCGATACTCTGGTGAACGAATCCATATTCTTCGCACGCTATGCTCCAAGTATCAGCTCAACCCGTCTGAATATGTGATTCGCTTCCGAACTCGGCACCACTCGTGGGCATTCTCGCCTATATTACACAACCATTCCGTAGGTGTTCATGGTGGCATGAAAAGGAAGCGGGATGAATATGAGACAGCAGATGCAGACATTATTGAGTGCGTCGAAGTCCCACCTGGAGAGGACTGGATTTGCATTGCTACACCAGCGACATCGAGGGGACATGCTGTGCCAACCAGCGCACCTGGTGCCTTCGAGGACATATTTGCAGAGCTTATGGAAGACAACCCGCAGACCAGAGAATCAGTTCTGTTTGACTTTGTATTCGGGGATCACAACCTCGCAGCCGTTTACAGAAGGCGAACCATCCAGTCATCACCCCGTAATAAGCCACTTCCGAACACAGTTCCGCTGTCAATGGTCCAAGACCTGCTTGATAGTAATGCTTTGATGCCCGAGAAGGTGGCCGAATACATATTGGACCGTTTCGGGTCGACACAAGCTCTGCATGAGAACTCACTTCTCGCTCTTGGACGGGTAATAGACTATTACAAACAGTACTTGCCTCAGGCTATGGTATCTATGAGCGTTATAAAGAGCCCTATGACCTCGTGGAAATGGGTCCCATCATTGTTGCACCCGCTTGATCTATCAGCCTCTCTCGCCACGCAGCAAGCTCGCGAAGGGTCTATTCCTAGCTCCGTTTATCTGAGTCTACTATCTCGAGAACATGCATTTGCAGCTATCCTCCAGTTTGAGTCCGGTACAATCAGTCTGGATACCCCAGACCTTGAAACGGTGTTTGCAATTTCCAGTGGCAACTCCCTTTTCATTGCCAAGCAACTACTATACGATCCTACTCCAGCAGATAGAATCGCGCCCTATGCTGTTTCTCATGCCATCGGAAACGTGGGGAAACCGGGTATTGCTCTCCTCGTTTCCCCGCCCGAACTGGAGATACGAGAACACACGCTTGAGCGGTGGCGCCTTGTCAACCATCATCCATTTGATGGAAACCCAGTGGGTGGAAGGTTTGACGGTACATCGCTGCATTTGTCATTTACTGGATGGGATGGCCCTGTGAGCTTGGATTCAACCAGCTACAGAACCATGGAAGCCTACTATCTTCAAACAACCATCTCTGTCAATGATGGCGGGGAGTGGGTGGGAGATGTGGATATCCTCAAAGGATTGACTGATGTCCAGATCCTAGCTTATCCTTCTTTCTCAAGAGAATTATGCAATCACGATTCTAGCTTCCAGACAGCCCTATTACAATCGGCCGGAACGATGTCTATCGATTGTTGGGAGGAGATTCTAGATCCCCCTGGAGGTGTTCTCGTGCTCCGCTCCACACCGGTAACATCTAATGACTCCAGGAATTGGCAATGGATGGTTCGATTAGCTGCAATAAGCATGGCATCTTCCAAGGGATACAAATGCTTCTGTTTACCTCTAGATAGAGACATTTGCTGGACCTGTGTTGTTGGACAGATAGGTATCGACGGAGGAAAGCAACTTGTCGTGTGCTAAGTATGACTTAGTACTCTGCGATCTTGCTATCATTTTTGGAATTCAATGAAATGAGCTCAACACCTTTGCGGCATGACCGCTAGTTATCAAGGGTAGTCGTAGACCCTAACGGCCTCGTGCTATTATCGAACAATGGCCAAATGAATAAGTCATATCAGCCATAGTTGTACTGCATTTACCAGAGATGTGCGACACTGATCAATGGAAGTGCATTATCGAATGAGCACAAGCAACTCAACATGGTAATGAAACATTTCAATCACAATCTGCTTGTAGACAAGTGTGAAGAACTTCGGACAGTCCTATGTCAAAACATCAAGAACGGCAAACCAGCAAACACCATACAAACGATGCTGAAAAAGATGCGTATAAGAGCTCAAGTAATACACATAACAACACCAAAAGCCAATGGAGTGTCGAGAAGAAAACCAGACTGAAGAACTTAATTCGTTGGCTCGAGGAACCAGACACCATTTATTCAACCGATCGCTCGACCAACATCATGACTCGTTATCATAGAATGCAGATCGATGTGCGGAGCAGACAGTCTTTCAGCCCTATCAACCATGTCAGCATGCGGTCGCAAGACAATATAGCCTAATCGCACTCACCCTTTGAAAAAGCAAGTATATCAGCCGAAAAAATTACGCTCATCACTACCAACCACAATATCATCCGGCAACTTGAAGAAAAAAGATGCCAAATCGGACCCGTCACCCGTGGCGCCCCCCTTACTCGCATTTCCTCCATTCGCCGAGATTTTACCGGTGCGAGTGGTCTTGTTCCCACTGTTATTGTAGTGGCAGGCGGTAGAAGTATTGGTCCATGTGGTCACATTCCTACTGCTATTGTTGTTGGTTGTCGTATTACCGCAGTTCTCCGACGTCGTGTTGCCACAGTTAGTCGAGGTGGTATTTCCGGTGTTGTTGTTCCAAGAAAAGCTGTTGTGGCTTCCACCGTAAGGGAAGCCGCCGTTCCAGGCCCATGGGTTTGGAGTGTCATATTTGCCTCGCTTCCAGCTTCTGTGACACATAATGTGGTGAGAAATCTGAGTATTGGGATGATTCAATTTAGTGTTCAAGTAAGCAAGAAGTAGTAAGTGAGAGAGAGGTGAGCTTTAGTTGGAGAAGAATGATCAATGCCTGCCATCTGTGTGGCTTTGGTTTAATTTATGGCCAGATATCTCATTACATCATTGCAAAGGCCTGGCTGCACAGGTACCTGAGTGGCTACTTTGGTGGCAAGGAGCTGAGGAATTGGGTACGAGGCGTTCAGGTAACTCCGAAGTAGAGGCGCAGATGCCGCAGGGAACTCGGCTTGGTGTACGCACAGCCACAATGAATGTATCCTGGGGGAATAGATATCGTACCAAATGATGCAATAGCACTTCGGAAGTGAACTGCACTGCCCGGCACTTTGAGCTTGATTCGGCCCTAAATCCATTAAGTCTCAAGGCAGTACCGCAAAGCACACGGACTCCTCAAGTATAGTGCAATTGACGAAGTAGTACATTAGCCGTGTATATTGGACTGACAGAAATCCACTCCTTGGTTACTCTCTTTCGGAGAAGCACTTTTCCTCTACAGCAAGTCTGATAAAGAAAGGCGGGCTGGTCCCAATTGACAAGGATGTGCTGGCTAGCTGCATATCTCGAGTCATGCCCTACTGATCCCTACCAAAAGGGCAGAAAGACCATTCAGCTAATATGCATCTATATGTTGGCTACGACAGATTTGAAGGAGTGGGTAGTGTTGCATGTCATAACACACCAATATGGCGGTGGAAGTGGATCGGATATGTCTGTCCGACACGCCGATCGCTGGGACGATTGGACAACTCCTATTCCACGGCCACCCCGTAGACACGTCCTAAACATGCATGCACTAATCATTGCTGCTCGAAGGTTGTCCAACAACGCCCGCGATCTCTCACTAAGCTAGGACAAGCTCATAGGTCTGGTCAGGTATACCGCGCGGAGAAGGGTATAGAAATATGAATTGAATTGAATTGAATTGAAACCCCGCAGAGAAAGATGACAAAATAGAAGAACAAAAAATAACATAGACTAGTTGGGCGATTGCCTCTTCACTTCGGTCGAGCTTCAACTTATCTAGTAGCCCTTGAGCCACATCGAGTCGAGCCACAGAGTTCGGCTCTCTACATTAACTCGCTCTTTTCTCTCCCCTACTTTGCCTCTTTCGCTTAAGCAATTAGAATGCCAGTCAGACCGGGTACTTCGTCAAACGTTTCCATCATGTGCAGACTTCGGACAATAAATATCAAGGGTGGAGATGGTGGCACGCTTGAACTCTGAGCACCCTCACCAGTCAAGAGGTCATGTGCCTAAGCGTGAAGGACACGGGATTTGCATAGCTGCTTCTATCATTATTCTATGTTCTGATGGTTACTGTACAATCACACATTGACATTGTCAAGTAAACTCGTGAGAGTGCGACAAAAGCTAGAGACTAGTGCATTGTATTGTAGGCTACAATGTTAACGTAGTGGGGATTCCATAGGCTAAAGGAACAGACATGGAGCCTTGTTCCTGTCATTCAACAAGTGGCATGTACTTAGGGTCATGCATAGACTTTCGTTTCGAACGCCAGAATTCAGCAGTATAGAACGCTGAGGCAAACCAGGCTCGACTGGTCTACAGCGAGATAGTTGCAAAATTTGCAATGAGCAGACCCCTCATGGCTGCCTGACTTATGTACAGCGGTAAATTCAGAGACTTGCAGTGAATGCAACCCAGAACCAATAAACGGATGCAATAATTACAAATATAGCATATTCGTGCAGGTAGCCGCTAGATTCGGTGACATATGATGTGACAGGTGCTAGCCGGGACTCAGCTGATTCTCAACTCCTGCGTCTGCGGCAGAACAGACAGTCTCACCCCATTCTCAAAATGTGACCTCCTATCAGATGTCGTCATCAACTTCGGGGAGCTGCTAACCCCGAGGGTGATTGCAATGTCCCCGAGTAAATTAAGTGTTATTTTGACAGGTGATCGACCGTCACAAGTAAGCCTTATCTGCAATCCTCCCGAGGACGGCTTCCCGTTCAGCAGCTTTCATGCTGAACTATCGGGGAATGATGTAAGAGATTACCCTGCCTATTCTGTTACTTTTTACGGTACATGTGGCTAAGCTGACACCTTCTCGCTCGCCTTCGCCTTTCGGGGAAGATCTACTGGCTTTCATAATTCCTTCTCCTAGGTTCTTCGGAAATCAGCTAAGTTTAACGAAAAAGGACAAGCCTTACTACTGGAAACTAAATTTAGAACCGTGAGGTTCTGAGCATAAAGAGGATGTATAAGGTGGCTATTCTCCCAAGCTATGTCACAATCGATCTTCTCTCCATTGTGTTCTTTCCACTTTTCACATACCACCCCACAAAATCACCGCGGCGCTTCAACCACCCACCCCCTCTTCCCAGGTTATCTAAAGTCCTAAGCCATGAATTACCGTATTAAGAAGAAGTTTGGTAAACTTCACACCAAACAGTGTAAAGCATTCGCAAAACATGGTGGCAGGTGCAAGAAGCGCGCAAAGAGTTCCGGCGCATATTGCCAACATCACAAACACCTTATGCTGGAAAAGGTTAGAGATCTCCCCCCACGCCTAATAGAAAGTCGTAATGAGGGGGGTCCTACATTTATGGTGCACGAGATCACACCCGATGAGATGGATATGTCTGACAGCACTGTTCCGAGCGCTTCACTTGAAATGACCCCTGAAGATGATGCGCCAATGCGGGATACGCCAAACTCGGATGCCGAGCCATCACCAGCTAACCCTGGCCAAGATGGCTGTCAACGACAAGCTTCAGTGACCGAAGAAATTAGTACCACGAAGCCGACCGGACTCACTGAGGGCAATGACAATACTGGCGCAATCTCATACCCACCAAGGAGTCTCGACTCCCCACCCGAAGTTGACTTTGCTGAAAAGGAGGCTAAACGAAGTAACAACATAAACCCTGGCTTCTATTCGTCAATCAATCAAAACAGTGGAAACACGATGAATATGAACTGCGGGAACACGATGCAACAGAATTGCGGAAATACCACGACGAACAACGATTCCTCACGAAATATTCGTGTGAGTATATGGCCATGTGCTACTTATTGTTTATTAGGATATATACTAACAGAATTCACTCAGGTGGCTCGACAATATAAAACCGTCATCATCAATAAGTACGGCGGGTTCTTCAAAGAGGATGACCCGATTATCGAACAGCTGGTGCGAAAGGCAGCAGCTGAGATGATGAATTTTATCCAACAATACAATGTGCCTGTTGGCAAAGAAACGGCCATGGTTGAACTGGCATTATTTGATATGGTCGTTGTCTGTGGTGAGTTTATTGACAATGCAGGGAAGGCTCGACCAATACCACTTCTGATGAACTAACAGCCTTTGCGTGTTCTAGATAATAGTCCGTCTATGCATAAGTACAAGGAGGCCATGCAAAGGACATTGCGAGAACTTGTCAAGATCTCTTCTCTTCTCTTGCCAAAGGGAATTACGATCCAGTTTCTCAATACCAACGACGACAAAAAGAATCTATACGAGAACATCAATACGGGCGATAAAGTGGACAATATATTTAAGGATGCCCGTTTTCTTGCTATCAAGAGAGTGGTTTGGCGCTCTCCAGAGATAGGCGACGTTGTCAATCGGGATATTGTCCATCCTATGATTATCAGGAAGGCCCGTGCAGGGGAGCTTAAGCGGCCGGTGATAACTATAATGCTTACTGACGCGGAGGTGAGAAGATCCCAATCTACAATAAGTCGATAAGGCTGTTGATATCTGTGCTGACAAGATCCGTAATCAAAATAATAGAGTTCAGCTCAAGGCCGGGAGTCACTCAAATCAACCATCCGCTCTTGTAAAAATGCACCTGACCTGAAGGAGTACGGTGACAAAGCAGCACTCTTTGTTCTCTCTCGAGTCGGCAATAGCAAAAAGGGAAAGGACTTTGCCAGCGAACTGGAGAGGGATAGTTCAATTAATGATATTCTACACTGTTCTGCAGATAGTCTGCATAAGTGGGAGGCAGATTGTCGGAAGATTGGCAACGAGAACAAGTATACAGGCAAGGTGAGTACATTTGCACCCTTTCCAGTCTTCTACGCATCAGACACTAATTGTACACAGCTCATTGAGCTTTTTCTTACTGCATTGGACCGCAATGGAGCTGCATGATTGGAACCCCGGTTACCACATTATTCTAATTACGAGCCGACACTGATACGGTTGTACATTTTATCTCGGACAGTTTCTTTTGATCCTTCAGGTGTGTAGAAAGATATTCGTTCTAAGAACCAAAGGTTTTTAATGTATTCTACAATGTATAGTATTCAAAAAGATATATGGAGTGCGACTGCAATGAACCGGGAGAAACGGAGGTGTAGTGAGAGTGTAGTGAGAGAAAGTAAATAAATGATACAGAGCAATACACGAGATATTCATACTGCCGACAAACTGACCCTCCTACATTTCAATGGCCAAAGATACATTCATATGTTTCACACCAAAAGGCTGACATCCTTCTGAGTATCAAATCTAACCCCAATACCCCAACTTATCTCGCTCTCTCTACCATACCCTGCAACATCGCCACATCCATCGTATACAAATCCGACCCATCATTAGCCAAGAACACCGACGGTCCTCTGCTCACCATCAAAAGCTCCGTTTCATGCTCAAACGGAAGAGGATCATGCACGGCTCCCTTGCTTTCCGAAACGTAATCCCCCTGAGCAAAGGCGCCGGTTTGAGGGTGAGCACCGCTTCCTTTGAGAACATAAATCTCCGCACTTTCAACATGCCGATGGCGGGGAAGGAGACCGCCGGGTTCGGCGCGGACCATGATTGTGTATTCTCCGGTCTCTGGAACTAGCTTGACAATCTTGATAAATACACGCAGGGCAAGAGGAAGCCATTCCAAGCTGTCGCAGTGGACTGTGAACCCTGCGTCGTTTTCTGAGTGCATGATCGGCTGTTACACTTTTATAGGTTGGTGATGATTGATGCCTTGCGTCAGCTTTGGGATTGGTTAGCCGCTTGTATGTAAGGGTTGGGATTTGTGGGGAGCATGGGGTGCGTACTCGAGGATTTTGAATAGGAATATTGTGTTGATGTACTCTCCAAATTCTTTTTGTTGGTTATCTTAAGAATGCGAGATATAGATTTGGGACGATGGACAAGGTAGTATGGAGCCGAACTTAATATAGAATAGCTGACAACCCGAGCCACCGGAATCCCGAACGAAAACAGAAAGAGTCCGGGCGCCAGTCGAGACGTCCGCTGTGATCCCGGCTGACTGATTCCGGCCACCCCCCACCAACAGCAAAAAGGAAGAAATGAAAACCTCCGTTCATATCTCGAAAGGGTCCATACCACTGCTAAGCCAACCCGCTGGGATTTGGCTATTGAAAAGCTGCCACATCAGCCAGTCGGCTGAGGCGTCCAATTCCGAGTTCGGTATAGGTTCATCACTTAGTCCGAAATTGCTATCGAAGGAGGCGCTCGGGGGAATGCCATCCATAGTGACAGGTTCCATTGCTTGATCCGGGGCGGATGCAGGGAGGTTTGATGATATATTTTCCGGGCCAGAACCCCCTTCTTGGAATAGCGGTTCGCAGAGATCTTCCAGCGACTGGAGAAGGTTCAAAAGTTTTCCAAGATGTGGATCTTGCTTGAACTGTGACAAACTCTGCGTTATTTGTTGAAGCAGTTTGAAATCGCCATGATCTAAAGTTCCGATGATATTGCAGATGACCACGAAGAAGGCGCTTAGTGGGTAGAAAAACAAAGTCCTGTTTATTAGTCAACAAATGAAATTGGATACGGCCAGGAATATCAGCGAACCATGTCAGAAACGATGGATATGGCTCTTCAAACCCTGGCATTTCCTCCGCATGCTGCTGAATAAAGTAAAATGCTCCGAGTGACTGTCGGGCATGTACGAGACATTCCCTGTGTATTACTGGATTAAACGAGCTTTTCAAGCGTGTTCGGTCGATCTCGACGAAAATCGCGTAGTAGCAGAAGTCGACCGCAACCCAATCATATTGTACCATTTTCGGGAGGGATGCACGGTTCTAAATGGAGCGTTGTCAGGAGTGGAAGCAACTATATGCGGTCCCGTCACACGTACCGACGGCATTTGTCGAAGAATGCTCTGCATCCTGGACTCAAGGAGCTGACAAGTCTCCAAAGTCTGGCTATTCGAAGCATTCTTCGTGTCGGAAGATACTGCATGTAATTTCCCCTGAACCTGTGCGAGGTCAAGCAGGACACGCAAAAGCGTATCATATGGCGAACATGGGTCTAGGACAATGAGATCCGTCGGGGATACCTCGAGATCAGGCAGTGACGGAGGGCGACTGAGGAGGGAACTTAACGTCCGATCAAGATAGTAGCACCAGTATACCGCACTATATACCTCTAACTCCGAGTCTGAGCGCGCTGGTACCCTGCGGATCTTGTGGTAATTAAGGGATGCAATCTGTCGAGCAGCATAAGAGGTAAGGACCCAACATTGGTTCAGCCTCCCCAGGTGCTGCATAAGCAATGCCTACGGACACGATGTCAATAAGGCAGTCGTCGCCAGAGATTTCTGCCCCTCACGGACTTACACTTGAGAGTAGAGCTTGTATGGACGAGATGTCTGGCTGTTTGAGTATGCTCAGGTTCTCAATGCTCCCAATCGTTGCTGCGATGTAAGTCGACCTAGATTGGGACAGCTGTGTTTTCAGGAGCGGGCTGCGCACGGTTCGTGACACCTGATATATATGAAATATTGCTTTCACATATAAGCAAATGCTATACTGATGGAGGAGTTGACCTTGTAGCCGAGGTTCACTTCGTAACAAGGCTGTAGCCATTGCTTCATATGTTTTGCGCGAGATGTGATCCGGCCACTGAATGCACATCGATTCCGGCGGCCCTAATTTCATCAACCATGACCAAGACATAACAATGCAAGAATCTCATACCTTGTAGGAGCATGAAAATCAGCTCTCGAGGGGGTGCATCCGGAATCGAAAGGGCGGGATCGGTAGGCTGAAACTCTACCATGTTTTCGTCCGAATGTTGAGGCTCACTCTCTGCAATCTGGTTCACGAGTTCGAGAGCAGAGCGAAGTATGGATTGTCGCCCGCGGTTGACATGCCTTGAGTCATTTAATTCCAGTTGGATTATGTTTTTTGCCTGTATTGCATGATAATTGGGGCCCTCGACGCTGGGTGTCGAGTGCGTAGGCGTGGTTAAGGATCGCTCCCTTGAGCCCAGAACTTGATCGTTAGGCTGGCTGTGCTCTATAGCGGTGCCTCTATTGACTTTTCTTTCCGCTGCCCTACGGCCTGATTGCCGGTTGCTTCTGTAGTTGTTCAGCGCACCGAACCCAGAAAGACAACACCGACAAGCTCTCGCACTTTACCTTTGTGCCTGTGACGGCTGTTTTTCAAACGTTACTATATTTTCTTGGGGCCTTAGAGTGCTGCCGTTCATTATCAGTTACTTCATATGTATAGATTACTCTTCAGCATGACATGAATGACAGCAAACCTTTGGTTTCTCTTCTTGGCTGGGCGTCCGCGCCGCCGGCGTTCGCATTCCACACCGGCATCTGCGCAATTGGCGCACTGCGCTCGACGATCACACTTTATCTATTACAATTTATTGTTGTCAGATTCAATATGTGACTTGAGCCTGGTATTCAAGGTATTGCAACCTTCTTCGCATGACATAGGTCACACTGTTTGCTCTGATTAGCGTCTACTGCTTTCCTCAGAATTCCGGCCTATGGGGAAGCAGAACATACCGCGGGCAGAATATCCCCAGTTACCGTGAAACCTTCCGGCATTGGCATCAAGCTTTATCGGAAGCTCCGATGTTTTCACGACCGACTGCAAATATATCTGACAGGAAGCTATGGTTGCAAGGTATGCTGAGTGTCAAGCGGCAGGGCGGGAAGGGAAGGGAAGGGAAAATCAACCACCCGGCTGACTTGCTGACTGAGCATTCCAATCGCAATCACCAAAAAGGCAACTCCTGGCCACATACTCCGTGGTACTAGATCATGACAGGTTACATATTTCAAGCCAACTACTAACAAGCAGATAATGCTGAGCAAATTTAAAAGCTGTTTTGGGCTATTACTTCTCCCAACATGGTAACAAGATGTTTAGTGCCACGTTTGATTCCAAACTGTCTAGTTGTGCAACAATCTGAGCTCTGGTCTATTCTATTTGGACATATAATGCTAACAGTACATAGGGGAGAATAAACTGCCTTCCCGAACTACCAGGGGATGTCCTGGCCTTTATAGGCCTCCCACCCTGGGACATGAATATTCTTAAATCGGCCATTGTCCTCACGGTCTGCGGACATAGCAATGTTCAAGACCGCCTCTGCACCTTGAGGCACGGTCAGGTCGGCATGCTTCCCACCCATGTCACTTTGGAGCCACTGATAAGTGTCATTAGCTTCACTGATAATAACTTATTAAGTAGATCTGGAAGTGATAACTTACGCCAGGACTGACTGCGAGGAAAATAAATCTTTCTTCTTGGTATGACAGCGCATACTGGACCGTTAAGGCATTTAGTGCTGCTTTGCTGATCTTGTATGCCGGGCAAGGAGCGTACGATACTTCGCGCGCACTGGTAATCGAGCCATATGCACTGGAACTGTGGTTCAAAAGCTGTAAGCACCTGGTCGAAATTATACCTATCTCATTGGATCTGATGCTTACATATTGATGATCTTCTTGACCTTGCTATTCTGCATCAAGGGAAGAAAGTGGCGAAGAACGTTATGTGTTCCAGTTACATTCACTGACAACTGGTAGTCGAGGTCGGACCTATTAGTTTGAGGTCAGTCTCGGTGATGCTCACAAAAAAAAGAAATGGATCCGCTAGGCTACTTACATTGACGCTAGTTTTCCATGTGTCTCACTATGAACTCCAGCGCAATTGATCAACATGTCCAGATTGTTTTCGTTTAATGCTGATCTGACTTGCTCGGCTGATTCAGCGATTCTTGACTCCTCGGAAATATCCAAAGCAACGAAGACAATGCATCCATTGGACTGAGCGATAAGTTCCGTAAGCTTCGGGCTGCATTTCCGCGCCGTTGCAATAACGAATCCTCCTTCGAGGCAGGCTCGGGCAGCTAGCTGCCTCACTAACTCTAAGCCTAAGCCGCGGGAACTGCCAGTAACGAGGAAGTTCGACATCTTGGGAGGTAGCTTCTGTGAGACGTTCGATCAGTGAATTCTATGGCAAGAAGTGCAAGACATAAATTTCTATAGCAAATTTTATGGAAATAAAAATTATCGTGCAGCGAAGTGTTTTGCCCCCTCGCCTTTGGAGATCTTCTCCGTCGCCAACAGTCCGGCCTTCCGAACTGGAAGGGTAATTGGTAATTGATCTGCGGGTCCACTTTCCCGATGGAGTCGGTCTTCCCCTCACAGATGTGCCATTTTCAACAATAACGTCGAACTACCGCGGTTTGGCCAAATAAGCCTGTTATTGCAAGACCTGAAATGTAGAATCAGATGAAAAGAACAAGCTCTCCACCAGGAGAATGCAGATCTTCAGCGTTCTAGTATAACACAAATTCAAGGAACAATGACCTTTCGGCTGCGGACCTCCCACAGATATATAAGCGCCACGGCGGGGTTTGAATTGCATACAACAGAGTTCCGATCCGAAGAAGTTCAACGATTCAACAAGTGATTGAAACCCAACACACCCTCAATATGGCCGAACCATGCACCGTGGAGGATCATCTCAAGATGCTGGAATCATTCCTGCGTCCAGGTGAAATAATTCGTTCTACTTCCCCAGATTGCCAATCGAGAATTGAGACCTGGGCTGCCCAAAAACAACTGAACCCTCACATTGTTCTTCGACCCACAACTGTTGACTCTTTGAGCAAGGCAATCGCCTACCTTTACTCCACAAATCTGGACTTTGCTATTTACGGCCATGGGTTCATGTCCGCATCCGCAAGCGATGTGTTGGTGAATATGTCGGCGTTCGATGGTTTTCACCTCGATAGAGATTCGGAATTCGCCACAATCGGAGCCGGACAGACATGGTCAGATGTCTATCGGAAGCTGGGTGAAGTCGCACCGGAATATGGAAGTAAGGATTCTACCTTCAATCTTCCAGATCACGTATTCTGTGGGCGGATAGTGACACAAAACTAATGCAGTCGTGGGAGCCCGCACCCCTTGTGTGGGCATTGGAGGCACTATCATCAGCGGTGGCTTTTCATGGCTTTCCAGAGAGTACGGGTGTATCTCAGACCCAGCGAAAATGCTAGATGCGAAAGTCGTGAAGTATGATGGCTCGGTTGTTTGGGCATCCTCGGAGCCAGATCTTCTGTGGGCATTACGTGGCGGCGGAGGTGGCTTTGGCGGTAAGCAATACGAAACCTTTCGTATTTGGAATGAATAGGTACTAATGTGCAAACTGTAGTCATCGTTGAGGTTCTGCTGCGAGTGTTCGCTTACCCGCAGAATATCTGGGCTGGCCCGATTCTGATACCGCGGGAGAAGCTCGAGGTGACAGCAGACGAAATTGCAAAATTTGTTTCTCGACCTCTTGATCCAAAGATCTCCATGTTCCTATACGTCGTGAAGAAGGGGCTGCTGAAGTCCATTGGGGCGCACTCAGATATGTTGGTACTTCATGCCTTTGATGCCTGCGGAGAAGCACACGGTCGGGTCAACTTCCAGTGGGCCCTAAGCATCCCCGGAGCTATTGATCAAACCAAGGTCACTACCTTTGCTGGTGTTGCAGATTTACAGGGTAAGGCCACAAGCTTGAAAGTGCTGGTAAATTTATGCTCATCATTACACAAGACAAGGTGCATATTGCCAAAGGCACCATGAAGCAGTTCTGGTCGCCATTGCTTCTACGAGAACTTTCAAAGGACACCATCATAAACGCTGTTCAGTGGTCTGAAGATATCGGAAGACTGGACGAATCGCTCGGTGACTGCACCTATTTGATCTTTGAGCTGCTATGTTCGGTAAGTCGCAGGAACCGATAAATCCGCAGGAAAATACTTCAATCTTACATACTGAATGCTCCAGCGCGACCCCCCGGGAGGAGTAGCCAGCTGCGCCTGGCCACGACCTCAAGGGGTCAAGCATATCTTGCTCATGGGTCCTGGATGTCCGGCTGATGCCGGACGTGACCACGAAGATCTGGTAAGAGATCTTGCTATCAAGGCAGGCTCCACAGTCTTGGGAGAAAACGCAGATCTGCATTACCTTCCTAATGGTTTCGAAAAGTTCTATGATGCGAAAAAGGTAAGTCTGAAGACACAATCATCATCTGACCTGCTGCTCATTCGGGAACTAGATTTGGGGTCCTCATTTCGCTCAGTTGCAAAATTTGAGAAGAAGATATGACCCGCTGGGCAGATTTAATGGGGCAGTTACTCACTCTCATGCATGAATCATTACTCCAGTACGTTGATGGAAGCCTATGACGACAAAAGGCAGAAGGAAAGAGACCAAAAAGAAAAAAAAAAGACGCATGATTTGCTTGAGCAACAAAGGATAATGGCATAGAGTGATCTTCTTCATGTGCAGGAACTCTTTACTCAGGATAATCGGAATCAGTAGTTGATCACTCGCCTGGGCCTCCAGTATGGATATACCTTTCATTGCGATATCGGGACCTCGATAATTTAGCGTAAGCACTAGTCAGCATAACCCGATGCTTAGTCATGCGCATAAAGTTTGCGGCGCTAATCTGCACAGCAGACCCTGCAGATCAGTGGGTCGCAGACAGCCCCCATCTTGTCTTAGCGGGATATGCATGACAGCGGGACTGAGTTTTGGGCCGGCCCCACCCAGAACGTCGAGCACCCGAGGGGCGTAATGTAACACTAGCGTATACGAATGCGCCCGCACGCAACCTCTAGCTTAAATTAACAACCATTTGTAAATCAATATGCTGATCTGCGGAAGTAAATTTATATAAGCGGTAGAAGACCACCCCACCATCTGTTCTCTAGAAATACTGCAATTGCGCACAAACCTATCAGCTTGGATTCGTGCTGCTACAAAGACGAAAAGTGTCTACTCCCCAGCGTTTCCGGCAAAGACGCAGTGAAGCTTTGGGTGAAATCATTGTTCTATGAGAGTGCGAGAGGTACGAGAGGATTGCTAGTGCCAGTGTCTCTGAAGTATGTAAAACTCCCTTCTGGGCTCAAGGGGGTGGCAGTACTTGAAGCGTGATTGCGTTACGGAAGGTTCTGGGCAATAAATTCCGTACGCAGTATAGATAGTGTTGAGGCGCGATTTAACGTGTGAAGCAACGAAACAGCAAATATGCAGATAAAACGAACGTAAAGATGCAGCAAAGAGTGGTGGTGTTGGCTATCTAGGTGCGCGCAGCGAAACAACGCGAAATGGTTGCTTTGCGTGGGCGGCCTGCGCGCCAAGCACGTGACTAAACCTACATAAATGCCTCAACAGATAATATATAACATCACATTCTAGTCAAACAAACATCTCCATCTCCTTCGCAAGATAAGCCGGCCTGTCATTTTCGACCAGCAGTATAGCGCATTCCTAGTATATCCCCCACAGCACCGGCTCACTCTTCAGATTACCATTGCAATCCATGTTTCCCTTTGCGCCGATCAGCCCATCCCTAGCAAATTTGTCGATAGCATCGTTGATGATATCAATGACATCCTGCCCGCCGACCTTGAAATTGACATTTCCGTTGGTTTTAGTAGCCTCAACGCCAAAGTGACAGGATGCGTGACTGGCAATCTCGCGCTGGTTATGGCCGACAACCTGGGTCGTCCAGCTAGTGGATGCATCGCCCTCAATGTTCTTGATGATCTGGCGGCAGTCTTCTACCTTTGGCGATGCATCGCTAGTTTGGTCCACAAAGGTTGACTCACCGCACTCATCTTTACCAGGCGGGATATCGCAGGGCCAGTTCGGGCTTGAGTCCTTGTCGGCCGTGTCCCAGGATTGAAAGGCGCGGGCGGGGCTACAAACAGGAATCCGCATGAAGCCGGGCGTTATAATATCCATGTCTATGAGATCGGACATGGTGCCGTGGTTCGTTGGATCTGCTATGTTAGCGCCGTTCTCCCTCCCGTTAGCTATCCAGGTCCGGACAGAGCCCTTGACTAGCTCGTTGGTCGTGATGCCGTAGTAGCTATTGTCGCCGGAGATGTATTCGATTCCTTTGGGAGCAGAGAATTTGCTGTCTTTGCAGACCGTTTGACAGGGGCCGGAATCGTTGATGGTCTTGCAAGTACAGTCAGTCGCATCGCCATCCGGATATGCGAGGTAGTATTGCCGATTGTCAACGCAGACAGCCGTGGCATCAATGGTGTCGTCGTCCAAGTACTCGCTGATGTCCGGGTCATCGTCGCAAGACTGACCTGAATCAATGATAAAAGTATAAGATCCAGCTTGGCGCCACAATGCGGGCAATGCAAAGCCGACGACGCATTTATTGATATTGGCAAGCAGCTCATTTTGGGTATTTCCAGTATCAGGGGGGTCAGTATCCCTCTTACCCTGGATGAGCTTGCCATCTGATATGACTTCCCAGAGGGTATTAATGCTCGTTTCGTTTCCACTGAAGAGGTCATCCAGCGCCAGTGATGTGACATTAGACCAGCCCCACACCACTTGCCCCAGAAAGGCAGAAAACTCGTCTTGTCCCTCTGGCGTCCACTTGGGATCACTAGCTGGAGGTAGTACGTCCTTGGCAGTAGTCGTACCTTGTCCAAGGAGGGTCATAGTGGTGTCCTTTGCGTTGTCCAGGGCGCTGCCAGAAAACCAATCGTGGTTCTTCAGTATTGTGTTGAACAGCGGCCCGGCAGTGCCCAGGGCGCCGAGCGTAAGCATGTCAATAAGGATATTGAGCCAGGTCTTGTCTTCTTCTGGTGGGATAGGCGCAAATTTGTTTTCCATATCGTCCAGTGCTGTACCGACAAGACTAAAAGAGTGGAATAAACCATCGTAATATTCCCAGTACATTTGGTGAATTTCTGACATTGAACTCAGGATAAGAAATGCAGCCGGGCCGGAGGTTTTACCGTTTGCGCCGTCTTCGCAGCCAACTGAACTGCAGCTCTCTTTGGCAATTTCACCGCAATCCTCATAATCGAAGCGGGTTGTACTTTCAACAGATCGCATGAAGGTGAGACCGCGTGGCTTATCGGTTTCATTCCAAATTCGGATAATATCTTTCCATGCAGTATCGGTGTCCATGTTCTTCCACCGCTCAGAAGGTGTGAAGTCGAATAGATTTGCAACATTATCGTTACTGCAATCATACGAGGTCCAGTTTCCGGTACGCGTTTGGTCCGTCTTAGGGTCCTCCCCTGCTTTGGCGAGCTGGATGAAGTTGGCCCAGCTTGTCGTCGGCTTGGGAACATCATGATAGGTTTGCAGGTCGCTGGCCCAGTCAGAGGTCCCTCGCAAGCCCCAGGCACTATAGAGAGTGGCACGGGTCTTTTTCGTAGCGGCGCTCATGTAACCGACCCACTCATCGTTATCATAAATAAGAATGTCGCTATTGCTGCTTGTGTCGACATAGCTTTTGACGACGCGAGGTGAATCCTTCATGATATCGTCAATCTCCGCAGCGGCAAGGTACCCTGCCGTGTTAGTACATTCACCCTTCTTCGCGTCAGAGTTCAAGCGGTCGCCAGTGTAAAGACAATCGGGCCCCCAGCAATTTGGGTCTGCCATCTTGAAGGATCGGCCATAGCTCGTAACACCGACAATGACCTTTGCGCCAGGGACACCTGCCTTAGTAATCATTGCCAAGGATTGTTTTGTTTCAGTCAAGTTAACCTGGCTACGCAGACAATTTCCCGTATCACAGCCTTCCTGTGAATTGCTGTTATGCGCATCCCACTGGCCATGAAGATCGTAGGTCATATAGACAATGTAGTCGACGATCCTAGCCATGTCCTTTATGGGGAACTGCTTCAAGTACCAGTAGGATGCAGGTGCAGCAATGGAAACAGACTTTCCTGGCAAGAGATTTTTGAGAATGACAAGAAACGCAAGGTAATTGGGACCATCTTCGGCTGTGCCAGGGTCACCTTCAGGGAGGTCAGGTGCCCCTGGATATTCCCAGTCAATGTCGACACCATCCAGGTCATTATCCTTAATGAAGTTGGCAATGTTTGTTGCCATGGTTAGCCTATTAGCGGGTTTGACACCGTTGCGGAAGATCTTGTATGTTTTAGGCATGGTCGAGAAGTCCCACCCACCAATGGAAAGGATTCTCTTGACCCCAGAGACTTTTTTGAACTCGCCAAATTGGTAGGTAGATAGTACATCCCCTGTCTTGACCTCCCACGATTCGGTCAGCGTTCCGAAGCCGAAATGGAGGTGCGTGTACTGCGAGGTATCAATCTGCGAGGCATCCTGGAAGAGACATTTTCTGCTGAGGCAGTAGCCTTCATAGTAGGCGATTCTGACATTTCCAGACCCAGAACCCTTAACAACATCCATTCCACAATTGGATATACATCCGTACGTCCCTGGCTCAGCCGTACCTGGGGCCCCAGTATTGGTATCGACGCAGAAGTCTGCGGTAATGCCGCATTGGCCCCAGATATTACAGCATGCGTTGAGCGGGCAAGGATTGAGATCGGCAATATTTGAGCCATTCGTAGGTGGGTTTGTGCCTGGCTTCTGGGGACCACATTGGGCATTGGAGATTTCCGCAGGGAATGGTGGAGTCCCCTTACTCAGACACATAACAGTGTCCTTGAATAGCAGCTCACAACCGTTCCAGCCCCAGGTATCCTTGTTGAACTCCTCGAGATCATCAATCTCAAGGCTATACTCGGCAGCCAGGCTGTCGCAATTGTCATCGGCTTGAACTTGATATGCCTTACATGAGCCATCTTCGTTGGGCTGAGGACGAAGATCAGGAAGATTTCCACTGGAGCAGCAAACATGCTGCTTAGGCTTTAAAGTGGAGCAAAAATCATCACCGGGGTTGTACTTCGTGAAGTCAGCGCCCGAAATGCCACATTTCACTGCCAGGTCGGCACAGCTGTTCCCGGCATCAACTTGTACAGTTGTACACTCGCCATCGCCTCTTGTAACGAGGTTCCAAGTCAGATTGCGCGCTAAGTGAGTGGAAGAGGCGGCAGTAGTGTGGTTGCCACTTAGAAGAGGCGTAGTGAACTTTGCAGAGCCGGCAAGCTTGACGGATCCGGGGAACGATAAGCACGTCGCATTAGCCCAAGACTTGATTGCACTTTGGATGGGAGCAAAAGTTCCGTTGCTGGTCGCCATAATACCAAATACATGTGTGCTATCGTAGCCTTGCTCGCAGAGCTGCATAGCTAAGCTAGGGGTGGTGATGTCAAGTTTGTCAAGATTGTCCTGGAAGAGCCTGAGCGCAGACTCGCTGAGCCCTTGCTTCAGCAGGCTCTGGCCTACATACAATCCAATTGTAGCTTGGCCAGACTGGCCGTATATGATAAATGGCCTATCGGTCTTGCCATGCTCTCCATCAGCATAGTGGCGCATCTGCCTAACAATTGACCGCAGCCCAGCACCCGCCAGACCGAAACCCTCATGCCACCAGCCCAGTTCGAACTCAACATCAACGGACTCGCTAGAAGTCACAGTTGCGGTAGTCGCTGGGAACATGGCAAAGTCCGGCCCGTATGAAGAGCAGGCTTGAATGCGGTGGGTTTTCTCCCAATCATCGACATCGTCAAACAGAGAGAAGTCATAGAATATCGTCTCCTTGCACTTTCGGATCCGCCTGAAGCCAGAGTACACCGACCAGTTTCCGGTATTGGGCCCAGAATTGCGGCAGCGCTCCGGGCAGACGGAGGCACCGCTCTTGTAGCTCTGGCTGGCCAATTGATGGAAGCCAGGGCTTGCGGTAGCTGAAGGTGGCCATATGGTCAGCACGAAGCCTGCTGCCACGCCGAGCCAAGTGAGGGCCACCATGGAAAAGGGATAGAGATAAATTAAACCTGAATGAACGAATGAATGGAAAGGAAAAGCAAAGAGACTTTTCAAGAAAAAGAACGTGTCACAATGGGAACGGAATTATAGGAAAGACTGCATGGACTGTGCCGGAAGTAAAGAGCGTGATTAAGGTAGCAGCGGAAGAATAGGAAGGAACACGACCCCAACATTGGGGAAAAATATTACCATCTATATACGAAAGAGTAACCAGGATTCCGACATCGAACACATGGAATTCTTTTATTATTAGCGGCTCCGAACGCGGACTTTACGATGATTTCCGACCGGGCATTGCATACGACGCTCCACGGGTCTGTTCATCTCGCGCCAGTTGCACTTGTATAAGCGGAGTAAGCTAGACATACCAAGGTCACTAACTGAGTTAGTATCTAGCTTTCAACTAATTATGAGTGGTGGCCTTTTGCGAATTGCGACCTTACTAGTTGTCCTTGGCGTAATCTCTCTTTCAGCTGGCAAGTCGAATTTGTTGGGAGTAGGGCGGCGCATTAACGGACGGCAGTAGAGTAGTATATTCCCCACAACTGTAGCAGGAGAACTTCCTAATCTGCAATTAGCGCAGGGTAAGGCGATACCTAGGTAGACTGGAGAGGCATCTATCTAATGGCGTTGAGGCACAGGGAAAAGGGAGGCTAGACTACATATTTCTGGGATGCAGTCAAGGGCGCAAAAACGACACCTTTGATCAGAGAAAGAGGTGAACGGGTGTGTATGCATCCGAGGTGGTAAAGAATTCGTTCCGTGTCTCGCCACAGTGAAACCTCCAACATTGTTGTGTATGGAGAAAAGAAGGCCTAGTAGTGATTCCACCCCTGGATTGGACTTGGCAGGGAAAGAAAGGCCAAATATTCCCCTCCACCGTCAGCCATCCCATGTGCTGTAAGTTGTGGGCCTGTAGCTGACCATGAACTTTCGAGGTTGCACTGAATTTGTGAGGCGTTTTCCGGAGTGCCGAAGTGGAAAGATTGATTTGCACGGGCCTCCGTGATGTCAACCCACGCTATGGTTAGGCAGTGGGGTCAGAAGCCAAGAAGAATGTAATTTGCACGTAGTAAAATGTGGCGGAGACCAAGACATTAGTATAAGCTAGTTAACCAATCTTTCTGGCTCCGATTTATCCTAATGCACATACTACTTAACAGTGCGAAATTGGGCTAAGAACGATCACTGTGATTTATGCAGGTTGGTTATCGAACATCGTGTAAAGTCGATACCCTCCATCTTCAATTATCTTTGGGCAGAGACGGTATGGTTCAACAAAGTCATGTAATTTTCATCAAAGATATGCTGATGACTACCTATTTTATGGTGCCTTTGAAGGGTGATAGGCGCAAGAGCGAAGAAAGATAAAGCACGTCGGCCTGTGCTATACATCAACAAGTGTCTATCTACAAGACGGCAAAACCCAAAGCCCCAACTACCGTCAAAATTCCACATACACCGAGTAAAGCCAGTTGGGTAGCCCCATTCTCCTCTTTAGGACAGTTATCAGGGGGAACTGGAAGATAGCAGAAGCGCTGCTGCTGAGCGGCCGCCATGCTCTCGGCGGTATCCTCGTCTATCGCAATGCGACAGGGATCCGGGATAGATGTTGTGGGGCTGGCAGTTGTGTTTGTTGTAGCAACACACGTGTCGCGGTGTGCGGTGTTTTCATCTGAGGGTGAATCCATGACTCTGTCTGTCACATTGATGGCGATGGCGTTCTGGCTCCCAGGGCAGGTGCCATTGGCAGTTGCTGCCACAAGGTCCACTTCTTTAAGGCTAGAGTTGTCGATGTAGAAGCCCATAGTCCAGGTGTATTCATGGTTATTGAGCCCATGCTGAGGAAGATAATGGCTCAGTCCCTCGACATCGCAGCTTTGCCAGCGTATCTGGCATTGGAGCAGCCAATTATTGGATGTGTTAAAGCTATTGTGGAAGTAGTCGTAGGCAAAGTAAGGGTCTGTGCTGCCCGACCAATTTGTCCACGAGAAATCATGGACGACAGATAATTGACCAAAATCCAGCCCGTCATTGCTTTTGTAAATGTGGCAGGACATGCGGAGATTGAGAAGCTCTGCCCTTTCCGTGTTCTGCACAGCGAAGACGAACGGAAACCACTCGGCTGGTGAGTATGAGGTCTCACTGCGAGGGAAGACCAAGTCAACTTCGACTGCAGGCGAGGTAGTAATCAAGGCTCCGAGTACTATGAGCCATTTTGGTTGGAGAAAAGGCATGGCTGAGGGATTTGACGGGCCGAGCCAAAAGTGGACGTTGAGAGACTGGAATAGCGAAGCTAGAACTGAGAGAGATACATTGACCTTGCTCAATAGTATCGTCCAGCTCCTAGGGACTTCCGGTGACTAGTATCAATGAGGCAGGGAAAATTGAGAATATTTGTAAAATATGTATCTCGGGAGAGGGAGTGGAATAGGGGCCCTTGGCAGGTAATCTCCCGACCCCTGTCGCCCGAGACTAACTGTAGGTCTTGAAAGCGCACGAGCGATTCCTCCGCCCGAACTAACAGGAGATAGCGCAGGTCCGTTCTTGGATTTGGGTCAGGTCATTGCCTCCGTCAAGGTGACATGGCGCGCCAAGACGATCTAAAGAAACATCGGAGCGGAGCGAGGAACCATTCAAGCCTCCGTTTTCTGGGCCAAGCCTTGGCGCTGCGGGTAACGTTACATTTGTTTCCCAAAAGTGCGCCAAATGGTCCCTGGCTACTCTTTTGCACTGGTCTAGCCTTATAAGGTAGATATAGCCAATGTGGACAAGGCGCTAAAGGAAAGCCATGATCCCAGCCTTGCCGGCTGCTTCCGCCCCTTCCTTACCATACTGGGAAGGTCGCTATTGCTAATCTCGCTTACATTGGTGCTTCATTAGTTCATTATGAATTTTCACCTCCTGCACCACGATTATATCCATTGGACAACTGATCCCTTGCCAAGGAGCCGTTACTGCGCTAACGCAGCATACACACCACATGTACCCTACATGCTCTTGATCGAGGTCATCCCCGTATCAAATTTTGATCGTGTGCACTATGATCTCAACCATTGATTGAGCCGTTATCAACCGGGTGTCTTGGTTCAATGCCTGGTGTCGTAGACGTCGTCCCCTCCAGTCCATTCAGCGCAGGAACTATAATTTGACGCCCCACCATGATAGGTAGTTGTCCATTCAGTCATGTTGGCTGCGCGAATACAGGGATAGAGATGATAGGACCCAGTCTAACAGTCCCGGTCTTCGGCTCGCTGATTGACAATGGAAAATGACACATTCGACGTGGGGGAGCAGATCCACTGAAGTCAAGCCAATGCCAGTGGAATGGTTAGTTGAGTCCAGATGAGTATATAAGCCAGTGTATACCCTTCAAATGTTGCTGATCATTACCTCATTCTCTTCGGCTATCCTCTATAGGAGGCTCGTATCGCCCTAAAACTAGCATAGACGCCGTTTCCATACCAAGAGAAATGCAACTCAAGTACCTCACTATCGCCGGACTTGCTCCAGGCCTATCCTGTGCGCTGTCCAAACGTACAATTGAGTGCTCCTTTACCACGGATGTTAGCAAAGGTGATACCTGCGATAGCTTTGCTGATGTTTGGGACTATCTGTTGAGGGCCTTCAGCAGCTAAACCCTGGTATTACCTGCCCAGACCTTGATACGACCAAGTCCTACTGTGTCAACGGAACCGTCAGTGACGATGCACCAAGCACCATGTCTACGACAACGATGTCTGCAACTACGACGGCCAAGTCCTCAGTCCCAACTCCCACCACCATCACAACCACCACCGCAGCTGTGCCTACCAACTCACCTGCTATGCCAGGCATTGTCGATAACTGCGATGAGTTCTACAAGGTCTCTTTTGGAGATCATTGTGACACTATCGCCGAGACATGGTATTACCACGGCTCAGCTGTTGAGTTGGAACAGTGAGATTAATGATAGTAAGAGTGCTCTACCCGCCCTCTTTTTCCATTGGCGACGGGGAGGACTGTGATATTTTGTTACTGACATGCAACTCATGCAATTAGGCTGTTCAAACCTCTGGTTAGACTACTACATCTGTTTACACGGCCCGGGATCTACCGCAACTACTCCTGAAACGCCCGAGCCGACCGAAGACCCGGGTTCCAGTCCGACTCCCCAAATGCCCGGCATTGTCGAACATTGCGACGAGTACTATAAGGTCGCATCTGGCGACAAGTGTGAAGCCATCTCTAAATCTTATGACATTTCCACGGCCCAGTTCAAGAGCTGGAATACCAAGGTTAACGATGGTACTCATACCTCCCTATTCTCCCTCTACGCTCACATTGCAGTAATCTAACATATTCTGTCTTAAACCTCAGACTGCTCGAATCTTTGGCTTGACTACTACGTCTGCGTACACATCCCCGGCACAACCACCACAACGACAGCAGCCCCAGACCCCACGAACGACCCCTCAAGCCCGATGCCTCAGCTGCCGGGCATAGTCGAGAACTGCAATTCCTTTCATCTGATCAAGGATGGAGAGAACTGTTGGTCCATCTCTAATGAAGCGGGAATCACACTTGCGCAACTGCATGAGTGGAACACGGAGCTTAATGCAGCATGCGATAATTTGTGGTTGGGATACTATGTCTGCATTGGTGTTTGATTACGCCCTGGCGTCCACATTTGAGAAAGGGTTTGTGTACCCATACGTTTGATTGCTCTTAGTATAGTGTAGGGTTTAGATGAGTTAACCAAACAATTGACTGCCTCCTCCGCACAATGAAAATAAAACCGGAAACACAATCGCAGATCTCAGGGCCGCCCCATCTGTAGACCCGCCACGGGCCGAGCCGCTTCCTTGAATCCAAGCCGTGGCTGAACGTGGAAAATCAGGGTCCTTCCAGATTTGGCTTAATACTATTCCATGTCGTATCTATGTTCATATTCCTCCCCACTTTGAGGGGCCTTAATCCAACAAAATCGTAGAGAGTTCGGAATAGAGAACTGGGTAGCACCTTCTCTAGATAGATAACGAGTGGCCTTTGACAATTTAGTCGGTGTTCACTCATGCCCGACGCTGGAACTGTGGATATTCCAGTTGTGTAACAGGAGTTTCAGTTAGCTGAGCATTTCAGTTCGTTCTTCTAGGCTGTGTAGATTGACTGAGGCGTCATCTATGATCTGGTATTGTAGCCTCCACTTTTCGAACATTGATGTTTAAGAAGAGCATGGACAGATTGGTACTTTATTGGACGGATACAAGGTCTCATATTTTGTCTCGGTTGCCATGAGGCTTCAAATTTCTGGAGTCTTGCGAGCTAACATCAAATAAAATGCCAGCTTCACAGGATGACTGAGGAAGCCAACACCAACCACTTTGTCCATTTCGGCGTGGCACCAATGTCCAGTGAGATCGGACGGAGAACGGTGGCGTGGCAAGGCTTTTCGCAGTCTCCTGAAAGCTGTTGGGAATAAAAGGGAAATGTGTACGAATGAAAATATATACTGCCTTGGGCACAATGACAATATCTGTCTGGCTAAATGCATAAATGCTATGTGGCAGATGAGACCCAGTATTGAGGTATCTAATGGCAATTTATTTCTGGATAACAGTAATTGATCTTAGTAATACCAATATAAAATGCCATCCAAACTTGAGATTTAGATACGAATAACTTGCACATAGAGCGATTGCGTTCTGCGTAAACTTGGAGAACCTGGCTAGTATCACCTGCTAATATAGCGACGCTGAAGGGTTCCTTCGCCTAATATTTACGACAGGCATCCCGTGCAAAAAAAAGGCAATGTTTTACTAGTCAGACTGAGGTCCGTAGACTCCAGTTGTTTTCAATGCAGCAATGCTAAATCAAGTCTTCCTTGGGGGCTGGTTCTCCTTCTTAATAGGCTGATGGGATAATGGAATGTCGCCGGACTTCGGGGTTCCCTTAGGCTTCGAGTACTCCTTCCGCCAGATGTTGAATGCTGTCACGTACGGACTCTCCTCATCGATCGGATAGGATGTGGCTGAGTTGGTATATCCAAGGCCCGCAAGATCCACTAAATAGAGTCTGTCTGCCCGAGCATCGTAATGAAGGTAGCTTGGGTGTTGCTCAGTCAGTTTGTAGTCATTCTGGCGCATAAGCCTGCCAGATAGTCAGTATGCTTTAGTGGAGAAAGCCCTTTCTTTTCTGTAGCAGGATGCGAATTTAACTTACTCCAATAAATGCGCTAGTTGCTTTCTGATACTCCTGCGCTGGGTGTCGGTAAGCTCCTCTAGGATATCATCAACGTTCTTCCCAGGAGGAAACTCCATAACGATGAACTCAAGGTACCCTCCAGGAAAAGGCATCCAATGAGGTTGTTCGTGGGTCTCGTGATTATGATACTTCGGCCCATATCCGTGTGTAGACAGAAGGTCTATAGCCTCCACTTCATGGCAGTAGTACTGTTCAGCAACCTTCAAGGTCTTGTCCAGATCTTCTATGTCACAGTCTTCCGGGTCAAGTTGATAGCGTATTTTGAGCAGGTACCTTTTGTCCTGTCGCTTGGCTATTGCTAGAACCTTGCGCTCACCAACTTCCGCATCGTCATCCTCGGTCAGCTGCCTCACCACTTTGAAATCTTCCCCCTCGATATCGAAAATTCGGTCTCTGAAACTGAAGCTCCACATGGTTGAACCACTGTATGATACGGTACTTGTTTCAAGAGAAAGGTAAAAATTCATGCCCTAGGCACATGGAGGTGTGGGACGGGGGTGTGGGATTGAAGGGTGGAAGTTGGAGACGGGGGAGCGACGGGGTTGAAACTCTTCGGTGTACGTATGTGAGTCACCACCCGCCTTCATTCACTATGACACTCTACCAAGGTCATTATAGGTACGTCACTATCCATAGGTTGCTTCATATTTACCATTACTTATTTCGATGCTCATAACGTCGGCTGACATTTTGAGAATTTTTCATTACGTGACTGTAACCTATACGCCCAATCAGGCTGGCCATTGTTGTCCAACTTGACTCATTTCGCGCTCTGCCGGCCTTCATGCAAAGCATATATACTTCCCGACAAGCCATGATATTAACCATGTTGATGGTCTCCATCTGCTGCGCGAATCTGTAATCGTCGGGGCTGTTTTCTGCCCTGGCCAATCCAATGATAGCAATTCCGTGTTGAGAATCGTACAAAAGACAATGGCAACCTCAAGTTACTCAGGGCAGTTCTAACACCCTCCAGACTACGAGGAATGACCTCATGGGGATTGGATCTGAGCCAACCCTGAGTGATTGACCTGCTCCTCATCTGCAATCAAACATGAACGATGTCCATGTTATCCCCATGGTCAGTTCAAACGTCGCTGTACACCACCCATATTGTCTGTCGGGTAGTTGTTTAAGTGCAGCGGCACATTACACAAAAGCCCATGCCTTGTGATGTAGATATTGGGAGACTGTAGAAACAAAAAGACCACTCCGCCGCGGTATCAGCTCTTGACAGGTTTGGACAAGTTTTCCAATGGCCAAGATAACGGATCCAGCTTGCAAGGTCCCATCTCACCGATGAAGCACCCGCGGAGTATTCGTGATTAGAAAACAACTATTGGACCACGAAGCCCTCAGAAAAACTTCTTGTCTACGGTGCTGCGACATACACCGCCGTCGGACTGTTGCCATTAAGTTGCTAGAAAAGAAAGAAAGGAAGAAGAAAAGGAAAAAGCATATATTCATCCACCTATTGCAATCGCTAGAAAAGGCATGGAGTATGCTATGAATTTAGTGAACAGTGAAATGGCCGATTTTTGTCATTGACTACCGACGCGACAAAAGTGCGGTTCTGCAAGGCATCCTGAATGCCATTCATCCCGACAGAAGCCCTTTCTTCGCACTAGACAAAGTCAATGAGATATCCAGTGTCCAGGAGATTGAGGTCTTCAACCAGATATGGGGAGCACTGTCGATCCTTACGCACAACTCAGTCGTCCCAGTTATATTTAGGGTACGGCTCTCTGCATGGAGAACAACCAAATTTGCCTGAACATATCTAAAATCTAGAGTCACCACCACCAAGGCTTTGCCACAGAATCGTTTCTCGAAGCATGATCTCCTTCAAACAGGCCTCATTGACATTACATGGTGCGTCTTCGGTCATTACTCCTTAGGGGGACGCAAAACGACCTGTCACTGCTACCTTCGAAAACGTGATATATGGCCTGTGGTTCTGACGAGCATGGCATTGTCTCAATCAGTTAATCATACTATAGCTAGATAATACGGTTTATAGTGTATCGCTTATCATCCCCAGTCTGCCTAGACTCAAACAATACATTAAAAGCCTGGATGAAGGTCGGCCTCTTACTGATTTTGTCGTTGCTATGCAACTGGTTGGTTAATTTGATGGTTACTATCAAAAGATGAAGTACGTAAACTCTGAGAAATCTGAAAATCGTTTCTGACTAAGGTGCATGCCTATCTAACTCCAAGTACCCCCCCCCCCCCCTTCTTCCTACTAGATTATCTTACGAAAGCAGGAATGATCAACTAAATCAATGAACTGCTGAATTCAACACAGGCAACCCAAATATTAGCTCACAATGCAAAACCTCAAATTCAGGAAAGGTATTTAGAGGGATCAGCTCTTGCTGACTTCTGTCATTCCGAGGTTCTATGACATTGAAGTTAGGAGGACCTCCCTCCCAGATTAAGTGGGCTTCTCGATCGTCGGATCATGGCCTGCCTTCGAGTAGTCTGGTTATACCGTTAGAACAATTTCGAAGCACAAACAGACTATTACTTACTAACCGTTTGGCATATCTGGCAGGGTAGTAGCTTCTTTCTTCATCAGCGCCCGCGATAACAAGAGCCAGTAGGCATTCCCGGAGCGATAGGGCACTAGATGTTGAGACAGAACTGGCACTTATTGGCTGAGACACCGCAAAGTGGGTGTCATCGACCCTTTTCAAAAACCAAGTATACTCATAGACCGTATAGATGCCATACCTTCAGTGATGGTCATCCATGTATAGAGCGAGCTGGCCTATTCATTCAACAACCTGGGTCAGAATACTGACTTGGATTACCCAGTTGAAAATAATGGAGACTCACCAAACTTTCGAGCTGTGAAACTCTTCCAAATTTCTTCCTTGCCTGGCTCGAACGCCCAGTGCGTCTTCACCTCGCACAAGGCTCGGATCGTGTGGCGCTCGTCCTCAACGAGGGACGATGTCTGGAACCAAAGTTCCCTTTTTCCCCCCTTTCTTGACCACCTCATCTTCGCTCTCATCACGACCGTGCTTCTTTTTCTTGTCACTCTTCCGGCGGTTAACCCCCCACTGTGAGTCACCAAAGAACATACCCAAGTTCATGTGATTCATGGCTTCACCCACGGGGTGCAGGGCGCTTTGGACGAAACGACCCTGCACCCCTAGCTCAATTGCCACACCAAAGGTCTCGTTTGGTACAGCGGGCATAAAGGGATAATGGTTCCCACAGTAGGGATTAGACAGAACCTTTACCTCTTGGGTGAAGTTCTCCCAATCCAGGTGTTGGTCTCTGTGGAGTCTGAATTGTGAGCCGCCGGGTTTCAACGTGCGGTACTTCTCTCCGTTGCGTAGGTGAGGTACAGGCGCCCAAATTCGCTCAAGATGGCTGCGTGGCAGCATGTTATTGGTCATTGTGTCGTTCTTCCTCGACTGAGGAAATCTCTGTTTCGGTTCTGAGTTCTAGAGTCTTAGCTTACGGAAGCACGAGGCGCAGTAGCTATTGGAACAAAAGAAATGATCAAAGGTCTGCAAGAAGAAGAATCATTTGCCCGTGCTTTTATATAGACAGTGCTATTCATATGTAACTATTCATTTCAATGGATAGCTCCTTTGAAAATATATTCACTTCATCTCCATGTGTTTTCATTGAATATATCTCTTTCCATCATCTTTATTAGAGCACGGCTATCTTTTCAATTCAATATTGAAGGCCTGGTTAATACATGATGACAGCCAAACTCGACCTATTCTACGCGGATGCCTTCGTAGAGTAAATCTCAAGGTCCTTTGGGATACACGTGTGGATAACTGTTCCAACGGCGTTTCCGATGAGAAAGATGATAGGATATGTAGTAGTAGCATAACGGGGCTCGACTAGTGGCCTCAATCTGCAGGTTATTCTCTAGGCCGCTCGAGATCAGTCTATGTACAAAACGTCAAATATGACAAACATAGTGTTGACCATGGTCCGTAACTCGCCATGCCATGCCCCTGACAAAGCCTATAGGTAGTTCAGTGGTATAAAGTCATCAGGCAACGCTGTACAGAATTAGAATATTAGGGACCAGCATCGCAGTATGAAGGTTACGAATGCAACTCTTTTTATGGGCGCAATAATCTACTCTAGGGCATCCCATTTAGGACAGGCCTGATAATAAGGGAGGCGCTACCGCCACACCAACCAGGCCTCGTCCACACTGGCCCCTGCTCATGCCACATCCTGCTGCCTACCTTAGAAGGTAAAGATCACGAACGCGATGATGTTGTGGCGGCCCGAGCGCTAACCACGTGACCAAGCCTACATGGATGACTGCCTCAACATCAACCGACAACTATATTGTAATCGCCGTTAACAGACGATATACCTTTACATATTTGAGGTGGGTGGTTACTATCCAAATGTCAATACAGGTAGTGCAGCTTAACAGGAGTATAGGTCATCTCGCGGCATACATGACGGACCCGGAATTGCAGGCTGGTTTTCGCAGCACATACAAGGAAGGACCATTCACCTGCCAGCATAACCAGACAGTCAATCAATACTTGTCAATTGTTGGTAGTGAAGCTTGACCTATCCTGAAAGAAGCATTGTTCTACATCGGCATTCAAGCGGCAACGTATAATGTAACAATGACGACTATAAACTCTAAAGCCCCGCCTGTTATTATCACGACGGTGAATTTACCTCTATCATCCCTTTTTTTATTCTTGACATAAGTCCCTTAATGTGAAGCGATCATGTCACCTCGCCGGTTCGGACAGGAAGAAGTCAGCCCAGGCGTCGTTGTTGAACTCGAAAAGCGATGGCGCGTGCTGAGCCAGAAGGAGGAGCATGAGTTTCAAGGCAGCAAACAGGACGATCCTCGGTGGAGTGGGCCATCGTACGCTTGCATTCAGCTCAAGGTACATCAAGTGGGCTCTAGGATCACTCCACCAGTAAATGGATACATGAGAATCTACAAGCAAATCCGTACGGAGGAGACAGTAGCTGACCGGCCCGAAGTCCGGGCACAGCATGCTAAAACTGTTATTCCCCCTGAACTTGATGCATACCGCCAGCTCATGGATAAGGGCTCAACCTTTACACCACGGCTGCTAGACTCGATGGAACAGAAGCAAGATATCTATAGCTTTGTGCCTGGGAGCAAGGTCACCTCCGCAAAAGTGGTGCGCAACCCGTTTTGAGCCGGAATGTTCGCTACCAGACGCGACCCGTCCGGTAAAGGCATTCCATGATCCCAGCATGGTAGTCGAATATTATCATCGAGAATTAAGCAAGTATATGGCCATCTGTGTCACTCTGAGCGGCAGCGTGACAGAAGCTGCACCGTAAAATCTCAACGTGCCCTGCTTGAAATAGAGCATGCTTTGGCAAACCATTCTATGGAAGGCAACTGTTTTCTGGTGGCAATCCTCAATTCCAGATAGTTTCAGGCAGGTACGCATTGCGTCTGTGAAACTCGTCGGATCTGATGACAATAGGTGTGCTATCTGACTGAAGCACACTGCACGAAAGGCCCACAAATGCGTCATTGCTGTGGCGACTGGGAGGCTGTAGAACCACAGAGACCCCGCTACCGCGCTACTAGACCTTGGCGAGGATGGACATGACGTTATTGGCCAACACAGAGGGCCATTTATCGTAGCTTGCAGAGACCGTTCCCACTTGTCAAGCTCCTGCAGAGTAATTACCAACTCCGCAAGGACTCCTTCACACAGGGGTCCCCTCTCGTTGAGGGGGAGGGAATCTGTAGTCTGGACACTTCGTAAGATAGATGGTAGGATAGAACCGTGAGTCAATAGCGTTTGGAATGGCGATGGTTCATGAAATGCGAAAGGTATTGTCTGCCACTCAACCGAAGAAAGGAACGTGTCTTGACGGGAGATGCACGCCTCTAGTATCTACTTGTATATTAGTCTTGATGGATGAAACACATGATAGTTGGAAGGATGTGTCATGCGTACAACTAGGGGCCGGAAGCCGATAAAGAGCTGGTGCGCGATCGGTCCAGTAAATGACTCTGGTCCACATATTTCCATCATCCGGCCGATCCCTCTGATATGAGCGATCCAGCCCTCACGGGATGTAGGTACTAACCACTTGCAGGTGTCAATAGCCAATTTCACTCTGGTTGAAGAAAATGAAAGTTTTCCTACCTCGGCTAGACATAAGCACATAATAGCAGCAGCTGATTCATTGCAGCCACCGTCATCTTCAGCGATTTTATTGCTCAAAGAATGCACAGCTTTCGTGTATGACTCGGCGCGACAGAGGTCCCATTGACTGCGTCTACGGTCTCTATTTCCCTTGGCTATAATTGAGTAGCCTAAGGTGCGGAGCGCCACTGACAGAAGGGTTGTACTTCTGCTTGTGTCCAGAAGCAGAGGGACGGTCTCCAACCAGGGGCTACACAGGGTTGAGAAGTGCTGTTTTTGGCGGCCATATTGCTCCTGACCATTATAGTCGGGGGTAAAATATTCCGTCACTAAAGCGAAGAACTCTTCATCTGTCGACCATCGAAAAGCCGAAAGATTCAGTATGAGACACCCGGTAGACGACCCGGAAAGTGATAGCGATGCCTCACGTGACATAGGGCTTTCAGGTGGTACAGAAGAGATGATCTGTTGCCCAGAAGTGTTGGGCGGAAGAAAGGTCACCTCTTCGTATCCCGGGCAGTCCCTCTTGGTTGCGATGCATTGAGAACAGGAAGGACGTTTTCCGTCGCACTAAGGATTTCACATTAGCAGATCCTTGTCGCAGAATATTTGAGTTCTGTAGTAGAAGAGATTTGACTGGGTCGGCGTCGGCGACTCACCGAATATTTCCTTTGCCGACAGTTTTGACATACTGAGCGGCTCTTTACTTTCATTTTGCATCTACTGCAGTACGGCGGAAGGCGGAGGAGCTAGCATGGCGGGAGTGACAGAACCAGGCAGAGAAGCCGAGACGCGGGTCATGTGGTTGTGAGGCGGTTGAGATTTGGCAAATCCCCAGGATTAGCAAGTCTTGGCACCGAATGCTGCTTCTTATGGTTAGTGCGCAGTGTGGGTCTGTGGATCTCGGCAGCTCGGTCGGAAGAATCGCCTGCCCTTCTCTCCAATATCATTCGACAACATGGCCCATTTCCGCTCAAAAGAATTCGAAAGAAGTTAATTTTGAATCTAGATGATGGAAATGATGACCAAGCATACATCAGGAGCAATTTTGCTCGCAGATATCACAGCGGGAGTTCTGGTTTAGTTGTAGACCGAAGATATATAAATTGAGCCATGTCCCATTGAGAACCTCTCACCAAGCCCTAAGTTTCCAATCACTTTTCCTCCATCACCTCGTTCATCCATCCCACCTTTCAATTCCCGTACTAGCAATATCAAAATGAAGGAAGCACTTGTATTTCGCAAGAATGGGCCCATGGAGGTTAAGGTTCACTCCGTGCCTATTCCCAAACCCGGACCGGACGAGATTCTGATCAAAGTCGTCGTTAGCGGCACAAACCCCAAGGACTGGAAATTCCCTGACTGGATGGACGCATTTGACGGGAAAAACACGGGCGACGATATTGCTGGCTATGTACACGAGGTTGGCAAAAACGCCTCCGACTTCAGAGTCGGAGACCGTGTGGCTGCCTTCCACGATTATATGACGCCGCATGGGAGCTTCGCAGAATACGCCATTGGGAAAGTGCACGCCACATTTCACATCCCACCCCATATTTCCTTCGAGGAAGCAGCTACGGTGCCCTTGGCTGCATTGACCGCCTCGATCGCACTGTTTGCACGCTTGGGCCTACCTGAACCATGGCTCGGAAACAAATCTTGGGCCACCAAGCCTGCAGGAGGAGTTCTTGTCTACGGTGCTGCGACAGCTGTCGGATCATTTGCAATCAAACTGTTACAGAAAGCAGACATCCATCCTATCATCGGCGTCGCTGGAAGGGGTATGGATTATGCTAGGAGTTTGATGAACAGTGAAAAGGGTGATATCGTCATTGACTACCGGGACGGCGAATCTGCGATCGTACGGGGAATCCGAGATGCCATCCCCGCTGGTGAAAGTCTCCAATATGCACTAGATGCGGTCAGCGAGGCATCGAGCTTCCAGGTGGTTGAGAAGGTTCTGGACCAGACATCGGGCGCAGTGTCACTCGTTACGCCAGAGGCACCTGAACATTTATTCAGCAAGATACGGGTTGAGTTCAGCAACGTTGGAAGTAGCCACGTGGATGACAAGGACTTTGCTTATGTGTGGTCGCGCATGTTGAGCAGGGGCCTTAGTGAGGGTTGGCTCAAGCCTCATCCCCATGAAGTAACCCCGGGTGGTCTGGAGGGTGTAGAAACCGCTCTGAATGACTTGAAGGCTGGGAAGGCTAGCGCTGTGAAGTATGTTTTGAGGGTTACAGAAGAGTGAAGGAGGTTGAAAAGCCAGTCGCACTTTAACTATAGATTTCAATCTGAAACCATTATAACTTATCTCTATCCAAAAATGACTGCCGTGATTGTAAAATTTACAAGAGGACCCCAAACGCCTTGCGATGTTCAGAATTACTTCAACGGCCAAGTACATCATCGAACGGGGCATCTATGCAGACTATATCCACGAAACTTCGAAACGGTTAAAGCGCAAAGAAAATAAGCATTATATCCAGGAAAATACGGTTTGCTGCATAGATGATATAATATTGAATAAGCAGCCTTTTCGGCACCCCAGAGAAATGCGTTTGTGTGAACTAGCTTCCTTTTGCGCGTAGGCCTCATGTCGCAGGCAAAGTAATAGCCCGGAAGGGCAATGGAGTTATCATGAAGCTCCATTGTTTGGTTTCGGGCGACCATAAGTCGCCATTAGATGTGAAGCAAGGTTTGTTCACCGGTTCTAACTATGGCAGGTATTGTACAGAGGATCAACCGACAGCCAGTCTGCGTTCTTGGAAACAATACGCCCATCCTTGAGAATAGCCACAAGATGATGTTGTATGCGATCAAGAATGGTAATGTCTTGCAAAGGATTAGATGTTAGGATTAGCATGTCCGCAATACTTCCCTCTTTAATGCACCCGAGTTGGCCTTCCATTCCCAGATACCGCGCTGCATTCACAGTTGCAGATTTCAGAATGTCCTTCGCACTTAGAACGCTGGACCTAATTGAGAACTCTTGGTTCTGTAGGGGATGCAGGCCAGCCAAGAGGTCGGAACCATAGCATATCATTGCCCCTGCCTTGTGCAAGATTGACAAAGCTTCTAGACCACTGTCCAGAACTTGTCGATTCTTCGCCTGGCTGAAATCATCCAGGAACTTGTCAAAGGGTGGCTTGGACATGCCATAATAGGTAACCAATGTTGGAGTAAAGACAACGCCCAAATTTGCACAATACGCCGCAGTTTCCTCGTCGATGAAATTACCATGCTCAATGCCTCGAACACCATTATCAACGGCATGACGGATAGCCTCCACAGTGTAGGCATGTGCCGTGACGTAGGTCTTGGACTGCCTCGCCGTTGTTGTGATTGCGCGAATCTCTTCGGCAGTAAACTGCAGCATATCAAGCGCATCCGACGGTGTTGCTACACCACCACCACACATAATCTTCAAGAAGTTGGCTCCTTGTCTGAGCTCGTCGCGGGCAGCCTCCAAGCACTCGGGGACACCATTGCATACCCGTGCCAAAGCTGGGCTGTGCCCGCCACAGCATTTATACTCGGACCCCTGATAATTGGCTCGCAAATCGCCGTGTCCACCAGTTTGCGAGAGTGCTTTGCCAGCAATGAATAGCCTTGGGCCTGCAACCAAGCCTTCTTCGATGGCTTCGCGGAGGGAGTAGTCGGCACCACCAGTATCGCGGACCGTGGTGAATCCTCGGAGAAGCATCTCGCGTGCAACAAAGGTGGATCGATAGGCGATGGTATTTGGACTTGCAGAAAACATATCTTTAAGGGATGAAGAGCCCGGAGTTGCCGTAATGTGCACATGGCAATCGATTAACCCGGGGCAGATATACTGTCCGTTCAAATCCACTGCATCGGGAGGAGTCGCTACATTGCCAGTCGATACCTCCACGATACGCCCATTCTGGATATGAACGACAGCATCGGGAATAATGTCGCCAGCTTCCACATCTACCACATTGGCGTTGTAAAAGATAATTTCGGGAGCTGCGGCTCGAGGCAACCATGGCTTGCTCGTATTGTTGCTACTCATTGAGTCAGCGGGTAACTGCATGCTGAGATATGTTTGAAGTCAGGAACGAGACGCAATCGATAGATTGCAATCTGGCTCATGGAATTTTGAACGGATTGATGAGGTCTTTTACTCCCTCGTTACTGAATTGTGAAATTCTATCCCGACTAGTGTTGAATCACTTAGTCTCTCGGTTACGACGACGGGAATGTTGAAACTTACCCCTCATCTGTGTGCGGGGAAACACTGATAGCGGAATTAAGACTGCCAACTGAGGCTAGCTCGCCTTATAGTCGGCCGAGGATATCAACAGTTAGCGATATGAGATGGCGTAGCTACTGACAATCTTGGCGTCTTAATAACGCATAAGTCTGGCAACTGTAGATGGGGTATCCCTCCTCATGTCGATCCAAGTCATGTCATTCCAGTGTCCCTTAATATCACTGCCTGTATGCACGAATATGACAAGCTATATCTCGTAAGTATTGCTGTCAATGCCATTTAGTATCATCAGCACGGTATGGTCGAATCCCAGATGGTGTTGTGGAGGCATACACGCGGTGGGAAATACAATCTATGAGAAATTTAGGACCCCCTTACTCTGACTGGCAGTCGCCCCAAGACACGATGGAGCTTATATATCCGGAAAGCAGTAAAAGTATTTGCATCATGGTAAGAGTAATCCACTGCCCATGATAGGCTGGGAATTCTATCTCAAGGAATGAAACCTATAGTCCAAACTTGTACGGTCGCAGTGATTTCTGGGCTTAGACATGATAGAGCCTTTCATGTTGTGGGCTTCTCGAGGAGTAGCTCTTGGACAGTGTCAGCTACTATCATGACGGTGTCACCTTTGGCGCAGCATTTACTGCGGTGGATCCTGAATCAAACTCTTCATAACAAAAGCTGCGCTCTCGATCTGCACCAGGCCTGTAAGCTAGCAATATCTTTATCCACTGCAGATATCCCATTAAGGCACCGCGGAGAATACCCGAGCGCGAACCCTGTTATGTAGTTGCAGAAACTCGACAGGAACTTTCATTTGCCGAGAAGTTATCATCTCTCAGTGTTCGGAGATTTACCCCGCATGCCACGAACAAGGAATGTACAACGCACTGGGTGACAACATAGCTGCACGGGCCCTGAATAACTGGGAAGGTAATTCCCACTTCGTCGTCTTTCCACACTTATTAGATTTCACAATAGTTCCTTGTATACTGATGATGGAATTCGAACTCAAGACGGCAGACCAAGACGCAATGAAAGATGTTAACATCGATGTCGGGACAATTCATTTACATTTTACAGCGGAGGAAGAAAAACGCGTAGTGAGGAAGATCGACTGTACCATTTTACCATTGGTTAGTAATCCTTTCCTGAAATTCCGACTCCATGCTAACACCGACTTCAAAGATGTGCTTGGTGTTCTTCTTTCAATGTGTGTAGCCGGATGAGGACTCGAGGTTTGCCCTAGCTGACATCCCAGACCTCGACAAGCAGAGTCTTAGCTACGCGTCGGTATTCGGGCTTATTGATGATCTCTCTCTGGAAGGGTCCGAGTATTCTTGGTGCTCATCATTATTTTATCTCGGTAAATAGATGCGGTTGTCTTATTGTACAAATAGCAAACTGATGCGTGATGCTCTCTGAAGGTCAATTAGTTGCAGAGTACCCCTTCATATACTTAATGAGCCGGCTTCCTCTTACCAAGTTCGTTGGTGCAACAATGTAAGTCCGCGGCTGGAATTGACCCATTCATTGAATTTTAACCAGGTTCACCGACAGAGTTTTCTGGGGTGCCGTGTGCATGTGCCTTGCGGCGCCTACAAACTTTGCAGGGTTCGGGGCTGTAAGGTTCCTTCTTGGAGTTACGGAAGGGGCTGTCTCTCCAGCATTTGTGACCCTCACTAGCATGTGGTACAGAAAACAGGAACATGCTTCAAGAGTGGGGTAAGAAACCGAATTCAGAAAGGCTCTGTTGAGCGATACAGTTTACTTACGTCATAATCAAACTATAGCATCTGGGTGACGATGAACGGCCTTGCCCAAGTCCTTGGAAGCCTGCTCATGTACGGAATTGGGAAACAACACTACCCACGGCTGGAACCATGGAGGGTTCTCTTTCTCGTCTGCGGTGCACTTACAGCCGCCTTTGGTGCCGTCTTCTACTTTCTAGTGCCTACCAGTCCTCAGAAAGCATGGTTCCTATCCGACAGAGAGCGAGAGGTCCTACTGGCGAGAATGGCGCAAGACAGAGAAGGAGGTGATAAGACCAATTTCTCAAAGTCACAGGTGAAGGAGACTTTATTAGATGTCCGAGCTTGGTTTATCTTCGCTTTCGGCATCCTCGTCACGATGCAGTCGCCGGTTCTAACGGTATGCCTTTATTTACTCTCTAACCATTTCGTCGATGAAGAAAGCTCACCCAAGTCAGTTTGCTTCCTTGATTATTAAGAACCTCAACTACGATAAATATCAAACGATGTTATATACCTCCCCATCAGGAGCCGTTCAGATCGTCGCGATCTGGATCGGTGTACTCGGCTGCCAACTCCTTCAGAACAACCGTAGCTTGGTGATCATTCTACTCTCCATTCCTCCCTTGATTGGCAACATACTCCTATTGAAGCTTCCACTTACGACAGGTTGGGGATTGATAGTGTCCTCCTGGCTAGTACGTTTTGTCCCCCCCGGTCTCATATGAAGGCGTGCGCTCACCCATGATGCTAGGCGTCCTGCATCTCAGATGTGATGGTCATTCTTCTTAGTCTCAGCGCATCGAACGTGAAAGGAAATACGAAGCGGGCGATGGCCAACACGATGTATTTCATTGGCTATTGTGTTGGCTGCATTGCAGGTCCCCAGCTGTGGCAGACGAAATCGGCGCCCAGGTTCTTTGAAGGGGTCGTTACTGCAATTGTAACCTGGTGTGTGCTGGTACTAGTCATGGTCCTTTATTGGTACTTGTGCAGGGCTGAAAACCTGAAGCGGGACCGGGAAGCCAACACTTCTGCCGATATCGTCTTGCATACCGACGACGTCACAGATATCGAGGATCGGCTCTTCCGCTACAGTTATTAATAAAGCTTTGAGCGTCGGGGATTTGTGGGTGCAATATCGTGTCCTTGGATTGTCCAATCGAGAGATAAATCGAGTACGCTAAAATGCTGGAACAGATATCGGGCACATAAGATGAGGAAGAATGAAGGAAGCTTGATTTTGCGGACATCTGCGCGTCAAGACACGGTCTGTTTTGACTGCTCATCCGTGATACTACTTGCACCGTTGTACCTGTGAGATAGGTACATGCGGCCTATTGCGAGATGTAAATTTGTGCTAGCTTCAGAATCAAGCCTGCTTATTCAAGATGTTCAAAGTAATGCGCTGCTCGCGCGCCAGCCTACAATCACGGATCTGACTATTAATGCGGCTAATTCTTGTATTGCTTTCTTGTCTGGTATCTAGAACTACTCGCTAAACTAAAAGATTACTTACAGAAATTGAAAAATACGTAGTAAAAAGACTTCTATTATATTCTTTGCCTTTTCCATTATATACAACCTTTATATACCTAAATACTACATTCAATTTTTTTTTCCTTAGGCAAGGCATAATATCATTCTTGTTTAGACATCCCCTTATGCCTAGTTCGCCTATGTCGTTGAATGTTGAATATATTAACTAGTGGAGCTGTCCTGATTGGTAAATTTTAATCATACAATATATTCTGCAAACTTCCTTTGATGACGTGGTAGTTCTGGATTGAGTTATAAAAGTGTTGGTCAAACCCGGTACGTTAGAGACATCACAGTAAAAAAGTAAAGGTACTAGAAGGTTATATCAGTTTTTCTTCAATCAACTATCATTCTTAAGTGTGTATGTGTGGGACTGGCGAACGCGCTCAGCACAGGCCTTGCCTCTTCTCCGTATCATATTTTAACAGCAATGTTAAGTACATACGACCACGGGACAATTATGAGATGGATTGGGGTGAGTTAAACATCCACAAGGACTAATAGCCTATCGCTCATTTAGTCTCGCTTCCCTCTCACGGATCAATTATCATGCTACATACGGTAATAAGACTTACGACCCTCGAATGAGGATTGGTAGTAGCACAGCTCATGGATATGATCTGACGAAGCTTCTGTCGCCATTCTTCAGCGTCCATCAGTTCGAAATACTTCAGAGTTTAGCATGTAGTCCACGTTTGGGGCGGGTCCGCGATACTGAGCAGTATTGGATCAGTGACTTGTGTATCTAGGGGAACAGATGAAAGTACAATCAGCCATGGTCGGTACCAATCTATCTCAACTACGTTCCCTGTTCACAAGCAATTACTCCATATCAGTCAAAAATACTTTAACCAAGGAGAAGGAACAAAAGGGAACCACCTTTGCAGGGAATCATATTCCTATAGTAGTAAAGCCGTTTTCGTCATGCCGCAGATCGAACATCTAGGGCTGCTTGTAACAATGTAGAAAGTTCTTCGCACCTGTGTTTATATATTTCTGAAAAGAAATTGAGCAGGAAGGTCCATGACATACACCTCGACCAAAACCCAAACAGTATGACAACGGCTTGGCACAATGTATTCGTGACTGTACAATTCTCGAATAGCAACTCTTCAAATATTACAAGTCTTTTGGTACCTGTCATTACTTCGGCTCATACTGGAATATCGGGGACAACTAGAATAATTTTGAGTCTTTAAGATACTATATGATAAGTTTCATTACAATATAGACATTTAGGAAGAAGATTGCAGAGCCCCAGATTGTGGAATCTGTGCGTCTGGTACAGCTGCTAGGCATGTTAGTCGGTGGTAGTTATGCTTTCACCTTACATTACCACAGGGAACTTAGATCGCATTCAAAAAATATATATTAGTGGAAGTGATTTGCGCAAATGCTGGTTGACCAGGTTTGTATATTGTTCAATGGTACAACTCATGCTGTCAACGAGGTATAGAAGAAATGTGTCTTTCCCAGGACGTCACTTAGGGCGAGACTGAAGTCATTTAGGGTAAGAACCATGGCGAGAGCAATATCACGAGCGCCCAGCCGCATACTGTTGTAGATATGGTACCATATTTACATTCGCCATAGGTCTCTGATTAGCTCCATCGAATACATACGACCATAGGGTGTGGAAAACAGGGCTTCCCGTCCGCTCAGCCGTACTTAAGCCACACGCCGGGAGGTTAGTAGTTGGGTGGGTGACCACCAGCGAATCCCTTCTGTTGTATGTTTTTATTTTTCTTGTGACACTATAGTATCTAGTGAAATCACATTGGTTACATGTCGCACTCAGAAAATACTTAAAGCTAATTAGATAGCTAGGTATGGAGCACTATTTGTTCATTGTTTGAACAACTTTGGTGGTTCCCTCAGCTTCCTCACTGCTTGTACCAGCCTGGTTCCAAGTAGCGGCGGATAGGACAAGGACTATATACTTTATATAATCATAGTATATTCATTACTATCGTGTAAATCTATTCCACTCTATGGCTGTCAATATATTACTAAACTACCTAATGTTTTTTAAACTTATTATACTCATAGCCAGATAAAATGTTAATTTAATACTCTTGCCTTCCCCCGAAAGTTGGGGTAATGGGCCCGAGGAAGGATTGCAGCCGTCTGCACGAGCCCGGAGTTTAAATAAGGTCCCTACCGCACTTGGTCCTTGCTTTCTTGCTTGGTAATATCTCGCAAGCTGATGCCGTCGTAGCAGAAAAGGGAATTAAAAGGTCAAGGGAAAGCAGACGATATTTTCAGGAGCTGTATCTTGGAGGATCATGCTATAAGGGCCTTCGCAACAACACGAATCCATCATGGTGGCTGAACCCAGATGGACTGTCGGGCCACATCGCTTCATGTCCACTCGCTAGACTGTTATTTAATTCCATCGGCTCGAAGCAAAAGATCCAATAGAAATCATTTTACGTTATGATTGATTATACCATTAGGGATATCCTATGATTAATATCGTTCTTACAGAAGCCTAGTGGTGTACTTTGATTGAGAATTCCAGGCATCCCGTTCAACAACCTGTCAGGCATACGTCTGAATCCCTTTCCACCGTTCTCTTCAGACCGGTCAGATATTCGCAGTCCCGCAGCATTGGCGTAGTGGGTACTTTCCCTTCTTCTTTTCTTTCTTCCGCTTCATTTACCTATTCCTTAACGACAGGGCTAGTCAAAACCTTTTCGAAAACTGTTTATTGACCTGGACATAGTACCAATGAACAAGATTTCCAAAGGCGACAGCCATCTGGCTTTCCTGCCTTTCTTTCAAACCCACCCCTTCTTCAACATACTACGTATGGCCACCAACCGGCCCACCCGTTCGAAGCTCATCCCACCCAGGATCTCAAAGGTGGACACGTCGGCCTGGAAGATTTTGGCAAACCAGCTGCGAATTTCCACCGCCAGCAGTGAATCGACGCCGCAGCTGACAATGGGCTGGCTCGCCTCCACATCCTCATCGGCCAACCCGGAGAGACTGCGCACGATTTTAGCGATGAGGGCCTGGGCAACGATCTGCGTGGCCTCCTCCAGGGAGGCGGCCTGGCCCAGTTCAGCCCGGAAGTCGCGAGCCGGACGACGCCCGGGTCCGCTCTTCGAGTCCAGGTGCTGGTGGGAGGCGGTCGAGACGCGATGAAGAAGGCCAAACAAGGCCCGCTGCATCCATCCGGGCTCATCCAGTCCGCGCACCTGCATGGCCTGAGGCGTATTGATCCCGAACACTGTCTGGCAGTTGGCTAGCGTCAGGGGCGGCGCCTCCGATGGCGACACCGCCACGACGACAAGGTCCTCCTCGTCCTCGTCGCTGGCGTCCCTCATCGCACGGCAGCAATAGAACTCCAGCAGGGCCAGGAACTTGGGGCGGGTAATCGGCACCATGGATCCGCCGCCCAGCAGCCGGTCTCGGATGGTCTGGTTCTGCGCCAGGAACCCGTCGTCGACCATGGCCCCGAGGTCGAGACTCACGGCCGGCAGCCCGCGCGCCACGCGGTATCGTGCCAGGCTGTCCTGGAAGGTGTTGCCCGCGGCGTAATTGGACTGGCCGCGCTGGCCCGCGACACCGGACACCGAGGACAGGCAGACGAAAAAGTCCAGCGGTTGGTGCTGGAGGCAGGCGTGGAGGTTCCATGACCCGGCAACCTTGGGCTGCACGGCGGCGACCCATTGGGCGTGCGTCATCTCGGCTAGTAGGGTATCCTGCAGAACCATTGATGCCTGGATGCAGCCGCGGATCGGCGGCATCGCGGCTCCGGTAGGGGACTGGGCGTCGTGGAGCACACGCGACAGCCTCTCCTGATCGGCGAGATCGCAGACAGGCGCGTGCACACGGACCCCCGCCCCGTGGAGCTCGGCCACCAGCTGGCGGGATTCAGGGCTCTGCGGCCCCGAGCGCGAGAGTATCAGGAGGTGGCGGGCGCCGCGCTCGGCCATCCAGCGCGCGATACTGCGGCCGATACCGCCAAAGCCGCCTGCGAGCACATAGGTGGCATCGTCCAGGAAGCCCTGGGTCGGCATCGCCGCGGGTAGGGTCATCGGCACCGAAGCGGTAGGGGTGATCTCGATAACGGTCTTGCCGCTGGTCTTCCCGTCGGCGAGCGCCGCAAAAGCCTGCTGCACCTCCGTCACAGACCGTACGCGCAATGGGTGGGCGGGTTGCAACACGCCTTGCACGAACAGCGACATGATGGTGTGAATGCCTCGCTCGGCCTGCTCCGGACGCTCGAGCATCCAAGTCGATCCATCAAAAGCCGAGAAGCTTACCCCCCGGTTGAAGGGAAGCATGGGGAGTCGCGCGTTGTCCAGGATATCTTTCTTGCCAATCTCCACGAACCGGCCATAGGGCGCCAGGCAGTCCCACGAGGCTAGGAGACACTCGCCGGACAGCGAGTTGAGCACCAGGTCCACTCCACGACCCCCGGTAGCATCCTTGACGCCCTGCGCAAAGGCCACATCGCGGCTGTAAAAGATACGTTCCTCCGGGATCGCGTACGTGTCCATGAGAAGATCTCTTTTGGCCTCCGAGCTTACGGTCACGTAAACATCTGCCCCCAGGTACTGGCTGATCTGGATCGCTGCTTGGCCGGTGCCGCCAGCACCGGCATGAATTAGTACTTTCTCCCCTTGGGTCAGCCGTCCGATCTGCACAAGGCTTGTCCACGCGGTGACGAACTGCGTCGGGATGGCGGCGGCGGTGGTGAAGCTCATGGCCTCCGGCAGGCGACACACACACTGGACCTTGCTGCGGGCATACGTCTTGAATGCCTCGACCGTGGACATGCAGACGCGGTCCCCGACCCGGACCTTGTCTGGGGAGCAGGCGGACCCTACACGTGTCACCACCCCAGCGCACTCATTGCCCAGAGTGTCAGCGGGCACACGGCCGAGGGCAATGAGGCAGTCCTTGAAGTTCAGTCCGACGGCGTGGACTTGGATCTCCACCTCGTCTGCCGCCAGCGGCACCGCATTGTGCTCCTGATCCGCAACAAACCGCAGCGAGTCCAGGAGCCCCGGGGTTTGCGTCGTGAGTTTCAGCGGCATTGGCGCCTCCTGCCATGGCCGGTCCTCCGAGATCAACGGGTGGAGGATTCGATGCACACCCTCCTGGCAGTATCGGTCTTGCTGGAGTCGGGGGATGTGAAACAGGTCATTTCCTTCTGCAGCTCGCTGCTCATATTCCATCTCGTAAGCCTCCGATGAGGAGGGATCGGCGGCGGGCCGCAGCATCTGTTGGACGGCTAGCAGAAGGGCTTGCAGCTGGGTCTCGGAAGGAGTGTTATTCATGGGCGCCCTCGTCAGTCCGAAGCGGAGAAACCGGTGCCCTTCCTCTTCAGCGAGGCAGACCCGCGCCAGACCCGTGACCATGTTGTATGCTGGGTCAGAGGAGCCATCGTCAACCGTGCAACTCACCCAGGCCACATTGTGACTGTGGCGGATCATCCGCTGGAGCGCTGCAAAGCCATCAGGGTTCATGCTGCGTAGAAACGGCCGATCCAGGTCCAAGTCGACGGTCACGATGGTGAGCCTCGTCCCGGGTTCCACTTGGTCCATTGGGGTAATCTGGCTGGGGGCTCCGATGTGTTGCAGATATTTTTGGATGGCAGTTGCGTAAGGAGCACTCTGTTCCTCCCCCTGAGGACTGTGAGTTGGATGAGACACGATTTTCACTACCGCTGGGGCCGCAGCACCCGGTTTACCGAGCTCTTGCAGGAGCATGCCAGCTCCGTCGGATGAGGGCTGGCGGCTGCTAATCAGTACGCTTAGCTCATGGCAGGCATCGCTGCGATAGTCGCGAAATTCTTGCTCCACGCCTGTGAAGCCCGTCTCCTGCAGCAGTGCGTCCCAGGTGGACAATGGGACACAGGGACCCTCGCTGCGATAGTCCTCAGAACTAAGCCACCAGCCCGGTAGCAGGCCCATGATGAACCCACTTCGTCCCAAGGCAGGGGCCGTGATCTCGAAGAGAATCAGCTTCCCTCCGGGACGAAGCAAGGCCCGCGCCCTCTGCAGCGTTGCCCGGAGGTCCTTGGTAGCGTGGAGTACGTTGGCCCCGACCACCACATCGTAGGACTCGGGGGTATACCCTTGGCTCGAGAGATCGTCCTCGACATCCAGTCGGCGGAACAGCAGGCCGGGATACCTTTCGAACCGGGACTTGGCGGCATCAAAATAGGCCTCTGAGATATCTGAGTAGGTATACTCTTGATACCGCGGGCCGGTCACCTCTAGCTGTCCCTGTTTCTCCCCGAGCGAGTGTAGTATGGCGGCGGTTGTGCCCCCCGTGCCAGCGCCGATTTCCAGGTAGCGGGCGTTAGGATACTTGTGAGAGTACAGCTGGAGGTATCCATCTAGCTGGGTAAATGCCGACGTGTCACTGCCGCTCAATTCGGCGTAGAACGAATCCAACATGGACGACCCGAACAGCAGCTCCAAAGGGTCCATTTGACCGACGACCAACTGGTCCAGGTGGCGGGCGACTGCCACATGAACTCGTCCCTGCGCGTTGACTTGCTCGAGCTGGTTCATCAGGGCATTGCGGTAGTTTAAGTCTCCAGCTAATGCCGGCCAGCTAGGCTCCCAATGCGGCGTCTCGCTAGCTTCGATTCGCCGGACCTGGCGGCGAGCCCAGTCCATGTATTTTTGCAAGTGAGGTTTCGACGGATTCACCCCCGATGATGTGATCTGCGACAGCATCGAGTAATGAAGGAAGGCCAAGTCACGATAGAAATCGGTAGGGTCCCCGCTGGTCGTGTCCAGGCCCTCATGAGATGATGGCATACTGCTGCTGCTGCACCACTGAGCCACCTGGGGCCCAGTCATCAAATCCAGATCGGGTTTCCAGACCAGGTTCCAGGTACAGTCCTGCGCCCCATGGTCGACGTCGGTCACTTGATCGGCCATGTCATTGACGATTGTCAGCCGAACCCCTTCCAACTCTGCCAGCAGACGCGCTCGGTCATGACTCAAGGCATGGGATTGCACTTCGCACCCGCGACGGTCGGTGGCCACAATCTCTGCCAGGGCGTCCAGCGTGTTCTCTGACGCTGTCTGCAACTCCGATGACGACGACGATGATGACCATCCAAGGCCCGAAGACGCTATCCAGACCCGTCGAATGTTGGAGGGGATGGCCGTGGATCGTCTGCGTGCGGGATCCTGCGTGAGCGCCACCATCGGCATGTGCAGCAGCGCATCGAGCGTGCACGGATGCACAACATAGTCCACTTCGTCATCATCCTGTGGATGATGGACCTTGACGACGGCGCGGCAATCCTGGCCGCCAGCCCACTGTGCCTCGACAAGAGTGCGGAAGGAGGGCCCGAATTCCAGACCATGTTGGGCAAGGCGCTCATAGAAGGCCGCGATCTCCAAACCATGATGCTCTCCTCGCTCCTCCCACTGGTGCTGCTGCTGCTGCTGCTGCAGGGAAGCGTGCCGGTCCTGCAGACTTCGCAGGCGAGCTTGCGCGACGCGCTGGGTCCCAATGCCGGACTCGGCGACCCCAAAATCAACCCGGATACTTCCTGTGCAGATTTCTTCCCATTCACCCTCCAGATATGCGCATAGCCGGAAATCCGACCACCAGCCACCGTCTCGACTGCCGCCGCCGGCTCCGCCCCCCGGCTGCTGCTGCTGCTGCTGCCGGCGCAGGATGAATTGGACTTCCACACCCCGCTCGTGGTCGGGGATCACCAGCGCTGTGCTCAGGTTAATGTCGCGGAGCTCATAGCCGAGGATCGGTCGATTGATATACGCTGCTCCGGCGAGCTGGACCTGCTGCTGCATGGCCTCGACGGCCATCGCCATCATGCCGGCAGCGGGGAAGAGGATCGTTCCATTAATCTGATGATCTTCGATCCAGGGATGCTCGGAGCGCTTCAGGAAGTTGCCCCAACGCGCCTCCAGGGCGTTCCAGTCCACCGCAGCCTCCCCGAGCAACTTTGATCGGGGCTTGCTGCGGAGCCGATGGTTCCTGCTTGTTCGACTCTCATGGAAGAACCGCCGCGAATGCTCCCAGGCATATGGGGGTAGGTCGGCCAGCGAGACAAGCGCAGGAGGCATGACCGCGAGGCCTTCCCTCTCGTCTGAATCTGTCTCGGACGAGTGGGGCTCGTGGTTTACCCGGTTCCAGTTGATCGATAATCCCAGGCACCACAGATGACCCACTGAGCGGAGGAGGGCGTCAGCCCCTGGCTGGGCCCGCTGCAAGGTAGCGAGGTAGGTCATGGGATGGTCCTGTGCCTGAAGGATCTCTTTGATCGGCCCGCGCAGGGCCCCGTGGGGTCCAATCTCCACGCAGGTGTTGATGTCCATCAGGAGCCGGTGGCTGCCGTCGAGCTTCTTTACGACCCCTCGCTTGCTCAAAAGGCTTTGAAAGGCCTGGAGGAAGCGCACGGGTCGTACCAAGTTGCTTGCCCAGTAGCTACCCTGGCGCAGCATCTCGGCGGGGACGCGCTGGCCCGAGACGGTCGACACCATGACGACCGCCCCGTCGGTGCGCTGCAGCAGGCCCTGCTCCCTTCCGTGTTCCCCGGGATCGATCTCCCCGATTGCGCTCGCGTACGCATCCGCCACCGAATGCAGATGGTTGGAATGGTAGGCCACGCCAGTGGACAGCTTGCGGGCGAATATCCCCGCAGCGTCGAATTTGGCCTTCAGCGCGTCGATGGCCGCCTCATCTCCCGACAGAGTCACGTTATTCGGGCTGTTGAAGCACGCGATGCTGACCCGACTAGATCCCATTCTGCCCTCCCCTGCATCGGATCCATCCAGATACGATGCAGCGTCTGCCGCAGAGAGTCCCACTGCCAGCATCGCACCGGAAATTGTTGATTCTTGCAGTCGAGCGGACACCAGCTTGCCCCGTAGAAACGCAACTCGCCAAGCGCTGCGCGCGGAAATGGCGCCACAGCAGTACCTGTGATAATTCCCTCAATTTGAGCACCCAACTGTCCAAAGGGATGGAGGGAAGTTTTCGCTTACGCTGCAGCAATTTCTCCCGACGAGTGTCCAATGACCACGCTGCACATGATACCAAAGGTATTGAGAAGGTCCACTAAAGCAATTTGGACGACCGTGCAAAGGACCTGGCTAATCTGAGGCTCGTTGATCCGACTTGTCTCTGCCGGCTTTGCCAGTTCATCTATCAGAGGATACGGTTATCGAGCAGCTCGAATGTGATCACGCCCCGGCAGGGGGTGGGTAGATGAGAGATGCTCACCTAAAAGTCTCCAATCGCAACCAAGAGCGCGCAGATCTGCATCCGCCTCTTCTAAGCGCCGACGGAAGACGGAGTATACACAAAGGTCGGCGCCCATTTGCGCCCACTGCGCACCCTGGCCGGTGAATACGAACGCGATCTTGGGCGGCGTCTTTGGCGACTTCACCGCAGGCGAAACCATCGCTCGAAAGTCGTGCAGCGGTACGTCTGAGGGGACGACCGCACAGGCGCGCCAAGGGAGAAAGGTCCGGCGTTGGGCGAGCGTGTATGCCAGTGCATCGGAAAATTCGACTGATGGGGGAGTCGCCGCCTCCGCCGTTCCGCCGCCGCGGGACTGGAAATATTCAGTCAGGCTGGTGACTGTTCGAGTGATACCTGCTTTGTCTGATGACGATAGTGGCAGGAGCCGGACACGCTTTTGCTGCACTCCTGCTGCTGCGGTAGGAGCCACTGAAGAAGATGATGGTAGTAGCGGTGGCTCACGGTTGGACCGTTGGTCGCGCAAGACGTAGACGGGGATAATCTCTTCCCGAGGGGTGGAAGAATCCGTGCGCGGTCGATATGCCACGCCGTCCAACTGGTGCTCCAGTAAGAAGTGATACGCATCATCCAACACCGCGTGGGCGTTGGAGCCACCGAATCCAAACGAATTGACGGAAATTCGTCGAAGACCCGGACGAGGCCAAGGGATCCCTGACCGAGGGAACTATTCAGTACGGAAGAGCGTCAGCTGTACGCCACACGAACATGGGTAATGTTCCCGAACCTGAAGACGTAACGCAGCCTCATCGATCATCGATTTGACGCTCTGCAAATCGGCAATAGCGGGGATCCACCCTCGCTCCAGCATGGCAACTGCCTTGATCACCCCCGCGATACCGCTGGATCCCTCCAAATGGCCAATATTGGCTTTGACGGAGCCCCTAAAAACAGAGAATGCATGCCTCGTTAGAAGACATAGAAGAGCCCAGTGGGAACAGAAACATACACATAAAGCCGCTCACCCGGGCGCCGGCTATCTCGGAAGCTCGCGCCTAGAGCCTCCGCCTCGATGGGATCGCCGGCTGGGGTTCCCGTGCCGTGCGCCTCCACGTATGCCGTGCGAGCCTTATCCAGTCCAGCACGCGCGTAGCACTCATTGATAAGGGCCTCCTGAGCGCTCATACTTGGCTGGGTGATTCCAGGGGTGTACCCGTTCTGGTTGCACGCAGTGGAGCGCACCACGGCGCGGATGGTATCGCCATCCCGCAGCGCACAGCTCATCCGTTTAAGGACCAACATGGCTACACCTTCCCCGCGCCCGTATCCATTGCCTCGAGCATCGAAGCTATAGCTGCGGCTGTCGGGGGAAAGCATGCTCATCTCCGACAGGATATGGAACATATCAGGGGCCAGAATCAGATTGGCTCCTCCAGCCAAGCACTTTTGTACCGAATTCATTCGGAAACCGTTAGCCGCAGAAAACCATACACACTGTCTCACACAGATGTCCCAGAGGAAACAGTTGTCTCTGGGAGGCGAAACTTACCATATCAGTCTGGCCCGCGCGCAGCGCCTGACAGGCTAAGTCCAGGGCGACCAGGCTACTGGAGCAGGCGGTGTCCACGTTGATACTAGGGCCCATGAAGTTGTAGAACCAGCTCACGCGGTTCGCGTTCAGCGTGGTGGTGATGCCCGTGGCTGCGTAGGGTGCGCTGTCGCGCACATCTTTCTGGTAAAGTTCCTTGTAGTCATCGGTGAAGCAGCCGACATAGACGGAGGCGTTGGACCCCGTAATCTGCTCGATGGGGATCCCGGCTACATCAAGAGACACACAATTATCATCCCGAACACGAAGGAATGGGGGCTCGAGGGCTGGTTCCGCCTACCATTTTCCAAGGCAACGTAGCTGGTTTCCAGGAGCAGTCGCTGCTGGGGGTCCATGGAGGCTGCCTCCACGGCTGAGATTCCAAAAAAGGGTGCATCGAATGCAGTGATATCTTCAGCTAAGAAATGTCCTCCGCTCACCGTCGGGACTGCGGCTGCAGCCTTGGGCCAGTAGGCGCCCGTAACATCCAGACGGTCAGAGGGGAATCCTTGCGACACGCAACGGGCCTCGGTGATCAATCTGAAGAAACGATCTAAATCTGTGGCTCCAGCCGGGAACCGGAGTGATAGACCTACGATCGCGATGGGCTCAAGGCAGTCCTTATCGTTGTGCGAATTGTCAAAAGCCATTGTGGTGCAGCGATGGTCGAAGAAGAAGTGGAATTGGGAAAATATCCATACAAAGAGCGAGACACTCACATCTCTAGCAGTCTTGAACGTGAATCAGGGTTAGTTTTTATATGATCTAATGCTGATACCCTTTAGCGTCCTCTTTCATTGGACTCTCGAGATACTGTAGATTATTTTCCTTACCATGTAATTGCCACAACTGCCACGCACATACCGTGCACACCCAGCCAACCCTAACACTCCGGAAGGAGCAACAAGTCTAGGCCATTGCGTCCAAGCTTCCAAACTGCCAAGAGGTGCAAGACGGCTCCTAGCGTGAGGGGCTGATGCCAAACGAACCAGCATTTATATGGTGGGGGTGGGTCAAAAACAGTTTCGCCCCCAAACTAATCTCCGATCCCTGCGACGGCAAACAAGACTAACTACAAAAGACAAGTGGATAGCCTCATCAAGAACTTAACCGATCGAACTATTTATTCACCATTTCCCTTTCCCTTGTTCCACCAATGGGCACAGGGTTTTTCTTCAGCACCCATTCCTTAGTCCCCACTCTAATGCAGTGAGACAGCCAAGTGAATCGTTTGGCGAATGGCCCCCAGAGCCCCCAACAGAGACGCCCGTGACCTCGAACCAGGGACCTCATGTCCTCCATCATGCACGAACACTGCCCGCCACTCCGGCTTGCACAGCCGGCTCAGGACCACACTGGTGCCTGGGTAGCTGGTGTCATTTTGGCCCCATATGTGTGCGGTGGGCAGCTGCAACAGGACCGGTAGTGCTGACGGGGTCGCGGTTCCTTCCCTTTCCGCCTCGGCGATGGGTGCCAACTTGCATCCATCAGGCAGTGCGGCCGCTGTTGGTGATGGTGACCACTGATAAGGAATTCCTCCGGAGAGAAAAATCGCGCATCGGATGCTGCGCGCTCCCGCCGGGGAGGAAGAGGCCGCAGACCGAGCCCGCTCAATCAGAAATGAAGCAGCCAATTGAGCTCCGTGCGAAAAGGCCAGAATGCCATCAAAGGGCCCCTCAGCTATGAGGAAAGCTTCAAGCTGCTCCAGGGCCGCCGCGTAGGTCTCTGGTTGGCTGGGGTCAAAGTATGCATACCCTTCGTCGCTTTCCTCCGAAAAATAGGGGGCAATGGCTGTGTTGGCATTCAACCGGTCAGTCAGCCTTGTCTAAATGCAATGATCCATAACATATACCATACCAGGATCAATAGGACAGGGGATGGTGCCTTCGACATAGTCGAATGTATGAGAATCACCGAGTTCATGTCGTAGGCTTGCTAAAGGTTCGCAATGTTGTTAGGGCTTTCCATCTTGCTTGCACCAGGCACAACTACAAGTGTGCAACTGGGTTTTACTGACCAGTCTGAACTTGAAGGATCTTTTCCATAGAGAAGTCAGAGTCGGATTCTCTATACTCGGCCAGACTCAAGCAAACTTACCCGGCTGTTGGTCCCTATTCCGTGCAAGCAGAGAAAATGCATGATGGTGATTCACGAAATGTAAAATGGGTCGCGTTCCGATGGGCAGGTATCGTACTGGGTAATGTGCGCTCAAGAAAGTAGAACAATAGAGAATCAAGATTTCGGGGTGGTCTATACGAGAGAGGCCGGGGAATCGATCGATTAGAAATACGGTGTCTGACGGGATATCCCCGGAGCCTAAGTAGAAGTGCTAGGTGAGGGCAGTGGGGGCCAAGGGACATTGTGGACACAAAATAATTCCCGGGTTTTAAATTCACTGTCCCTGCCTTCTAGATTCTTAGACACATTACACCATTGTCACTTTGTCACTTTATCAGTAGGCTTCGTGTTCCAGTATGCTTGACAACTTCATTCAATTGGTGCTGGGCACCATCTCGCTCGGCAAGCTCTTATTTGCCATTCTCTCTGCTGCTGTGGGTTGTCCGCTGCACTACATTCCATTCCCTAATATTTTTCTTATTGATGTACGATGGCCTCCATGCTCACACATATCTATAGGGCCTGAGTTATGTGGTGTATCAAGTCCAGTTCCATCCCTTAGCAGCCTATCCCGGTCCTTTCTTGGCCAAATTGACCAACCTATACTCGGTGGTGCACGCCATGCGTGGCGACCGACATGAAGATTTGTATAAACTGCATCAACGCCATGGCCGGATCGTTCGCATTGGACCTAACCGCGTGACTATCCTCGATGCGCGAGCTCTTGAGCCCATCTATGGCCATCAAGCCAACGTGCAGAAGTCGCAATGGTACCACAGTTTCTACAGCGTAAGTATCTTCAACGCCATTGACCGCAACGTGCACGCGCGCAAGCGCCGGGTAATGTCCCAGGCATTCTCCGACCACGCTCTACGGGGTATGGAGCCGCACATTCTGTCCGCCATCCGCGACTGGTGTCTGGCGTTGGGAGACGAGCATCCAAACCAGGGTCAAGGCAAGCAGAGTCAGGCCAGCAAGGCCAGCAGCAGCAGCGGTGGCGACTGGTCGCGCCCCAAAGACATGGTGCACTGGAGCGCGTGCCTGATCTTCGATGCCCTTGGGGAGATCTGCTTTGGGAAGACATTCAACACCACTCGGAGTGATGAAAATACCTTCTTCTTCCGCTTGATGGCTGTCAACGTACGCATCTTGAATATTTGTGGCCAGATGCCCCTGCTCCGTCGCATTGGCTTCGATCAGTACCTGCGGATGGGGACTGCCGGCGACCGGGAACGCCAGATCGCTTTCTCTCGCCAACAACTGAGCACCCGATTGGCGGCTAATCCCACGGAGCGTCGAGACATCATCTACTATTTGCAACAGGCCCGCGACCCGGAAACTGGGGAAGGGTATTCAACGCAGGAATTGATCAGCGAGTCGACCTTATTGTTAGGCGCGGGTGAGTTCTGGCCTTTCAATCCTTTTCTTCACCTCCAGCCGCTATCCTCTACACTAGTACTGTTGACTGACAATCTTTCTCACAACCTTTCAGGGGCCGAGACAGCCAATACAGCGCTCGCCTCGACATGGTTCTTTCTCGCGCACCACCCCGCCATCCGCGAGCGCCTGACGAATCTAATCCGGGCACACTTCGCCTCACTGGAATCGATCGTCTCCGGGCCCGCCCTTTCCAGCGGGAAGATGGGCTATCTCCGGGCCTGTATCGAGGAAAGCATGAGGCTGTGCCCACCGGTGCCCATGGACCTGCCGCGCGAGGTGCTCCCGGGGGGTTTGCAAGTGCTGGAATGGGAGTTCCCCGCCGGAACTATCGTGGGGGTCCCGACCTACTCTCTGCATCACTCCCCGGAGCACTTTGACCGCCCTTACGAGTATGACCCCAGTCGGTGGATGCTGCGCGGGACCGAGGCCGCTGACGAGGGTGCTGGAGTCTCGCCCGAGGTCATGGCCCGCCAACGCGCCGCTTTTGTGCCGTTCAGCCTCGGGCCTCGCGCGTGCATCGGTCGCAATGTGGCTATGCTCGAGCTGGAGGTTAGCGTCGCACGTGTGCTGTGGTTGTATGATCTGCGATTGGCCCCGGGGATGGAGCATCTCGGAGTCGGGCGAGAGGGCGAGTACAAGATGAAGGATAATTTCATCGTGGGCAAGGAAGGCCCCATATTGGAATTTCGGAAGCGAGAATGAAGAGGGGCGGTGGATCCAGCGTATGATATTATTACTAGTCTGGATAGATAGTAAAAAGTATTACGGTTCTAAGTCATCTGATTTGATTTTACTGAGCGTCGGGGTTTTGGCGCTTTCTGAAGGAGAGCTGGTATTGAGTCGAGGTATGCTGTAGGGCTTTTTCTGCTTGCCGGGAGTTGCCGACAGAAACTCGCGGGTCCAGTTCATCAGGGTCGGACCCTTCCCCGCCTAATGAATCTCTCGATTGGCCCCCAACTGCGCCAAGTGCTTTATCGGGTCCCTTGCCTCTTTGGGTAAAGATATTCATATCTCCACTGGGTTAGTGAATGAAGAAGGAAAAGAAATAATAATAATAAAATTAGATAAAAGTAAATCAGTAAAGAATCTTATTATCTTCTTGCTACGGAGTAGATTGGTCCCCTAAGACCGAGCGATAGTAAGACAGCGAGGCAGAGCCACGCACACACGGTTTACTGATTCTCTCAACACTACAAAATCTTGCCTCTGCCTTCGCGAAGCAGCTTTATAATATTTGACAACGCCTGATTAGTTGATATATGTATCCTCTACTGCTTCCTACACCCGTATTTCTGACCTTTGGTGGATTCTTGGGTAACACAGCCAGCGCTCGCAGGCTTATTCAAGTGCCATATTTCTCATTATCATTACTGTATATGAGGGGGCCAGGTTTGTAGTTGTGTAATTGCAGTTTTAATGCCTCTCAATGGCCTCATTTTTGACAATTCAGGTGAGCAGGTAGGCTGGCGAGATAGGTAGAAGTCTAATTTAGATTGCAAAACTGACAGGGTAGTATATATTACATACTGCCATTTTAGCGCTGGGATCAATGTAGCAGTTTGCACAGCGGCGCAGGTGGCGAGGAGGAGACGGGAGAGAAAAAGGTGGGGGCTGGGGGAGGGGGGGCCGCCGTCACATTTTAGAAATTAGGCGACACGGTTCCTAGTCACTGATTGTGGAGTGGCCTTGAGTCTGCCTGGTCAGAGGAGGGTTAGACTTAGCTCAATAGTCCCTGTTCCTTCCGCTAGAATGACAAGTCAGCTCCATGCCTCCGTCAGCCATGCCACCGTAGCTAATAGTACGTAATTTTCCATTACTATGGTGGTATGAAAATAGGTGCTGCCGGGAGCGCCGAAGCCAGATAGTGAACAAAATTTATCAAAACGCACGGAGTCCCCCGGACTGAATGATATAGCATAGGCGCCACCTCAGAGAGCAGCCTTTCCTACTACAGCTTGTCCTTCCTGACCTTCCGGGCTTCCCCCTTCCTACCTGTAACGGCTAAAGGCTTCAAAACTCGATACCACGTCTCCTCTAAGGTGAGATGACTGCGTCCCTTTTGCTCCTCCGCCCATAGCCTCTCGGCCTCGCGAAACCGTGTCATCTCAGACTCCAGCCACGCCACACAGGGCTCTGCAACCTTTTGAACCGCCTGAAACGGCATCAGATGGCCCTGCCCTGCTAGCGTCACCTCCCGGACCCTCCCCT